ACTGCCGACCCCCACCCTCTCACTAAAATGGCCATAACTTCGCCAATTTTGACCCTAGAGGTATAATTTTTGTTGCAAACGAAAGTTTAACATGTCTTCTATCTATTTCAGTCGAAAACAGAAATTCGTATTTTTTGAAATCTTTCGGGAAAATCGACTTAGAAGTTTCACCCGAATTTTCAAGAGGGAAATTTGCTTACATTTTGGTTAGGGAAAAAATCTGAAACTCAAAGTGCTGTAACAGGCAGAGTTTTCACGGTAGGGACTTGAAATTCAAAACATAACAACTTCCATTAGGGGTGTACCTTCAGTGCAGATTTCAACTTTCTAGCTTTGATAGCCTTCGAACGAGAGGCTGTCAAATTTTTGTTCTTCACCCCATTGAAAATACAATTTCTCCAAGATAACTTTGCCAAGACAGAAAAGCAGGAGTCCAATATTGTTCTTCAAAAACTATATGGGCATAAATTGGCTTTCCCTAAATTATATGCACTGGTTGCAAGCGTTGCCATATTCGGTTCTAGTACCGCTGTGTGTGAAAGCAGCTTTTCAACCCTTACTCTCGTTGACTCACAACAACGACGATCTATGACTCAGCTTCGCCAGTGCAATCTTGTTCTTCTTGCCTTCAACAGGAAGCGTACCCATAAAATTACTTGGGACGTATTGGTTCAACGTTTTGCCATTAAACATACCCGACTATGCTACGATTAAACTAAAACGGCAATAAAAATCCAATGAATTATAACTTGTGTGTTTTAACAAAAATAATCAGGCTACGGGCCTGAACTACTCGCATCCACATGTTAGCTATATATGATATAGAATTTACGAATTATTACGGTTAGTTTATGATTTGTACGAGTTATTAGCCTACGAGCACTCTTCGTGTAGTAACGTGTAATTTAACAATAGATACATTATATAGTTTACTATTTGGGAAAAGGTTTAAAAGCTACAAAATCGCAAGAACTGTAAATACTCTCATCCGTAAATATTGGTAATAACAAATAGGCCTATATAAGTCGTGAAACCCCTTCATGTCGCTCGTAATAGCAACTCGTAATGAATCGCGAAATTTGCCGTACATACATCATTAGCCAATAGTAAAAATTACCAATGACATCACACCTAATCGAATCGCCTAACCACCAACTGGGACGGTTAGGTCGATTAGCCTAGTTTAGGTAAACTGTCTCACAAATGCATCGATTAGCCTGAACGTCCTGGCTCACAAATGTACAAAATAGCTAATCTACCTAATCGAATCGTGCGACAAAAACGACTCAGATTTAGTATAAATAAAGCTTGCGGTTGAATACGTTATGGCGAAAGAAAAATCGTGTATGTGAAGGGTGTATGGACTCACTCCACTAATTCATTTGCCATCTCTTCCCACGTTAAAACACGAAATTCAACCTTCTACAAATTTTTCCAGAAATCTCTTTGAAAGCTTTCCAACATGTCGAAAGCCTGACCAATCCTCAATGTCTCCTAAAAAATTCAATATATGATGGCCATGAAAATTTTGAGCTACTAAAATTGAAAGTAGACTACTACCGGTAAATACTCATCTGCTAGAGTTTGGCAGTTCATAAAACGACTATTTTTAGAATTAGCCTTCCGCCTTTACTTTAGGTCTCTCATCATCTCACCAAATCTTAAAGATAATTCAATTTCAGACATCAAATTCCAAATCTAGACCAAACATTACACAAAAATAGGCATGCAAAAACCCCAAAAGAGAGAGAGAAAGAAGATTTCTAAAAATAGCCTGGACTATATACAATCATAAAATGTTTTAGTGGAGTGAGCCCGTATCAAAGAATGGCTACTTTGTGTCGTCTGCTTCTATGTAGGCCTACACGCGTATTGATGTGACCTATAAAATCATGACAGTGATCATGCGTAGTGACATAGTTCGTCATATGATTTGGCACAGGGAAATGAAATAAATGTGAACAAAATACTGACTTTCTGGAGTTTTAAGGCACAAACATGAGGGTAAGTGTGTGTAGAATACCAGAAGACATACTGTATTATTTCTGTATATGGCTCAAATAACACAGTTTACCATATTGGTGTCATAAACCGTCTTACAAAAGCCATATCAATGTTATATAATATAACATACAGTGTTATTTATAAATAAATAATGTTGTTTACATTGTCGTTATTGTCTTGATGTTGTAGAATCACTAAGGCCAATATTATATATCACGGTAATAGAAGAGATATTTCTGCTCATTCATATGTCCACAAACAGTAATAGGAATTCAACTTTCATAAATCATAAACTGATTATTGCTTAACTTAATAATAAAGTGGGCTGATAGCTCGTGTTTATTTTTTGAAACGGACACGGATGAGCAGAAATATCTCTGCTCGACTATAATTTCTTATTTTCTCTCTCCATTTTGGCGTAATTCAAATGTTGTTGATTTACCAAACGTACATGGTTGAAATTTTATGCGTGTTTTTCAGATATAACCGTCATTATTATGAGATGGTTGTTTCACCTTGCGTTCTTGAAATCCCGGCATAGGTCGAGGTAATAGCTTCGGATTTTTTAACCCGGTTTCCCTCTGTCAGAGATGCAGCTAAAAGGAACTGACATGGAAAAAACGTCTAGTCGTTCGGATGGGACAATAAATCGAGGCCCCGTGTGCTACAGGATGTGCACGTTAAAGATCCCTCGACAAAATTTGGTAAAATTTCCCTCATTGTACTCTGCATGGCGTTGCCCGTCCTCATTAGCTCACATGGTGCAGAAAAGTAGGACGTAAAACTCCATTAATTTAATTTCATTTATTCAGCTTGCAAATTATCTCTCTTACAGGGCTATTGCCAAAATCTAAAGACGACAAACTTGTTGTAAATTCTTTGCATTTTCATAATGAAACTAGTTTTGAAGTTCGGTGTGTCACGAATTGTGTCCTAAATTGTAGAAAATGTGCGATGATATCTAGGGTATTATGGAATCTAATCTATCAAAAGAAGAATCAACATTATCCTGACAATTTTATCTGGACAGTCACTTCCCAAGGGCGACCACTCATGTGACGTTTCTATCTGTGACAAATCTGGTCCCAAAGTTCCTTGGACGTTTAGGGTCATAATATATTAATGGCACATGTTATGGGAGTTGCTCAGACCCACTGAATGGTACCAAAATACAGTCGAGGGCGGGGCTTAACCTACGGAGTTGAACGAAGAAGGAAAAACCCCAACCAACGGTTGTTTTGTGGTACCGTGTGGGGCACAGGGATATAGTAGAATATCTAGCAAAGTCTTGATTGACTCAACAATGGTTTAGCTTCGTATATACCAAAATTTAAGCTATATTTATATTATGAAAATTATCATAAACTAACCCATTAAAGTGTTATTTTATGTCTTGTTTTATGTCCTAATATCCCAGTCAGATTTGTCGAGCTCAATCAAAATACTTCATATTTTCTTCAGGATGTATCGATATATTACCTGTTAATCTTGGGATGTGTTACGTACATCAGATGTCCTGCCCCACCAGGTCCTGTTGATATGAAAGCCACAGAAGAGACCAAAACTCTCTACAAGCGTCTTTACGCGCTCGCTAGAGACCCAGATCATTTCTTGTTTGGTCACAAGGCAACGACTCAAAGTGGTATTTCTGGTGGAATTCCTCCCTATGAAACTTTTAAAGATTATAAAGGATTCCAAGCTTGGCAATTTACGGTAGGGAGTCAATGATTTTCTATCTTTTAAAGGGTTAGATGCGCCATTTTGGGGGTTGATTTGGGTCTGGAATATGTATAAGTATGTAAACTAGAAATTTTATTTCCTATTTCTTTACATATCTTATATATATGACAGTATCTCATGAAAAGACGATTCGTCTTTTACTGTCAAACGCGGTTAATTCGTGGATTTGAAAGCTCAAAATAAGGTATGATTGGTCAAAAACGGCGCATTGATCTTTTTCCTGTTGTGTAGATCGTAAATCTCCTTTTAATCTCGATGGACCATAACCATATTTCTTGTCATATTTTCTTTAGAACACAATGGTATCCCACAATGTAACCGACGAACTAAGTGACGTCAAATTAGTATCTGGATATTTTCCCGCCTTTGTGGGATTTGAATTCTTTCAACTAGATCCACAATGGATGGCTATGCAGCGATACTTGTCTCAACGTGCGCATGCTCGAGGGATGATACTTGCAATGACGTGGCATTTTGGTAATTTGGCAACAGGTATTATTTTAATTTTAATCGAAGATTCGAAATGATGTCCATACCAGACACAGAACTCTGTTAGACACCTGCTTAGGCCAGTAGCTACAGAGGGAGGGGGTGGGGGTGGTTGCAAGGAAAAAACAACCGACCAATTCCTGGACAACATACACCATTGCTCCTCCGGATATATTACATGTCCCCCCTAACAATCATGTCTGGTTACGGGCCTGCATCTGCTTTGTAGATCTTATTGTGGGGTAGCCAATCCAAAGACTATGCAGAATGGATTTACAGCACCTCATTTCATAGTCCAACAAATCTGGCCTTATCATAGCCATACCGGATTAGGCCAAACTGCTCATAAAAAAGGCATTAATTTTTGTCTTACCCGGACTAGTTATTTCTTTTAAACGCAATAAGAATCAAAGATGATATTTTAGTCCATGATAGACTTAAACCCATAGCTCAATAGAAATTTAATATCAATATGTAATATATATATACTATATTAATATTTACTTTTTTACAGACTATTGATTCATCTCCATTTTAATTTAATACTCTCTCTTTAGTTCATAGGATGTTGGTTACAGAAACAGAAAACGACGAACTTCCTTCACATTAATATATATACTCTATTATTTTAGAATTATTTAATTTGTAATTAGTATTACTTTATAATTTAATTCCATTACTTTAAAAAATCCCGTTGATGTTGCTGAATTTTCACCTTGGCCTGTGCTTTCGTAACTTCAATTTTATGTTGTTGTTACAACCACTCTTACCTAACCCTGACGAAATCGCATGTCTGAGAAATTGAGAATAGATCTGTTTGTTTATACCTTTCAATAATTATACTGAAGACAATCATTTTAAAGAGACAGACGCACCATTTTTTTTAACACCAATCATACTTTAGTCTCAGACACGGGAATTTGTTAGCTAAGACGATCAGTTACAGTATTCACAGCACACCGTCGACATTTGAGCTTTGAAATCCATATGTGTCAAGAATATGTGTTATTATCCCCGTTTGAATGTTAAAATGACGACCTGTCATTTTAAATTACTTTGTGATATATAGAAAAGACATATAGAAATAGTGAATAAATTTCTTAGATTGAAGTATTTTTAAAGGAATAATGCGATTTTCGTACATTTCTAGTACTTCTGAAGACAATTTACATAGGCCTATATTCAAAATCCCACATACGTCCCTTTTAAAAAAAAAGTAATCGTTGGTTATAGCAAAATCATACTGAAATTACATTAACCTTTCAGGTGGAAATTTCTACGATCTCCATGGTTACAAAGTAGTCAGAAATCTTCTTCAAGGAGGAACCTTGAATTTGAAATATAATCAATACTTGGATAAAATTGCCGACTACGCTCACAACTTGGTGGATGAAAAAGGCCGACAGATTCCGTTCATTCTCAGACTCTTTCACGAATCTAACGGTCCATGGTTTTGGTGGGGATTAAATAACGCTGTTAATAATACCGGAGAAGACTTAAAAGACGCTTATCGATATATTGTGGAGTATCTTAGCGACTTTAGAGGCTGTCACAACATCCTGTATGCTTACAGTCCGAACGCAGGTTTTGCTAATCTGACGTCTGCTGGTACACTTGCCTCATACATGGCAGCTTATCCCGGCGACCAGTTTGTGGATATTCTTGGATATGATGACTATTCCTACGTGCGATCTCCACGAACTCTTCAAAAGTTTGTCGATGCCTTATCAGAAGTTGTTATGTATAGCGAAGCGCGCCAAAAAATTCCCGCCTTAACGGAAGTGGGTTTGAATGTCTTAAACCAAATTGACCAGATTCCTGATTGGTGGAACGACTACATTTTAAACTCTATCAAAGGAATAAAATACGTGAAGGCTAACCCAGCCACTAAACGTATAGCCTATGTGTTAACGTGGGCCAACAGTTGTCAAAACAGCACAGTTTGTTCGTATTATACTCCATATAAAGGTCACCCAGGGGAAAAAGATTTCTTAAAATTTACTCAGGATCCAATGGTTGTTATGTTAGGTGAGCCTTAAAGTATGTAATATTGGCCCGTATATTATCTTACTCACTAAAGGGATTGTAAAGAGGATTTCTAATTATGTATATCGGGGACACAATAGCATTAATTCGCACCATTCCAATTTTCAATCACGTCTGTTGTTCCTGCAATTCCTTCAAAAAAGAAGTATTGTATGACGTCACTAATCGCAAAATACGGTTTATCTCTTAAGGCCCTTCGCGGTTAGTAACGTTACCAAACACTTTGTTTTGGTCGAATTGCAGGAACCACAGATGTCTGATTAACAATCCCCATAAAGATGGGTTCCCTTATTTTCATTTATGAAAATTAGGTACTTATATGAATAGAAAGTAGAGGTGTTCTAAGGACTTGGAAAAATACCAGTTTGTCTCATTTATAATTAGCTCAATAAGAAGAGATTTACTAGCAGAATTTCAACGAGTGACCGATCAAGAAAGGTCAAAAAGTCTTTTTAATACATGGAGATTTGTGATTGGTTAAAACTCTTAATTATATGCAATAAGAACCTAATGATATGATTGAGAATACATGATAATTCATTAGAAACACCAATTAAATCAAATAGTTTGCTTAATTTGACGCTAAAAATTAAGGAAACCCATCTTTAAGAACAATTAACATTTTTTTATGTTCTGAACTATGAAAGCGCTCAATGATAAGTGAGGACTACTTTATACGTGAAGTCATGAAATGACATTTAGTAGTCTAATTGTGTACGATATGGAACAACAATCGCTGGTTAACGTTTTTCCCGTGTCGTTCTTAGTACTTTGTATTTCATCATTAGAAGTAAAAACCAGTCTTGCAGCTTGCTCTCAGTTCGCTTTGTATTATAATAGAGACATATCAATAACTTAGTATAATTGCTTGATTTTTATTTCGTTTTTCATTTCAATCGGAAAGTATTGTCTGTAAGTTGTTAAAGGTTGTACATTTTTATACTTTTGTTAACAAATAATAAAGTTATTTTTTGAGAATAGTGTGACAGACTTTGTAAAATGAGGAGTGTATGGGGATGGCACATTGAAATCTCTCGATACTTCATATTTAAACAACAAAGAACAGAAAGGGAGAACAAGGATTTCTGTTATTTGTTCTAATGTGGAAGTGCGAAGTGAGATAGTTTCTTGCAGGTACACTGAGCAGAAAGTGCTTACTCTTTTCGTAGCCTTTGGGCTCTGCCTACCATCTTTTTACAACACACCATTATCAAATAGGCAGACCGTGGTTCACTATATCTAAGTAACTTAGTGAAGCAGTGAATTAAAATCAATCAAAAGCGAAATTGCACCCACGAGTGGCATTGCCCGTATTCGTAAAAAGAGTTCCATGCAGTGTTCATATTTTATATTTTATTATTATTAGTAACTTAATCATTCTTATTAATAACAATTTCTTACCCGTCTTGAATTTGGAGTGTTTCTGAACATCTGGACGAACAACTCTTGATTTCAGCTTGCATGAAACAAGTTGTAATTACCAATATTTACATTATGGATTATTTTTTTCATTGTACTAGTATAAATTGTCATTGCCTCATCACCAAAACAGTAGGCGTAGTAATGATAACCAATGACGCCGTTATTCATTGACGTGATTGAATGAAATAGACGGTCTCCAATTACATGTATAAACAATCATGTTGGTAGTACCAAACGTTGAAACGTAAAGAAATAGGCCCTACTTAAATTCATACTAAAGTCTTTGTATCAAAATAAGAATGTCTTGAAAACGTAAATATAAGCAATAAATAATAATATTGCTTAAATAGAAGGCAGATTTGTATTTTATAACTTTAAATCATACCAATCAATTCTTAATCAGCGTATTATGTTATCCGTCACATTGGCCGTTTGATGGAGAGAATCACGAGAAGAATTTATATTATCTTAATGGTAAAAATTAGGAACGTGATCCTGGAATACTGTTATAGGGTCTTTGTAGAAATTGTTAACGAAACTAGAAGCACCTTTATGACCCTTGTATGGTACCCAGATAAGGCATTTTGGGTGACCCAATTCTAGCCAGCATTGGTTGGTCCAGGCGTGGATGAATGCAATACGCCGTGTAGTCTTCTCTCTCTTGATGACGTCAAGCACGTGATCGTTCCAAAAATTAGGCGCGTCATTGATTTTGTTGTTGAAATATCCGGTTTCAGTCAGTCCGGGAATTTTATCACGTGCTTCTGCCAGCTCCACTAATTCTCGAAGAGATCTCTGCAAATTGTCTTTTGTAGCCCAGTGATCTGTAAAGTAATAATCTGTTCCCAATATGTCCACATAAGAATCACCAGGATAGGTTTTGAGATAATCATTTTTATCCTTGAACTTGTCTGGGCTGAAGGCGTACAGGAATTGATGGACGCCTTTATGGTCTCGTAGGTACACGACTGTGTATCGGTATAGCGATATTAGCTCGTCGACTGTGTTACCAACAGCATTGTTCAGTCCCCAATAAAACCAACCACCATTTAATTCATGCAAGAAGCGAAAGATGACTGGAATAGGTTTTCCATGTAAATCTTTGAATCCATGAGCCCATGCTGCAATCTTGTCTAAAATCTCGTTCCATTTATGATTTGAGTCACCTCCTGGCAAGAGTCGTTTCACGGTCTTGTGGTAGTCGCCATGGTCTCGATCTATCCATGCCGAGCCTCCAGTGATGGGGTTGTTGTGATGCATTACCAATGAAATTACTTCTCCTCGTTCGTATGCCAGACGACCTAGAAAATTCGTCGTCTTCAGCTCCGACGGTTTGAGGTTGTAAAGGTCAAAGCCTATAATGGCGGGAAATGAACCAGTCAGACGTTTGACGTCACAGAGCTCGTCTGGATATTTTTGATCTGCCATATAATCCTGAAAGACATCAATATTATCCAATGAAGTATCATACGCATATTGGCCCATTCATATTCATTTAACATGCCGATAGAACTGAATTTCACCTTTCAGTGGATTTTTTCAGATAGCAAATATGAATTGGGTTCATCTATACTACACGTACAAACCATTTGGCATATCCTACCGAATTTAGATTTTTGGATGTTGTATTGATCAGATATTCGCATTGTATCAATCTAGTATATATATCAAGATAAAATTGTCCATGTTGACTGAGTGATATCGAGCTTTTCATCCTTACTGCATAAGAGTAATTATTGCAACAGTACTGGTCAGACTTATTGGAGCTACTGTATCACGGTTAAACCCTTCATTGGTTTTCGTTTTTGTCTCAAGGGTACACGACGTTACTTCCAATATTTTCAGACTCAGAAATAACATACCGTACCCCATATATCCAGGCTTCAACTCCATCATGTCGTCGATTCAAAATATAAGGTGAATGTCCTCCTTCTAAACCTTGCAATGTAGCTTCTTGCATTCCAAATAGTATCTTGGACTCATTTCTAGCTAAGTTCTTCAGTCTGTAGTAAAGGTTCTTTGTCTCGTGGGTGGCATGTTGATCCACCATACCTGTGACAGATACCAGGCATGGTAGAACCAGTAAAACTAGACTCAGCAGAACTCTGAAATATTTGAAAAGGGATTCATAACTTGTTATATGGTTTAAGACCATTTACAATTTCAGTTGCTTGTGCCTTTTAAGTGGCTATGAAGAGTTTTTCTGGTCTTTTTTTATATTTAGATTCTATTTGTACTGTTCCAGACCCATATCAGCGATTGGTAAAAGTTTGACCACAAACAACTGCCACCGGACGTTTCACGTTGAACATAATATTTTCTTATGTTTGTCATCCTTTTACATCTAATAATATATTAAACATGCTAATTTTGTAATTTTGTCGATTTGAACATAATGCGTAATATTGGTCGTTTAAACCACGTCTCTCATCCATAGGTGTAGACAGAAATATGTAAGGGTGTAAACCCTTGTTCCCAACCTGGGGTGTTTTCACCCCCTCTGTGGGTGTTGGACTAGGGTGAAGGGGTGTGGCCAAGTGGTGTAGGAGTAAGAATGGATTATGAGTTGAGAGAGTACCTCACATCATCACATGCTGCAAATGTGGATGAAACAAATTTTGGGGGTGTGAAAGGTCCACATGATTGCCCCAGGAATGTAGGGGCTGCAATAGGTTGGGAACCACTGGTTTAAAAGGTGTTGTTGAGTCTACAGCTATTTATTAAATCATGGCCTACCTGATGCCATCCATTATAAAACAATGTAGAATATTATTTTGATAAGAATAAATGTTATCTTTATTTACATACGTAATGAAATGATCTTATCTTGGAAACTTAAAGATCGTTCTAGCTCCATTTTTGGCATATCTCTTCTGGGGGCGTAAAGTCATCAAATGACTCATACAGATATCCACTAAATATATCGTTTATTCTATGTCTACGATGAATGTGGTTACTGTTTGAAAGCGTTGCGGTAGAAAAATTGCCTTTTAAAGACGACAGAATTCCAAAGAAGTCTTTAAAATTGAGAATGTTGAGCAGATTAATGCGACAGTGACCCCCTCGATTCAAACGAGCTAAAGGAGACTCTCACAGGCAACATATTTGATAGTGAGCCGGGTCAGTTTCGGTTCATGGGAGCATACCCACCTACGCCACTGGGAACTCCTCTCCCACCCTGCACAGCACTGGCGTCGCAACCGATTTCAATTCAATTTCAAAAGAGAAATCAAGAAAAATAGTTAAGTGTAATTTATTATCTTTGAAAATATCACAGGTAGATTTTAATCATAGAAAGCTAAACTTTTCAAAATAATCATTTCTCACTTTAAAATATTTTAACATATTATAATGTCATAGGTGGATATACAAAATATTTTAACATATTATAATGTCATGGGTGGAAATACAAAATATTTTCCATTGTTGTCCAGCTCTTCTAGAAAACTTAAGAAGATCCAAAATACAATTCCTGGAGATAGTGTCACCGATAAAATTTTACTAAGAAGACACATCCTTAAATAACATTCTTAAGCAGTTGGGTGTATATCTTCCCAGCACAAAACACCAAGACTATCTTGAGCAGCACAAATTGAGACTTAACTTTTGTATGTTTTTTAAAATTAACAGAAAACCGATTATTTTTATAGTCATCATGGAGTAAGTGCTGATAACACAAGGTTTCTTCAGAAATGATTCGCCTCAGCTTATATTACAGATTCAAGTTTAGAAGAAAAACAGAGTGAGTCATCCACAAAAATTTCAACTCTGTTCGCTAGAGATCACAGTTTATATTTTTAAGCTAAATATAAGATATACACAAGTTATTTTGTTGGAAAAAAAAAAATTAATCAGCAGTATGTAGAAATGGCTATAAATTGATGAATGAATGAATAAATATGCAGAATCGTTGAAGGGATTGTAAAGAGGTTTCCAAAGCTTTTTATGTGTATCGGGGACACTCAAAGCAACGATTTGTACCATTCATGCAATAAAACTAAAACTGAGTGTCTTATGATGTACCCGGTGTACCAGCTTTAATGATACAGTTAAGCATTTCTATAATACATGAAAAAGCATTTGACGAAAATTCAATTGATGCGAATAGAAGATATAAGTGATCCCGATTCACTAGCAAGACAACCTCTTCACACAAGCCCTTTAATGTCTTCCAAATGGGAATGGCTAAATTATTCAGCAAAAAAACATTTTTCCAAACACAAGACAAAAACATTTGGATGTATACATAAACCAAAACATAACAATTTTAAAATATAGATGAACAGCATCTTCACAATGTCAAGTTACTATGCACGTCAGCTTATACCTTGACCACAATAGCCACTTTTTTTGTATCACGGAATGAGGCAATTTGAATTGATTGGATTGTATGCCCGCGAATACAGCCAATAAAAGCCCTTGACAGAAAGACTGTAAATTACATCGCTGCATTTAAAAACATCTGTGATACAAGAAAGATGGCTATTGCAGTCAAGGTATAAGCCAAAGATCTACATAGCATGTCATTGTGAAGATGAGATAATCATGTGTATATGCAAAAAAGATTATGCATGAGAAATCATATAATTATAAACAACAGGATTTACTCAGTTTATGTTTTGAAACATTCATAGATCACATAAATATCTTTGATCAATTATACCACAAACAGAACAATATAAGACACATAACAAATAACAGAATGATACAATGATTTCAAATATACTTTAACAATTACTCATCAGGATCACCTCCATATCAATCAGATCATTGACTGACAATACAATATTCTTTGGCCGAGGTGTTATTGTGGGACTGTTAGTATAGTACATTGAAAGACCTGTAATGGCTAACCTAGACTTGATGTCCGGTACAAGATATTGATCATTGGTCATTTGAGCTGCCTTGCCGGTCATGTCCATCAAATAGAGCTAAATCAACAGCCCTGTAGCCAAGAGAGAAAGCATGTTTTAGCTATTTTACAGCCTTTGTGACAATTTGAAGGAATCCCAGCCCATGACTTGATAAAAACATACTGTACTCATACTGAATCATAGAATTAATTGGAAACAGCTGACAAACCTAGAGCCTCAGTGAAAATTCTAGCAAAGATATCAAAGGGACAGGTAGGCCATTTTTTTGACCAATCATACTGTAGTCTCAGAAACTGGAATTATTTTAGTCGAGCTAATCAGTAATAGTGTTCACAGCTCACAGTCGAAATTTGAGCATTCAAGACCATGTGTGTCCAGAATTATCTGCGTTTGAATGTTAAAATGATGACTCGTCAATTTAAGATACTCTGTGATTTATAGAAAAGACATATAAAGAAATAGTGAGTAGAATTCCTAGTTTGAAGAATTTTTAAAGAAATTATGTGATTTTCGTACATTTCTAGTTCTTCTGAAGACTATTTACATATATTCAAGACTAAAATCAAACCCCCAAAATGGCACCACTGTCCCTTTAATACATCCTGGAAGTTCCAACCATAATCAAGAGCAGTCTATTTTGCTTCAGGGTAGAATAAAGTAACACTTAAAGATTTAGAAGAGTCCAATCTATTAATATATTATGATCATTACAACTTAAACTACCTAAATAATAAAATGGACTGCTCAACAACACCTTTTGCATAATGCCGCAGTCTAGCAGCTAGACTGAACTCTCTATTGATCAGCAGTTGATATCTTAAAGTCTTGGTGAATTTTTAGGGATATTCCCAGCATTTCGGACCTTGTTTATCACAGAATCAGCAACATTTAATGTCATTTGAGTGATAGGGAAGTTTGCTGGTAATTTTTTAGCTATTTGTTGATGTCTGATATAATATCTGAAATAAAAAAAATGATGAATATTAAACGATGACTATATAATTGTCTTTTTATAGGGATTGTAAAAAGGACTTCCAAATTTGTCATGTGTATAGGTGACACTGATAGCAACCATTAGCACCATTCCAATTTTCAGTCAGATATCTTTGGGTTTTGAAATTCCACTAAAACTAAGCATTTTATGAAGTAGCAAGCTATTGGGGAAAGTGACATCATACATTGCTAAAACAATAATTACTGGAACCAGTGACATTTGATGGAAAATGGAATAATGCAAATAGAAGCCATAAATGGGTGTGATACACATTAAAATTATCAAAAAAACCTATTTAAAACACCTTTAACATGACCTTCACCTTCAGCAAGCATACTTCTGAAACCCTGTATACATTATAAAATTTCCTGTCTCCCATCTAGACTAAGTGGACACCTAGCATGTATCTATCATACTGAGCCAAAGCAGCTCCAAATAAATTATACTTACTTAAATTCCTCTCTATAAGTATTATATATAAAGGCTGTAACACGAGGACTGTACTCTAGGAATGTAAGTAGAACAGTAAGATGTTGATAGAGACAGATAGATTCTTCAGGACTTAACATCTCATATTGACTGGGTCCTATTACATGTAGAACTTGTTTTATAACTCTTTCTACAAACCTTTCCTGTAACATATAATACTTTTTTAATAATTATATAGTTAAAATGAATATTATCTCTTAGAATCGTCATAAGATTTAAAATCTCAAACTTGGTGAATGGGAGTATATATTCATCAGTTGGACTTACAAGGTACCATGACTAAAGAATAGAATCTCTATATCGATATCACCACCAATAGTATTACCCTTGACCACCAATAGTATTACTCTTGCCCACCAATAGTATTACCCTTGACCACCAATAGTATTACCCTTGCCCACCAATAGTATTACCCTTGTCAACCAATAGTATTACCCTTGCCCATCAATAGTATTACCCTTGCCCACCAATAGTATTACCCTTGACCACCAATAGTATTACCCTTGCCCACCAATAGTATTACCCTTGCCCACCAATAGTATTACCCTTGACCACCAAGCCAATTATGTCATGTAACGTTTCCAATGCTTAAAGATGGATTCCCTTATTTTCATTTATGAAAATGAAAATGCTCTTATATGAATAGAAAGTAGATGTGTTCTAATGACTTGGAAAAATACCAGTTTGTCTCATATGTCCATTATTAATTCATAATTAGCTAAATTTCAATTTCAAGGAGTGACCGATCAAGATAGGTCAAAAAGTCTTTTTAATACATGGAGATTTATGATTGGTTAAAACTCTTAATTATATGCAATAAAAACATAATGATATGATTAAGAATATATGATAATTCATTAGAAACACCAATTAATCAAATAGTTTGCTTAATTTGACACTAAAAAAATAACGAAACCCATCTTTAACCGAATGTGCTCTAGAATTTGCCTTAAAAATGAATTTTTACCGATTTGATTATATTTTACACCATTCTAATTTTCTGAGGCATCTTGCAATTCAACTAAAATTATTAAGTCATTATTGCCCCTGATACCGATAACAAGTGTATTTAATCACTTTGAAATCCATTTAAGTTATACACCATCCATGCATTGGAAAAAAAAACTTACTGTAGTTCTATAGTCTTCTAGTATTCTCACCATCCATCCTATGTTAAAGAAGTTATCTTCAGTATAGGCCCAGGAAGCTTGACGAGCCATCAGAAATAACTCAAATACAGCTGTTACAGAAACTCTGGTGTATTCATCTAACAAGTCTACAAACTGTAATATATCATAATATTATTGTTAACATGCTACAGCTTAAAGGGGCAATTAATTTTTATTATTGAAAACATCTTAAATTATTCCTGAAAATATAAAATATGTCATTGATCTACTTGATCAAACTGAATTTATTTTAAAAGGGTTAACTAATAGTTAAGCAGTTTTGGTGTTTGGTTTTATAATAGCTTGATATTATTAGTTAAAACTCTCAGAATAAGTAGGAGACTTATTTCTCTACAATTTGGCGTTTATCTTGCTTAACAGTACAGTTGTTTTCTTACACCTACCAAAAAACATAACAAATGTAAAAAGTGTATGTAAATTAGTTTGAAAAAATTAAATACCAAATGCTTTCGTAAAAAATCTCCATAAATGATTCACAAGCCAGCTCCAGCCTGGTATTCTCGAAACGATCTAAGCGCTAAGATCGTTTCAAGAATACGGGGTCTGGTCTTAAGGTTTGATAATTTACTAGGTTTATCTCAACTGAAATCTCAATTCTATCGCAATAAATAATTTACTACCTACCTCCTGATCTGAAGGTTTGATGTTAGAAGATTTACTAGATCTATCTGGAATTTCTGGTAGACAGGTCAAGGTCATCAACATATCTAAAACTGATTTTCCCCTAAAAATTAAAAACAGCGGAATTAATCACAACTGCTAAGAATAGTAGAGAGATTTTGCAAAGCATAAAATAATTAAATAGGTTAAAAAGGTTTGTTTCTTTTTTTCTGATACATCTCGATTGTAATCTCACAACTTTTTATTGTTATTTTTAACCAATCAAATTGCATTTCTTAAAAACAATAGCCAAACCCAATAAGGGTGTCTTATTGCTTTCCTACAATTTGTAGGTGGTATCAAGGAAAAGGGCCTAGGCCTACAAGGCACTCGTTGATAAGTTAAAAATAACGTCATTAGAATGAGACTGCAGTAGAAAACTTGTCAGATTACAATTGAAAGGAAAAATGGTGAAATTAAAATAATCACAGATATTTGATTGAAATTGGAAATGCTGCAAATCGATGCTATAAGAGTCCACAATAAACATGAAAAATTTGGAAAACCTCTTTACAATCCCTTTAGTGAGTAAGATAATATTATAAAAACTGACAGAAGTACAACTGGTTTTTCAAATAATGCAAAAACAATCTTGTGAAGTTTAACTGAAATAATCTACTCACCTTTCAGCCTTTAATGTTAATAACCTATCAGGTATAATTTCTGTTTCACGAAACATTCCACTTAATATTTCAGCCATCAATATCACTATTCTATAGAAAGATAAATATACTTTAAGTAATAATGATACTTAAATGATACAGAACAAGAAACAATCCGTGCCCATTACAACTTACAGATGAGTCAAATGGAATAATGGAATAAGATGATTTATTCAAGCTCACCGGACTTTACATGTCAACTGAGACCCTATGACCACCATTTGTTCGAAGAGCTTGGTATATTAGCATACCTAGTATATCCCTTAATCATAATCAATCCATCCATTGAATAAAATATTGATTGATAGATGATTTTTGTTGGTAATAAATGCTGAATGCTATTTTGAATATTCAACCCCCATACCAACTTACTCAAATTCATCAACTCTTTGTCTTCTGCCATCTATTGAGTTGATATTTACAGCAGATTTGGGTAAATATTTCTGAAGAGTTTGTACCAAAAACAGAAACAGATCTGAATTCTATAAGAAATATAAAAGAGTTAAATAAAATCATCTTTAAATATAAGTATTAATGGCCTATTATGATACATTGTCAACCTGATGCAGTCAGCAATGAGGGAAATTCACCTTGTAGAATATCAACATGCTTAATTTACTGTCAATAATCTTATTTGCCTGAGAATCTTAAACATTTGCTGTAACCCAAAAGAAAATTAAAAAAAAAAACGCAGTTTAGTTTAAAATATTAAAAACTTCACATACCCGCCAAAATAATTTCTTTATAACAAAATTTTTCTCAGAGGCCACTTTGACTTCGTTTAATAATCTGTAGTTATCATCTATATTATTTCTGGGGTTTAATAATTCTCTCTTCAACTGATTAAATAATATATCAGTTTGTTCTCTGTAATTAATAAATATTTAACAAGTTATAATTATCATCTATATTATTTCTGGGGTTTAATAATTCTCTCTTCAACTGATTAAATAATATATCAGTTTGTTCTCTGTAATTAATAAATATTTAACAAGTTATAATTATCATCTATATTATTTCTGGGGTTTAATAATTCTCTCTTCAACTGATTAAATAATATATCAGTTTGTTCTCTGTAATTAATAAATATTTAACAAGTTATAATTATCATCTATATTATTTCTGGGGTTTAATAATTCTCTCTTCAACTGATTAAATAATATATCAGTTTGTTCTCTGTAATTAATAAATATTTAACAAGTTATAATTATCATCTATATTATTTCTGGGGTTTAATAATTCTCTCTTCAACTGATTAAATAATATATCAGTTTGTTCTCTGTAATTAATAAATATTTAACAAGTTATAATTATCATCTATATTATTTCTGGGGTTTAATAATTCTCTCTTCAACTGATTAAATAATATATCAGTTTGTTCTCTGTAATTAATAAATATTTAACAAGTTATAATTATCATCTATATTATTTCTGGGGTTTAATAATTCTCTCTTCAACTGATTAAATAATATATCAGTTTGTTCTCTGCCGAAATAAATATTTAACAAGTTATAATTATCATCTATATTATTTCTGGGGTTTAATAATTCTCTCTTCAATTGATTAAATAATGTATCAGTTTGTTCTCTGTAATAAATAAATATTTAACAAGTTATAATTATCATCTATATTATTTCTGGGGTTTAATAATTCTCTCTTCAACTGATTAAATAATATATCAGTTTGTTCTCTGTAATTAATAAATATTTAACAAGTTATAATTATCATCTATATTATTTCTGGGGTTTAATAATTCTCTCTTCAACTGATTAAATAATATATCAGTTTGTTCTCTGTAATTAATAAATATTTAACAAGTTATAATTATCATCTATATTATTTCTGGGGTTTAATAATTCTCTCTTCAACTGATTAAATAATCTATCAGTTTGTTCTCTGTAATAAATAAATATTTAACAAGTTATAATTATCATCTATATTATTTCTGGGGTTTAATAATTCTCTCTTCAATTGATTAAATAATATATCAGTTTGTTCTCTGTAATTAATTAATATTTAACAAGTTTTAATTATCATCTATTTTATTTCTGGAGTTTAATAATTCTCTCTTCAATTGATTAAATAATATATCAGTTTGTTCTCTGTAATTAATAAATATTTAACAAGTTATAATTATCATCTATTTTATTTCTGGGGTTTAATAATTCTCTCTTCAACTGATTAAATAATATATCAGTTTGTTCTCTGTAATAAATAAATATTTAACAAGTTATAATTATCATCTATATTATTTCTGGGGTTTAATAATTCTCTCTTCAACTGATTAAATAATATATCAGTTTGTTCTCTGTAATAAATAAATATTTAACAAGTTATAATTATCATCTATTTTATTTCTGGGGTTTAATAATTCTGTCTTCAACTGATTAAATAATATATCAGTTTGTTCTCTGTAATATATCATATTATATTATAATTATATGATCAAAGAAACCAAGAGGAAGATATAACAAAAAAACAAGTATCATATATCATATATATGATAAAAAAAAAAACACAATGTTTTAACACATAATGTAAATTGTGTTTAGTGTTTTTTGTGATATGTGCTTCTTGTCATTCCAATCTTTTAACAAGAGAAAAGTTTCAATTGTTATAAAAGTTCTCAAATGAATGGATAACAGAGCAAAACTTGCTAACTCTTTCCAGGATCATTTAGATATTGTCAGAGGTTATTTTCTAGTTTTGGACAAGAGCTGCTAATCTTAATGTATTTGCTGAATGTCTAAATAACTGACTACAAATTTGATCTATAGGTTTGATAAATAAGCCAAGAGTAAATTTGGGGATTTTTCAATGATTATTCTCCAAAATTTAACTTAAATATAATCCAGATTTTCAGAAATACAGTAATCTGATTGGATAACAAAACTAAATTTTAAATCAATTTTAGTGATTGACCAATCAGATGGCTTGAAAACTAAAATCATCTTAAGTTAAGTTTTCAAGAATAAGGCCCCTGAATTCATGTGTTAAAATGTCTTGTTTGGAACTTCTAAAATCAGCAAACCTATTTTGGACAGAAATATTTACATTATTTCTGAAAAATGCTGTTATGCAGATGCATACATGTGTACAGGTCAGGAAAAAAAATCTGGAGATTTGCCTTGAAAAATCTGGAGATTGGGTGAAAAGTCGGGAGATTTTTCCAAAGCTTGTAAATTTCAAACTGCAGTAGATGTTCAGTGTCCAACACATCAAGAAAACATGTTATTTCGCCATATTTTCAATCGAAATTTTCTCTGAATACTGTAGTTCATACCTGTGTTGTTGTGAAGCTCTGATAACAGCTGATTTTCTTTTTCCATCATCAGCTGTTTCTATCTGTAACGTAGCTCTCTAAAATACAGAAAAACATTTTGTTGAGGTTTTCTAGATTTTTTATATGTAGTGGGGTCATTTATGGCTCTGATTGGCATTATTCTTATTTTCCATCAGATATCTGGCATGTTTCAAAGAACAAGGGCAATAACTCATCATAAATATTTCATGGTTTTTTTGATTTTCAATAGGGTTTATCTTTGGATGATAATAAGCAATTTTGCTGAATTGTCCAAATCTATCAAGAGTTGTGCCTTCTGGAGTGTTTACAAGCTAAAAAACACATTTAAAGTGGGTTTGGAGACACTGCGGTGAAACAATGCCATCTTTTTTTTGTTAGCGTAATGAGCCTCGTTCTGGATTTAATATAAGGTCTATCACAATACCAAAAAACTTACAAGAAGGTAGTTACTCCAAGCACTGCGAACTAACATTAAAGTTGGTGATACCAGATTTAACAGATAAATATGGAGGACTGTTTGACGTTTATCATTGATACTGGCGCCATCTATTGATAATAAATGTAATCCTGTTATAGAACCACTAAACTCAGAACCTAAAACAGAACCACTGAAACAGAGAAAAAAAAGAATATGTTATAATACAATTAGAGATTTTAATCTCTTAAAGGGATTGTAAAGAATTTTAATTTACTATTTATGTGTATTGAGGAAACTGATAACATTGATTTACACCATCCCAATTTACATTCAGACATCTGGGCATTTCACAATTCCATTACAACTTAGGGTTTTATGACATCACTATCACAAAGGATCTAAGATAATAATAGCAGGATTTGCAGTAGGGTCCTCATGAATGTTAAGTTATAGAGGAATTGCAAGAAGGAAATATGTCTGACTAAAAAGTAGAGCAGTGAAAATCAATTCTATCGATGTCTCCTATAACCATAAAGAGTTTAGAACACCTCTTTACAATTCTTTTAAAGCCTGCAAAATGCACTTTAAGAAACATAGAATCATACAAATGTCTAGGAAAGTCAAGTTTTTAATGTTTGGGATATTGTCTGGTTACCAAGTAGGACTTACTTACAGTTGCTATGAAACAAGAGAAGATAACTCTAAAGTTTTTACCTCCGATGTCTCTCTCTTTCTACTGGAGTGTTCAGGCGTGAACCAAAACCATTCGATATATCTGATGATCTGCGGGATTCGGCAACTTGGAATGATGGGATAGGTGATGATGAAATGATTGGTTGATTTTCTATAGAAATATGTGGAAGTTTCTTCTCATTTACACTCTTTGGCTTTTCATTGGACGAAGCAGTACGATAATCAGCAGTGCGTGACTTTTCGGCAATCCCATGTTGCACTTTATTTTTCCGAAACTTTTTCCACAATTTGATAAAACAACATGAGGTATCTACAGGATCGTTCGCAAGACCAGAGTCGGAATCGTTCGGATCTGGGGCAGTATGTACAAAAGCAGTTTTTTTAGGGGGTGGTGGTAGATGGCGTGTTGAGGTTTGAGAAACACTGTCATGATCATAATTTCTAGTTGAGACGACAGAACGAACTGTTGATAAACGCTCAAAATCAAGATCCTCAGCATGTTCCTCAATTTCCTCTTTCAAGGATTGTAAGATACTGTCCTGGTCCCAATTTTCATTTTTCTTTTTGTTCTTTGAATTTCTGGAGTCACGACTTGAAACCAATGAACCACGACTGTTTGGACGGCTGCCATTATTAACTGGATTACTTAAAGAACTATTGGTCACATAGCCATTGTCTTCCACGGATCCGTCCAACGATGATACCAAGCTGACTGGAGTTGAAAGATTGGAGCGGTCGATACTTTGATCTAAGCTCAAACCACCTTGTGAGGATTTTCGAGATCTCCTGAATAATTTGCGTTTTGTATGATCTGATGCTAGATACTTTATGGCTAAATGCTGCGTATTTTCCCGTTCAATCCCACTTAAGAATTCTGGGTAATCCTTGACCTGAAAAAGAAATTCATTTTTTATCAGAGATGTAATTAAGAATGGAGCAATCTTTATTTATAAGCTGTTGGGCCTTGTTCCACAAAAAATGTTGTCATCAATTGTTATTTTTCTTTGTGAAGATGGGACCATACACTTTTTCACACCCTGACTTTATCTTTGTGAGAGTAGAAGTTATCTAGTAAAGTATGAAAATCATTTTAACATAAACTTAAAATTACAATAAGAACCAAATGTATTAACATCTATTTAAAGAGTAAAGGAGAGTATGCACCAGCTTAAAGGAATTGTGAAGAGGTTTTCTAAAGTTTTCATGTGTATCAGAGAGACTGATGACATCAAGTTTTCACCATTAAAATTTTCAGTCAGAAGTCTGTGGTCTTTCAAAAAAATTACTTCACTAATCGCAAAATACGCATCAATCACTTAGTTTTAGTGGAATTGCAGGAACAGACGTCTGCTAGAAAATCCCTTTAAAAGTAACATGTATTGTGTCTTTTCTTGTGTTTTGCCATTAGTGTCAGTTAGGAGTACTTCTTGCTCTATGAACTTTTTTTCTAAGTCATATAACTGTTTGATGTAAGCTTTTCAAAGTTCTTTCTCATTCACACCCACAGCATCAAATATACTATCACAGTCTTCAATACTTTTATTATCAGTAGGAAGTAGGGCATTTTAACCTAGAGACATTCTAATCATCATTATTAATGTACAGACTTGCCTCAAGCTAATAAGGATTTGAACAATATCATTAAAATATCTTTTACTAAATCAATTCCACATTACAACACTCTAGTATCTTCAAACCACACCCAATATACCACTTTTATTTATTTTTCCCGTTACCTAGCAACTTGACATCAAGTAGTTGTTTATGATTTTAATATGAATTGAAATATTTATGGTATCTTGTTCAATATTGTATATTGTTATAAATCTCAGTAGAGTTTCAGCTCATTGAATTTTATAACCAGCTAGGTCCATATTGTTCATATAGTAATTTCCCACAATAATCACAATTTTAGGCTTCATTTGTTCTGATAAGACTCATAGACGTGACTTATAATTCTAATTATGACTTCTTATAATACTTTATTTACTGCTTTTTTTATTTCATCTTTCCTATTTGTGAATTTTCAAGATCCTCGTTTAGTAGCGGCATCAGTGGGGGTACAGAAACCCACTTTTTTAATGAAACTCAAAATCTATAAGCTTATGAAAGATTCTAAATTAAGCTTATATTTTCATGCATGGGATAGCCTACATGTACACAAATTTAATCAATTGAACCTCCTTGACCATACTGGTCTCTAACTTAGAGTTAAAATTATTATTAAAATTAGTCTTCAAAGTGTATTATGAATTCGAATCAGAGGAAATTGCGTAACGTTTTAACAACTGCAGATTTTAAACAGTATCACTTATAAAAAAGGATAATAATCTAGGTCAATGAGTAGGGTTAGGTAAAATGATGTAAAATAATCAAATATCATCACTACCATTTATAATTTCGATTATCAAATTTCATAATCCATTATATTTCAAAGTTACATTTTCTCCACATAGTTTCCCTTCAGCACATAACTTACCCACAATAAATTATAATAACCGATCAAAGCCAGAATATACTTCTATGATGCAAAAATTGCCCGTAAAATTAAGAATTTGGCATGTATTTAATTTAGTATTTCTCGATTAAAATATTTCATTTATTAATTGATAAATGATCAGCTGTCAGATAATCGATACCCCGGCCAGCCTTATCTATGAGGATCATTTCTATCCATTGGGCCATCTTTTAGAACTAGAAGAGAGAGGTCTGTGCAGATATGTCCTTCTAAAAACAAAGAATATGCCAGTACCGGAACTATGATCAGATAGACATCATTTTCAATCTTATCTCTTCTGTAACTATTTCAACACTTGCAGCGACGTTGCTAGGCCACAACACGCCCCATAGTACAGTGCAAAAGTGGCGTTACTGCTTAAGACCACCACCCACCCTTCCCAATTTTTTATCATACTTTTTTGAGCCCCCACTCAAAAATCCTCCCCCCCCCCCCCCTTTTAGAATGACAATTTTGTAGCCCATTCCTAGTAGGCCTAAACTCAATGTCAGAGGAGAGGTAGAATGCTTTGATTTACCATGGGGCCATAAAGGTTATCCTTCGCTCCTTCAACTTACCAATTCAACTGAAATCACATCTTTCAATTGTACTGCTTCCTGAATGGATTTGGGAGGATTTTCAGTCAAAAACAAACAATCATCTCCTAAAATCACAAACTTGAACGATTTTTTGTCTTTTTCGTCCACAACAATGCACGATTCGTAAGCTCGAATTCGTTCATAGCTTTCCTCGGTTATAGTTCGCTTCAGGAAACTTTCCAATTTGCTGTTCTTTTTCACAAAAAGATCTTGATTTCCCCTTGCCATTCAAATTTATATTTTCATCCATCAGAAATAAACACAATAACGGCACATTTGTTTGATTAAAAGAGTAGAAAAAACTGCACAATTTTCCTAACTACCATGTACACAATAGCACCATTGTCCAGACGTAATAATAGAACGATTGTCCAGACGTCATAATAAAGCGTAGTCAATAGAACTATTGTCCAGACGTAATCACAATGACCGATAACGATACAAATCGCATTGTCCAGACGTAACAATAGAAACATTGTCAAGACGTTCGTATAGAAGAGTTATCCAGACCTATTACAGAACAAAGAAAATGACAGGCACATTATCGAATCCAATTAGCTAGTCCGAACTTGTCCGTCAGACCGATTAACAGCGGCTCTGCTGACAAAAGGTGTGTTTGTGACGCAATCTGCTATGGTGTACATAATCCGATAAAAATTGATTATCGGGATTAGTATAGTCTTTTCCTGATAATAATCGTGATGAAGTTATTACACAAAACTATTAATCTGTGACCTAGGCCGCAGTGCTTTTCATTGCTCCTCGCTTAATGTTTTAAAAGAAATAGAAAAGAACACGCACAGATCGGAGAAGATCATAGCCTAAGCATAGTTTTGACAAATATGACAGCATATATATGCTAGAACATAATACTGAGATGTGGCAACACGAACGGTCTTGGTCGGAAACTTTTGTCGTTGACAAGAGTGATCTGCGGGCACACGAGTAGGCCTAGACAAAAATCTCCAGTTGGTCTTTTCCACCATGTCGATAATGACGTGCGAAGCGTGCACTTGAAAAAAAAATGAGTCTGTTAGGATGATGACTGTCTTGTCTTGCAGACGATAAAATAATCGGAGACAATAATTATCAAACTTGTTTGATATTATAAAACAAACTTGTCGTGCAAGCACGGGCACACGCGCGATTTTACTCAAGACTTTAATCGGCGACAAAAATCTCCGACCAAGACCGCCCGTGCGCCCGCACCTAAAGTAGCTTAATTGTACATAAAATTATTTAGAATAGTATGCAATGGTAGACCGGCCTGATGGCCTAGTGGGTATTGAGAACGTGGCCGTGATCAAGAAAAAAAACGTACGTGTCTAGTTTTGGTTTTATTTTCAGATTTGGACTTTAGTTAAGTCCATATTAATGCTTAAATGGTTAAATTTAGAATCAAGATTAAAGATGTTAATGTTCTTATTCTCAACCAGGAAAGGATTCTTAACAGTAAAAATATATTTATTAGTTCGTCTGTTAATCATTGATTCCAACAGCAGGTAGGCCAAAACCCCATAGGCCTATCATAATGGCATAAGATATTCAAACTAACCAAAGCTGCGATTGCACGTGTAGGCCTACGTAAGCGTAGCCTAACTCAAACTCAAGCTCGATCTCAAAATCAAACTCAAAACGTGAAATCTTACGTCCGTACGATGATTCCGCAATATCGTCAACGTAAAAGTGTGATAATGGGTCAGGAAACATGCACAGTAGATGTAATAAAGGGGATTCCCCTATTGGCATCTTGAAAGCTGTATGTAACGACTCACAAACACAATAAATCGCTCACTGTGCCATCCGATGCGTTTACGAAGATGTTCAGTCTGAGGTCACATGTAAGAAAATTGGATTTGGTAAAGAGTTGGATAGAAATTACTCTTGTCCGTTTTTTATTGAGTATGCAGCGTTTGAGTTTGAGTCCACATACACATGTAATCCTAGCTTAATAGACTTGCACGTAGCCATTTTTAAGTTTTGTTTTGTTTGTATACAAAAAACAAGCATGGAATAATGAAAACCTCTGTCATAATACGAAACCGAGGAACAAGGGATAACGTCATTTAATTCAGCGTCATAATAACACAACGTCAACAATCAGAATGCTCGACATGTTACCACAGACGACAGAAACAAAATGGAAGTCGCAGCTTCACCATATCTAGATTCAAATTCTGGGTTAAAGGAATTTCGCGATCAGCTGAACGAAATTAGGGAACAAGAACTATTTTGTGATGTGAAAATCAGACTGAACAATGGTGAAAATTGTACTCTTTCTGTGCACAGAGCCATTCTGGCAAGCTGCAGTCCATTTTTCAGATCTCTTTTCACGTCTGCCATGGCGGACTCCAAGAAGGTGGAGATTCTTCTTCCAGAAATCTCAAAAGAAGAGATAGAGACCATAATACAGTTTGCGTACACGAACCAAGTTGATCTGTCACCAGATACGATAGAGTCAATTTTCATCGCAGCAGACAGACTTCATGTATTGGGACTTCTAAAATTATGTGCTAATTACCTTGAAGAAAATGTCGACCCATTAAATGCTGTTGGTGTTTACAGACTTGCGCACCATTGTCACTGCAGATTTCTGGAAGTTCGGGTGGAGAACTACATTGTGACACACTTTGATCAAGTTTGGAAAGAAAGTGCAGAATTCCTGCAGTTGCACATTAACGAGTTGTTGCCTATACTGCAACACAATCGGTTGAATGTACCCACAGAAAATATGGTGGTCCAGGCTTCTATGAGATGGGTACATCACTATCCAAAACGAAAGAGACATTACTATGATCTGCTAGCAACCGCCAGATTAGGAAGATGTGACAAATTTTTCATCGAAGACGTTATTTTGAAGAATAAGACAATTATGGCCCAAAAAGCCTGTCGTGATTTGGTCTATAAAGCTTATGCTATGAGCCAATTCACTTTGCTACAAAAAACTCAGAATTATCTGAATGCTCCGTGTTACATGTTAATGCCCAGAAATCCACATGGAGTGATCTTCATTCTTGGTGGTTGGACGAACGATAGTGTTTGTGGACATATGGAATCGTATGATAATCGGGTTGGTAGGTGGTACTCCTTAAAAACGACGGTGGAAGAAAAACCGTTGGCCTATCATGCCCTTGTTACTCATGGACGTTTTGTTTATGTAATCGGGGGCTTTACAACAGCTACATGCTTGAACACAGTCAAACGATGGGATCCACTTGAAGAGCAATGGGAAGTCATAGCTAACATGCATGATAAAAGATGTTATGTTGGTGCAGCTGCTATTGATAATTATGTATACGCTTGTGGAGGATTTGATGGAGAAACAAGACATAGTTCTGCTGAAAAATACTGTCCACAAAAGAATCAATGGTGCTACATCGCTCCGATGAGATCGATCAGAAGTGATTCTGGTGTTTGTGCCCTCGATGGTAAGCCTTGGTGCCCTGCATTGCAATGGATTGGAAAATCCCATTTTATGACCATTTGTATGTACAACGTTATTAAACGCCTCCAATAGGTTGCGATTGCAAAGAATTTCTTTCCTTTCGGAATAATTAATGTTGCTACGATTGGATTTATCAACCCATAGTTCAAAGCTTGCAATCTCAAATCAGCCTCTGATAAATATTTTTGATGGTTATCGAGCTATGGTGATTTCACTTGCCATTCATTAAGGTGATAGAACATTTTTTTCGTCAACTCCGGGTTGCAAGATTGAGGACGTTCCACTTGCGTCTCTTAATACTGTAAACTTACTTCTTGGAATATGTTTAAGTTCGGCATTTTGATTCAAGGATTTTGCATGTTCTTATTGTTATATATATGCGTGTGATTAATGCTGTTTCTGAAACTTTTCCATTAACGCATAGGTCTTCTGTACGTCTGTGGTGGTTTTGATGGTGGAGCATGTTTGATTAGCACAGAAGTTTACTCCCCAAAAACAAACCAATGGACAATGATTGAGGACATGGGGATACATAGAAGCGGGGTAGCAGTTGCTAGTTTTGAAGGCTATATTTATGTCCTTGGTGGTTTTAATGGACTTCAAAGATTAGGCTCAGGTATATTTGTTATCGCTATCCAAATTGTGTTTATTGAGTCTACCTGAAAAACGTTGGTATTTATGATTCGTCAGTATCGTCAACGTCATCTCTTAAAGACCCAACAAGTCGACCTTACAAGAACACCCAAAAAACAAAATTAGAATTTTTATATTTGTCTTTCCTACGCCTGCTGTTTGGTTCTTCTAACTCAGGGACACTGTCGGTGGGGTTTAATAATTTGTCATGCTGTAGGCATACTTACTCTCTCTTTCCTCTATTGCCCCTGTCATTTAACTTAAATTTTATTCTAATTTCTTTTTCACAGTGGAGCGGTATCATCCCGCCACTAAAAAATGGTCGACAGTGAATGGCATGTCCCATTCTAGGAGTAACTTCGCCATAACAACTCTTGAGAGGAAGATTTATGCTATTGGTGGCTTTAACGGTAAATATGTGCGTTAATATACTATATACCATTTAAACATTAGTTTTCTTTCATATGAACTCAATATAACAAAAATAAATGCAGCTGTTCAACCGATCCCCTTGCTCGATCTAAACTGCGAAACACATACAGAAACAAGTGAATGATCGGGTTATAAAAGCTATTAAACTTGCCTTTCCCGTCGTCCAGATACTACATTATATCACAAGATCATCAGAATCTAGTTATATACACAGATGATACTAATAACACTGAAAACCACAGTCCATGGCTGCAGGACTACATCAGAACCCAGATCGCCACCCAGAAAGCCCGCTGAGACCTATTTTGACAATCGGCGGACTAATAAATAAAGACAACTTTACATAAAGAAATCTTCAAGGTGTGTTCTGCCTTCTATAAACTTAAAAAAAATTTCTTTATCCCCAGGTACGTCAACAAGCAATACCGTAGAATGTTACGATATAGATAAAGATGAATGGACGACAGTAAAAAATCTAGTTGTAGGACGCAGTGCTACTAGCGCCTGTACCGTATATGGACTACTAAATGTCATGGATTATACTTTTTTCACGAAGGACTTACCTTACCAGCAACGCTCTAACGCGATAAGCACCAGAGTATAATAATATCCAGCTATCCGATTCAGCTAGATACAAGTTACGGCATTAGGACCATGACGTTTTCTATGGTTTGCTGAGAAACTAAGCTTATTGAGTCCTTGCAAGCCTGATATATACATGCACTAAGCCTTTACTTAGAAGACGTTGGTGCTGTTACATCCTGAATATGTTTTTGGTACAACTGTCAGCAACATTGGTATTTTTGGAAGATCCAAGGTCTTCCGTACCGATATTCTCAGCAACCCAAGTGATATACGCCTATGCGTCAGAGTAAAAAAAAAAATACAAGCTGTCGTTCATGATAGACTGCATCTCCAAGTATTTTAACCCACTGGTATCCGTCTTTCATCAGCGGATAGGAAGATATCCTCTGATGGAAGTACATGTACTCAACTCACTGTTTAATATTCATTCACCATCAGTCTGAAGGTGTAATACGTTCGATAGTGACGATGTTATCTGAGAGACGCAAGAAACAGTAAGCAACAGATGTTACCTGGTTTGTGAATTTTGGAAGAGAAAGTAATTGTGCAATAAATATCATATATTTATCTAAATCTTTTGTCTTCACCAGAATCTTTTGCATCATCTAAATATCGCAGCAAAGGGAAACCCAAGTGGATGAAATAGTTCTTTTGTAGAAGAAATAGAGTTTTGGTGTTAATCAAATGTGCATGTTTGTTGCAATAACTGCAAGGGCTCTTGGCAAATATATTGTTACCATTTTAGGACATTGTAACATTACACGTATGAGATACTGTCGAGGACATCTTTAAATGGCGAACATTACAAAATTTTACACGTCTGCCAGTGTTGATATTTGTACATAAAAGCTACTATTCCATTTGAGCAGCAAATGGATCATTATAACTCATCAGATGATGTCAATGCACTAGAATAAGACCAGAAAATTACAAAAATATGAAATGAATTTTTACAGATCCTACTGATCTGTACTGTAATGAACTCATATATTTTTGCAATGCCATAAAGCATGAGAGAATTTCCTGCTGATGACAGCACAAACTCTGGATTTCCAGTTATCAATTCACACATCTTGTGAATCATATTCATCTTCATCAATTCCCATGATATCTCTGATGGTTTCAGAAATGCTCATCACAGACTTGGCTTCCAAGCTAAGATTATGACATCAGAAACTACATTTCTAAAACAGCTGGTCTTATGAATATTAGGATGGACTTTATATTCAAAAATGTCAATATCATTTCAGTTTCAGTCCATAGAATTATACACAAGTCCTAATATCATACTTTCACCAAACAAAAGGTGCCCTTTCTCGTAACATTCTAGCATTAAACTGTTTCCATTCTCTTTGATATATCCATAATTCTTGTGTTGTATCCAGACAAGCCAAGATGGCCGCTCCCTTCCAACAAATTATCCTAGGATCACCATCCTGTAAAACACAAGGAAAGAACCTCAGACGTGATGTTGTATGGTTTTTAAATAGTCACAGGTAGTGTCAGAAATCTACATTTTATGGGTGATGAACCTGGTTCATATTTGGATTTTTCTGTTTTTTTCTTTACCTTAGATTTTGAGAGTATATCCATGCTCTCCATCTGTAAACGTTGATAATGTGGAATGTTGGGTATTATACGATTTGTTAAACATTTCTGAGTGCATTCATAATTCATTCCTCCACCAACCAATAAAACACAGCTATACATCTTTCTTTTGATATCATCATTACCTGAAGGTTAATAAAAATTCCACAATAATATTGTTAGCCTAGTTGATAAATCCAGTTGCAGAGCGCCATCAGGAATATCACATCAGCGTTCAGGCATTCACACATAAACAGAGCAGGGCAACTTTAAATCAATCATTCGCTATGGAGGATTTTGTTTGTGTGTTCCTATTGCTTGACAGCCAAGCTGCGAGCGGAAAAAATACAGCCATATATCCTGAATGTGTCGCTGTGTATCGCTCCGCTTGAACTGAGGGTCTGTACAATCAAAACTAACTAATCACTAATGCTGCTTCGAAAAAAAAGAATATGCTCAATTTTCTCATATTGGCCTTCCCAAACATGGCTAAAATATATTTAACAAATAAGTAAACTTTTGATAATGTCGGACTATATTATAGCCTTTTTGGTCTGTCAGGATCACGGATTAGTGTCGTAATTCATAATATACAGAATATTGTAGTACCGTACGCAAAGTTCTTTTAGGCTGATATAAGAGGGAAATTAATCAAGACCAAAAATATGTCGGATTGCGCAGAATGTTGAGTACTCAGATTTCGGAATCACAGAGTACACTGTACTTACTACACTTTTCAATACTGTATAGTATAGCCTCATCTATACCCATCAACTGAGTTACAGGCCCTTCTTCTAGCTCTTCATCTTCTTCCATTTCTTTACGTCTGTCTTTACTAGTATCATTCTGTTGGAGGCTATCAGTATTGGTTTGGAGATTATCAGGTGCTTCATTCGAATCATCATCCATTTGTGAAGATACAAACTGGCTATCATCTTGATTCATACTAATATCTGTATCTTTCATTTCCTCTGCTCCTTTCTTAGATGACAGTTTACCTGCCTAAACAAATTAACAAAGCATTTAATGCATGGCTTTGGTTTAGCAATGCCAATTGCCAGATATTAGATATAGGAAGTCAAAGAGAATAACCTTGAAACCAAGACAAAATACATCATGCAATATACATGTAAACAGAAATAAACACCAATGTTTTATAAAAATTCGAACATGAAATCACAAACAGTCCTCATAAAATGATGATCAATGCTACAAGATAACTACCAAGGAAAGTGACAGTGAATTCAACTGAAATTTCTGTGTGTGTCTGTCCCAGAGAAAGGGGGGCTACTTCAGTTATTCTATAGCAGATTATACTTTTTGACTTTTTAACACATTAGAAAGTGACTGTATAAAATGTATTATAATGCTGCCCCTTTACCTCTCTGTTCTGTCGTTGTGTTTGAATGAGATAATGATCATCATGAGGATCAGACGGATCACCTTCATTACGACCTTGAACTCTGACTAAGTGGTTGCCTTGGAGACCAAACATATCTGGATATAACAAACTTAATGGTGTTAAAACCAGTTCATCTCCCATTTTCACATAATAATGTACAGCATTCTTCGACACTTTCTTTATTTCTATTTCTTGGTCCAGAATACCATAAACATCCTAAAAAAATGAAAATGTTCACATAAGACATAATAAATAAATAAATAAATAAATAAATAAAAAATAAATAAATGAGAGTTGAATGAACTGCTATGGAATATCATGAACTCTCAAAGGCATCATAAAACTGAATTGATATTTCATTTTAAGCCCAAATGACAAGTGAACACAATTACTTGTCAAAATTTAACAAGTTTTATGCTGAAATAAAAAATTGGCAAAATCTGAGTAAAGGCTCACTTTTCTTTCTGTACGTAAAATGAAGAGAAATTTAAGTGTGGGAAGGTCAAAGCCAGACAAACTTCAGTTTTGCCACTGATTAATTTATGATCTATACCATACCAAATCTAGATGACAATAGGTCTCTTTTAAATCTTGTAAAACAAAGCCATCGACTAGACTGCTATAATTCAGGTCACGTAGAGGTACTCCAGCTCGTCCTAATAACCAATGAAATACTCTAGTAACATCTCCACCGCCATATTCCATTGTTATCCTGAAATACACATCCAAAGTTTGGTTCCCAATTTTTGTGTTCAATTTGTACATCTGAAAGCAAAGCCTACATCACTTGAACATTAACCCTTTCAAGAATAAACTTGAAGATTAACCCTTTTAAGAATAAACTTGAACATTAACCCTTTCAAGAATAAACTGGAACATTAAACCTTTCAAGAATAAACTGGAACATTAACCCTTTCAATATAAACTTGAACATTAACCCTTCCAAACCTGGAATCCAATATACTGGATCCAAAATTACACACCACAATACCTAAGCGACTGGTTAACCGACGGTTACAAAGTGACATCACACCAAGTTAAAGTCATAAGCTTCAACATATTATATTACTTGGAGTTCAGGGTATATGAAGTTTTTTTCATTTATACTCAGGGTTCAAAGGGTTAAAATTTCTTATAAAATAGGACATTTTGTTGTTTTAAATAACTACATTGTTTGATGTCAGCTAGAATAAAGTTCCAAAGAAATTTTTTGTACATCACTCCCTTTGATAATTGTATAAGTTGGATAGGACAGGATAGTACCTGGTATGTTTGTTAGAAATACCATCTTCTACACAGCAGACACTTGTCTTTTGATCTCCAACATCTACAACACAGGCACTAGTAACACCACACCCAAACACAGCACATACTGATTCCTGTAATATAAAACACACTTGTTATACCACACTCAAACACAGCACCTACTGATTCCTGTAATATAAAACACACTTGTAATACCACACACCCAAACACAGCACATACTAATTCCTGTAATATAAAACACACTTGTTATACCACACTCAAACACAGCACCTACTGATTCCTGTAATATAAAACACACTTGTAATACCACAACCAAACACACTTGTAATACCACAGCCAAACATAGGACATACTGATTCCTCCTGTAATATAAAACACATAGTAACACCACAATCAAACACAGCACATACTGATTCCTGAAATACACATATCATCACCACAACCAAACAAAGCACATACTGATTCCTGTAATATAAAACACACTTGTAACACCACACCCAAACACAGCACATACTGATTCCTGTAATATAAAACACACTTGTAATACCACAACCAAACACACTTGTAATACCACAGCCAAACACAGGACATACTGGTTCCTCCTGTAATATAAAACACATAGTAACACCACAATCAAACACAGCACATACTGATTCCTGAATACACATATCATCACCACAACCAAACACAGCACATACTGATTCCTGTAATATAAAACACACTTGTAATACCACAACCAAACACAGCACCTACTGATTCCTGTAATATAAAACGTAATCACTAGTAACACCACAACCAAACACAGCACCTACTGATTCCTGTAATATAAAACGTAATCACTAGTAACACCACAACCGAACACAGCACATACTGATTCCTGTAATATAAAACACAGACACTAGTAAAACCACAACCAAACACAGTACCTACTGATTCCTGTAATATAAAACACAGACACTAGTAAAACCACAACCAAACACAGTACATAGAATCCATCAGAATATGACAAAATCTTACCTGATGGACAATAACACCAGCAAATCCAAGATTATCTAATAACATATCTACCATGGCAATCACATGTTTATGTATGTAAATATCAGGTATCAATAATATCACACGATATACCTGAATAAAATAAACATTAAACAGGGAATAATTTACTGAGAAACCAACTTTTAAGCCAGCATATTAGACAAATTCTGCATAGTGGGACAATTATTTTTTTTTTGTTACACTTTGCTATCTCTAACTGGTCACCACAAAACACTGGTATATGGCTGATAATTTTAAAATCACAACTTGCCATCTTATGGCCAAGACTTGCACCTGATGGTATTTCTTTTGGAGGAATCTACTACTATTAATCCTGATTTTGCCATTCTTTTGACAAGATTTTCTTTTAAAGGAATTGTTTTCCTTGTATAGATTTTTATTGCTGTTAGAAAGATACCCCAGTTACTGTTCACTATATGCTTTGGTACTTAAAGAAGAGTCTAAATTCATATTCACAATAAAGAAATAACAAACCTTAAAATCTGCCTTAGAAATATCAAGATAATGTTCTATAACATACAGCCATATTGTTTCAAGATCAGCTATAACTGCTGTTAGTGAACCACCAGGTCCTTCATGAATGTTGAGCTGTCCTCTTTGTATCGGCCATGACAATCTATATTGATCAGATGGATGGACATGGATTGCCTGGTGAAAAAAAAAATCTTTGAAAATACAGTGGGCTTGAATAAAGTATCGCATACATCAAGAGGTTTCAAAAATACCACAAAAGGTCTCCTAATTGTCGTACAAAACAATATTCATTGTCATCATAAATCATAAAATTTCATGCTTAAAAGAAAAACTTGCCTAAGTACAAAAGCAGTGAAAATTTTGAAAGATTAATCCACATGTTTCTGGCTCTAGACACTACAGTGCTTTTTTTGTTCAGTAACTATGCAAATTGTCATAATCATTTTGGTAAAGATCTTTAACAAAGAAAATATACACTTACATCTTCTCCAATTAAAAAAGAAGGCTTTGATGATGTATTTGCCCATTCTTTTACACACTTAATATCAGTTCTCTCTGCCTGTACTGTTGTATTATGATTAGCCAACTAAAAATACATAATAAGCACATTTTCACATATCAATATTAACATGTGCAGGTCTCATTCATTTCCCTCCTCTAAATCTACAATTTGCCATTCATTTTTCTTCTGTCCTTACATTAGTTTTCGAACCAAAAACTCATAGTTTTTTGCATTCTAGAAATTAGCAACAAGATACTTTTAGTTAAAACTATAAAGAGACAGATGCTCCATTTTTTTGACCAATCATACTTTAGTCTCAGAAACGAGAATTTTTTTAGCTAAGCCAATCAGTAATAGTGTTCCCAACTCATTGTCGAAATTTGAGTCTTCAAATCCATGTGTGTCCAGAATTATCTGCGTTTGAATGTTAAAATAACAACTCATTATTTTAAGATACTCTACGATTTATAGAAAATTCCTATTTGAAGTATTTTTAAAAGAATTATGTGATTTCAGTACATGTACTTCTGAAGACTATTTACATATATTCAAGATTAAATTTAACCCCCCAAAATGCTGCAACTGTCCCTTTAAAATAAGGTAACAACAGACACATTTTACTATAGTTTGATCCCTACTTTTCCTTAATTTGAGCAATTAACTTTTCCAAACTATTAAAAACATCAAACTAACCTCTCTATATGATGTGGAAGGTCTGATATTTCCATTCTCCATCACTCTATTAGATAGTACTTCTTCTGCTGTTTTTAAACCATGTTTCATTACCTGTTTAGAATCAGATTGCTGAAATTAAAAATCAATAAAATTTATCAAAACAAATAATGGCTGCTACTTAGACATGCCAGACTTCAGTGTTTCAATCAAAACTAGGGCTGGGTGATATTGATTCATGTTGTCATCACGATATGGGTATATATCGCGATATTTCTTAAGCATGGTTTTTACTGATTTTTGATACAAAATGTTTCTTGTTTTTCCATCTAAATCTCAAAAACACTCCAGTCTTGAATATCATGAAAAAAACATCTGTTTCAAACATTAATTCACAGTAATAAATACATAATACGAAATATGACAAAAAACAGCAGGATTTTTATTTTTACTCAGAAAGCACAATTCTCATGACAGATCTTGACAGCCCTCATAAACATTTGTCAAATAAACCTAATAAAAAAAATATGGAACGAAAGTTTTGATTAATTTTTATAAAACTGCATGAAACTTTAACCACTGATGTTGTTCCAATAAGCTATGTTTATAGAGAGCAATTTTTCCTTATTATTAGAATACCAGTTTGTCTCACATGTCCATAATAATTAATTCATAATTAGCTAAATTAGATGAGAATTACCAACAAAATTCCAATGAGTGACTGATATTGAAAGGTTAAAAAGTTGTTTATCCTGACTGTACATACATGGACATTTATGACTGGTTAAAACTCTAAATTGCAATTGCTTAATTTGACACTAAAAAATAAGGAATTCCATCTTTAAACATCACCTACCATACTCTGAGGTCTCATCCATATTGTAGACTGTGTCTGTTGATTAATAGGTGATTTATTTCTACGTGAGATACAGTGAGGTATTGTTAATGGCTGACTGTCAACAGCTCTACCAATCAATAAATTCAATGATCCTGGTTGAATTATAATAATTTGACCTGGTTGAATTGGTTGCTTAAAGTAAAAATTTATACACATAGAGACTTATTAAACACAAGATAAATAATCGTCTAGTGTTAGAATAGATCATTTTCAATCGAAAATTTGAATATAGGCCTCAAATCCAAGAAATTTCAACAAAAAATGTTCCACATTTTATCTGAAAATTATCCTCTAATATTAATACTTTTAAATATATAAGCTTAGAACTAATCAATAGATAATGTCATTTAAAGACTAAAACTTAAAATAGTGTCAGTCGTTTTAAAACTGATGAAAAAGATTCAGTAAAACATGATTTACCAACTAATTGGTGAAGACGAATAAGACGGCAATCTCATACCTTGACCATGATAATAGACATTAACAGTAATTACACTAGATCTACTACTAGTATAACTTAAGTACTAAACCCTACTAAATTACAATAATAATAAAACACATTTCAGATTTCGTTCACTGGCATGTAATAACAGCTATAAAAATCTATCAAACTACTCACTTCAACTGAAGGCTCTGGGGCAGCGTGCACAAAGGGTTTTTTGCTTGAGGTAGGGGGCATTTTGCAAGTATTTTTGCAGATTTCTAAATTAAATTTCTTAAATTTCCATTACCGGAAGTACTTTCAATGTGAACTACGTCATCACTTTTGTTGTAAAGAGCAGTATTTATTTCGCTACTAAAAAGAATGAAATGTGCTTAAATCGATTGAGTTGCAAGAAATAGAATAATAACGAAATATCTATTTTTAGAAATGATCTGCAAAATCCTGAAGATTGATTATTGGCACAATCTGATTAGATTACTTTCACTACAATAATTACTCCTTTTCACGTGACTGAAATCGTCTTTCTGATTGGCCGAATTATGAAATACTGCGGGAAATTTCTCGTACAGGGCAGTCTGGATGAGGATTTCTTAGCGAAAGTTGAGAAATCCCCCGCTAACCCTAGCTTATCATAGTCGTCCTTTCATTTTGGTTTGTTTTTTCCTTCAGCTTTTTGTCGACTAGGAAGGACGACTTACTGTCCAAAAAGCTGATAGTCCAGACCTTGTGGGGTGTCGAAATATCTCACATTGAAGACATATTTGTGGTTGAATTCGACAGGGTTGTGATGTCAATCAAAGATGGCAGACGAGGGTTTGTCCCTTTTCCGACCATTTTCGGTGAATGTCACATTTCCAGACCCCCACAAATAGTAACTTGCCACTATGTAGGTTAATCCTGCAGTGAATTATGCAGCGATACCTATGTCAAGGCATACAGCATTACATTCTCGCATTATGTGAGTAGAGCAGATTTAGTCACAGGCACTCTTTACATAGTGCTATATTGTAATTCTTGAGTCTTGAATATTATATAGGGCCTAGTCTTCAGAAATACTACAAATGTACGAAATAGTATTACGCATAATTCCTTCAAAAATATCTCGAACAAGGAAATTATTTTCATATTTCAAAAGATGTCCTTTTTATATATGGCAGTGTCTCATAAAAAGACGACTAGTTTTTGTTAACTTTCAAACTCGGTTACTTCTGGACACATAGATTTGAAGATCTAAATTTCGACGGTGAGCTGTGAACACTAGCCTTTTACTTATTGGCTTAGTTAAACAAAAAATCCCGTTTCTGAGACTAAAGTAGGCCCATCTGTTCCTTTATGTAAGTTGTTCCCATTTCTGACAAATTAAAAAACATGAATTTATTACGCTTTTGTCTTTAAAAATATGGACCCTCTTAGACGCTCCATGGGAGGCTTACACAGAGTTGCTGCATTAGTTTGAGAGGGTTCTACCCCAAGAGAAAATGGAAATATTTCATTAGTAATAGTGATCAGTTGCTTGTCAATAGTAACTGGTTTCTTTTCAACCATCCTAATCATTATAGCAAAGTTCTTTGAACTGATAATCTTTTTCAACATCAGAAAATCTGCTTTTAGAAAATGTATACAAAAACACATTTGTAGAAAAATACTTTATTTAATAAAATGATAGAATCAGAAATTGGTTATGAAAAATATAGCAAAATCTAAAAATTGCAAGGAGGAAATATTATTTAAGCAGAAAACTGGAATGTAGTATTATTACTTGTCTTATAGATCAGTAATGGCCGGAAATCTAAATAATTTGTTTGTGTTGTTTTTATATTTGAATGATTTGTGGCACTATTTTAATAAACTAATTACTATTATCAAAACCTTAATCGAGTTCTCGAGAAAGTTTTGAAATATTAATTTCCATTTTTTTTAGAATGATAAAATCTTATATAGAATAGATTAAAGTTGGGTTGCCGCATTCCTTTAGACTCACATCAAGTTTACTATTTGATGAATTGAAAGATACAAAAGTATAAAATAACATCTAAAATGTGGGATGAAAATAGTATAAAAAATTGCTGTCAGCTTTGCGTAAAATTATGTCAGAAACGGAAAAATTGAGTAATTCATGATGTAAGGTGTTTTTTTCTTTTTGATATGTTCTAGTTCAAAGATAAAGCATTATAAAGGGATAGAAAACATAAAAATAAAAATTCAAAAAAAATTCAGTGGCTCAGACAAAGTCTTAGAAAAATATTCAGAAAATGAATTTAAAATTTTCATATATTATTATAATTTCCGAAAATAAACTGTGGTTCTTTTAGCACTGCGGAATTTTCAGGAATTCAACGATCTTAATTTACTGGTTAATGTGCTTTACAAAAGATCAAAATTACGAGTCGAATACTTATGCAAATGCATCCGAATTACATTTTATTACAACACTTTTGCTATCAAGAAAATATCTGAACTACTGAATTACACTTAAAAAAAATATAGATGATGATTTGAAAAGTCCGTTCTGTGTTTTTGTCCCCGTTGATAATGATTGTATTTTGGATTTTTTTCTGTAAAAGAGAGTTATTAGGCTATAGACATTGCAACTATTTAAAAACTTTTGTTAAAGGTGTTATTTTCACATTTGTGACATTTTGTTTGTTTCTCTTGTTCAAAAGTGTGTTTTGAAATTTGTTTGTATAATGCGCTAGTTTGCATCTTCAATACATGTATATGTTCAGACTATTTTATTCAAATGGAATTTTTGTTTTTCAAATCATCATCAAAATCATCTTCTTAATCTATATAATCTGGATATGGTACTGTTTCCTTGTATGGTGTTTGAACCTCGAACTGTTCCCTGGGCGGGGTCACTAGTCTAACTTGGGGAAGTCTTTCACCCTTAGGTGAACTGCGGGACATCTCAAACGTACTTGGTCCAAAGTGACTGCCTTGTGATGAAGAGGCTTTTCTACCATTACCATTTATACCACTCGATGCAGGACTACTCTATAAATAGAAAACAGAATATGCTTCAGTATTTGATTAATTTTACTAGAAGTTAAATATATATTAGCACGAATTACAAAATATGTCTTTATATGGCTAAGTATTAGATTTTTCGATTAAAAAGACGATGGCTTTAAGAGCTGAGGATAGTATTGTTGGGTAATTCAAAAATTAATTTGAGTTTCACAATCCCATAAACCGCAGTCAGCAACAGACCGGTCCTACTATAAGCGCTTCGATTGGTTAAAAATTAACGTCATTGGCATACGGTTGCAATAGAAACCTTGTTAGATGGGTGAGACGAAAATATGAGAAAAAACGCATTTGTAATTTAATTTTAATTAGATTGTTGTTCATTTTACTTACATTCATAGATGGTACACCAATTAGTTCCTGTTCTCTCATTGGCCCATTTAAACCATCATATTGATATCGTCTATTAAACATCACCATTTGACTTGATCCTGACCGAGACTGAAATAAATGAAAAAGGGACATTGATCATAAAAGGACCGCAATATGAATTAGATTTATCAAATGTACTGCTCAATGACCATTCGGTTTTAAAAAAAACTGCATCTGTGTCGGTAATGTTGAATTGCGTTGTGTCTTCTTTTGGCGAGACTCTTTACTACCGGTATTTACCAGTGATTCGTCAAGAGGTATTAATATTGCAGAGATTTTGTGTCAGAATTATTCCCTAAATGCTATAGAGCTAATCATTTGTATCCAAATCGTACGAAGTTGGTTTCAGAGAGATCGCGGATTGTTTGCTCAATGACTTCCCACTCTAAGCTGACATGTTAAGGCAAGCTTGTAAATAAAAGAAAATAAGCTTACCCTAGGATATTCTTCTTCATTCTAAAAAATAAAAATAAAAATGGTTCATTACTTGATTCCTCTTGAGTCCTTTTCCTTAAGACCGAAAGGTTAAAATGCTTTTGCTAGAAAAAGTTAATCTTACATGTTTTATGTGATTTCTGTTTGCAAATGTTCCGAAGATCTCTAGATGCCCCAATAACTAACAACTTATTGTAGTTCAAATGAAATTAAGCTTTGAAACTGATTTCAAAAGCCTAAAAATATTAATACTCACGTCAAGATTATACGCGTTGTTATCAAAGGTAATCTGTTTCTTGTCATCGTCACTAGAATGGTTTGAATTATTTGATCCATAGCGATTGAAAAACTTAGACCACTTGACCCGACTGAAACAAAAATATTTTTAAATGAATACCATCATGTTATTGTCTGAAACAAGTCCAATGTAAACAATGTTATCTAATATCTCTGCTTTTTGTTCTGTATTGTGCTCGTTTGTTCCAAAATATCCTTGTGTAATCCACGATATCCTTGTGAGTCCACATCATCTTCGTGTGAACCACTATATCCTTGTATGATCAATGACATTCTACTCCACAATATCTTTGTGTGTCCCAAAATAACCTTGTGTATTCCATGATATCCATGTTTGAACCACATATCCTTGTGAGTCCACATGGATATCATGGGTAATGTGTGTTCCACAATATCCTTGGGTGCTCCACGATATTCGTCTGTGATCCACGATATCGATGTGTTAAACAATCGCTTTGCATGCTTTTTGAATATCAACTGTCATAACAATTAACAAATTGTATCTTACCCTCTTCTAACCATGCAGATGTAACAAATCAAGGCAATGATTGCCATCATTAACAGTACACCAATAACTATCAAAGCAATCATCCAACCAACCAGTCCATCGCAGTTAGGTTCATCTTGAGAACAGGCACATTCATAGCGATTCTCATAGTTATAACAAACATACGGCCAGCTACATGGAGAACTTGTACATTCATCATAGTCGTCCTGGCATCTTGAACCAACCCAACCATCTGCACATTTACATGAATAGTGATCATCAAAACTCTCAGCTCGACGATAATTCTCACAGGTATATGTAGCATCAGAGGCTTAAAAATAATTTATATTCATAATAAACACAATAAATCTGCACGTCTCAATTTACATGTGAAATGACAGAGTTCAAACAGGACCCACTCCCACGCCCCACCTTCAACACGAGTCATTTAGGATTGGAGTCAATTCCTTTCTACATCACATCAACAGCTCATCGAAAACTTACATTTTGGTTGACAAGTTCCTCCATTCAGACAAGGCATCATCATCATGGCCATTCTAATACTGACAACATCAGAGCTGGTTCCGGCATCATCAGTAATAAACATCCTTATGTCGTCATAGCCAGATACTCCTTCTTCAGGTTCATAGGTCATTGTATAATATAACCACTTCATTTGATTGACAGGATGTGGTAGGGACATTCTGTTACACGGTAGACTTGATTCCTGAAAATCAAAAAAATATTCTAAGATAAAAGTTCGATTTGAAGACAAATTCTGCAATCTGATTGGACAATTAGAAAATATAAATCTGAATTTAAAATTAAGTATCCAATCAAGAACAGGGTACAGTTTTAGAGAATAAGGGCCCTAAACGTCATTGATCCAGTCATCGTGTATTATGCAATCTCTCTGCAAGAGCTACATACACTATGGTACTCTTTTTAATATAATAAGCCTATTTTACCTTCGCTTCAATTCCGCAACTTGGAGTATTTTCATACCCCGGACTGATAGTGAGTGAACCATTTTTAGGTCGATCAATAAATAATCTAAGTTTATCGCTGGTATCCACATCATATACACCGAATGTCCACGAATATTGGTGAGAATCATTCAAACCTAATCTATTCTGTTCCATCAGGAGCTAGAACAAAAAATCATAAAAATTATAATGGATCATCCAGCAAAATTTTCGTTATCTTTTACCATTTCAAGTCAAATAACTTTCAAAGAGTAGCAGTGGATCGGGTATCTAGAAAAACTGATTAAAAGATGATTTCTTGGCCAGCAGGATTTGCATTAATAAATGCCACAGGAAGTACGAAATCGTCCTTTCCAGAACTGTCCAGAGCAAATTTAGAACCTACCACGACAGTTTCTGTAGGATCTGATAGCAATAAGCTTTTATCTTTTTTCAAAGCAAAAACCGTCGGGGCATCATTAGCTTCAGTTACTACGATCTTCAACGTCTCTTCGGTTTCTTCTGGAGGTATTTCTTCTGATTGTACTTCTGTTATTTTAACAGGAACTTCTATTTCTCCTGAACAATCTTTACATGGTAAATACATTAGTCTAAAAAAACAAAAATGGTCTAATTAAAGAAATCATTTACTACCTAATCAGACTTAACACAAAACTTTTTCTGCAAAAGGGTAAAACTTATATCTCCAAAAGTCTTACTTTAAAAAATTGCTCAATATTGCTTCTGAAATATATCAAAACTATGAATAAGAAGACAATGTGTCGGAGCTACTGCAAGTGGGTTAGAAGATGATGATGGGGATATTGCGAGTAGAAGATGATGATGATGGTGCTGCGAGAGAGTAAGAGATGATGATGATAGAATTCGAGAACACGATGAGGATATTGCGAGTAGAAGATGGTGGTGAAAGAACTGCTAGTAGTAGATGATAATGATGATGAAGAGACTTGCTATTGATGTTGGTGATAATGCTGATGATGATGATAATACTTTTAATGCTGATAATGAAAAAGAACTTACAATCCTTTAGCTGTGAGATTCACACTGCCAAGTGATGCTGACGGTGTGGAACCAAATGAATACACAACTTCATCTCCTTCTGGGTCTACCACCTTCAATTGATACACGATAGTTCCTACAAAATCAGAATCGAAATATTAGACTTCAGCTTAAATCACTTGATGACTCTAATCTTGTACTTTGGTTTTAGCCACAGAACCTATTACATGTATATAACAGACACACTTTCCAGGCACCACCAGACTAAGCCAATCTGCCCGGCCCCTTACAGCCGTTTGTCCCCCCAGATTAGGGAGGTTGGCGCTGCCAAGGGACGATGAAGTATTTCAATCGCTTACCTTCATCTTCTATCATGGTGAATTGTCTGGGTACATCAGGAGCTAACTGTGGTGGAGTGTTGGGTATTTTACGTAATACATCAGTTACCATAAACTGTGTATCTCTTTTGAAATATGCATCTTTTCCTACAGCTCGTTTTGTTCTGGTGGTTACAGTTTCATCTGAACTCCATGTATCACATACCTTAAATAATCAGAAAAGAGTTAAAGGCATTGTATTTGTAAGATAACAGTTCAGATACTAGGGTCATAGCTGGTTGTGTTTTACTTGAAAAATAAATTCAGGGGGAGAGATCTGGTTGAACCCCTGTTTACTGACCGTGATTCAACACATGCCCTTAGGGCATTTCATAGTTTTTGAGACAAAAGCCAATGTTTAGAAATTTTCCTTATAATTGTACTAAACATTAGACAATACAATTTTGAAACCACTGTGGTCGAAAAATAATCTAGAATTTATTACCTTAATCTTAATTTCTCCTGTAGTCTCATTAACTATTTCTGTGTTTGCTTCATTTTTGCATGTTCTTTTACTGAGTTCCCATATTGATTTAGCTGAAGTAAGAGAATAAAATAAAATTGAAAAAGGGCCGTGTTAAAGGGAAACTATCAAAATCGAAACATTTGCTCTCCTTTTAATAATTAGCGTAGGAGAAACAAAAAATGCACAAGCATAGGCTATCAAAAGAAAGAATGGTGGCACAGTGCTGAGGACGCTCAAGGCTTACAACTGGCTCCGTGAACCAAAGTTTGCTTCGAGGGAGATATTTAAAAAAAAAAATCTAGTGGCAGTGTTTGAGATCGAACGTAATGTATTAACTAATGAGAACTTTACCTGGATTCCAATGTATCAACATAGGTTGTTTATCAGCATCTGTTGTAGCTGGATTGTATTTGATGGTGAATTCTAGTGGACCAGGCATAGGAAGATTACCAACTGATGTTACACTGAACGATTTATCTCCTGCGTTGGGATTTAATCTGAAATTCAAAATTAAGGAATGTTAAATGCTGGAAAGAAAAGTAACAAATGGGTGCCAAATAATTCTGAGGATTGGCGACATCGTCGGAAGAGTTGGCATGGAAAAAGCGTCTAGTTGTTCGGAAGCGACAGACTATGTACTTTAAAGATCCCTTGAGACTCGACTGGTGGAAAGTGAAAAAGAGTAGGCTAATGCCGTTTTCCCTCATTGCGCACTGCATCACATTTTCTGTCTTCATTCGCCTATTAATTTCAGGAGAGTAGGACGTAAAATTCCATTCCACTTCATTTAGAAGTGTAATAAAAAAGAAGATAGTAGTTGTACCTATTGAGAAGTAATCTATGAAGATATCGAGATTGAGTCAACGTAGTGGCAGGGTTTGTTATATATGATATAAATTCTGTACTAGCATCAGATCTATAATCGGCCTCTAATTGAACTGTAGTCAGTTCTGTTTCCATGATGGTCTGACCTGGTTGTAGACCTAAATAAAGAAAAATGACTGATAAGTAAACTAAACGATTAACACTCCAGTTGTGGCTGTTGAACTTTGAATTGGGATGGAAGAGGTTCGGTCAAAAAAATATTGGCAAATATAGCGAGCGACCCAGGCAACGAGCCATTCAAGAGTAGTCCGGTGACTGGTTGTCATGGAAAAAATTTGAAAATAAAGGGCCCAAATTCAGCATGTCATGCAATATTGAAAGAGTAGTCTCATAAATGTTTCACTAAGAGAGCGTGTACCTGCGACACACAAAACTTCAAGAAGTGCTAATGAGTTAACAATTAAATCTGCCAAGGTTCTATTTGTATTCTCCCATTTCATTGTTGGGAAGTTAGTTTATCTTGAGAGCTTACACATTGGAATCCGAATTTGATAATGACCAAAACCTCTCGAAATACATACCCGGTGGAGTTTTAATAACAACATCTGTGACAGCACGTTTCTTTCTACCGGTGGAAGATCCTAGACTAACTTCAACACTTTCACCATTTGTAGAGGTGGCCATTTTGGAATTAGCGTCAACAATGATAGAAGTACCGACATTTCTAACAGTACAGCGTCTAGCTTCGTTACACATTCTCATACACAAGAACAGAGTTCTTCCAGGTTCCATCTTGTAACCAGTGGTAGCAGTGGAAGTGTCGTTTGTGTCTGTTTGATTCGGGTTATAGGCACCAATTGGTTCAACCTTTTCCCCATTGATCTGTAACCAGCCATCTTTGATTGCGACTTCTCCAGACACATTGTAACCAACCCAAGTAAATGGGAATATATCGTCACAAGGATCTACTGTACTACCAACACCAAAATCTGAAATCAGCATTGAATCATAAGACAAAATAAACAAAATGGCGAATACAAGAAACAGAACTATTAGTTCTGCAAGTTTCAAAATTGATGGTAAATGAGTTCTGCTCTAAAGAACTTTCTGGGTGCGGACTACAAATTGTGGATTGTGATTTGGAGAGATGCATCTGCATGTTCTTGGATATGAAACGCCTATAGACAATATATATTTAATTACCATATTCTCTAATAGAGGGATCAGCACTAACAGTCCAGGAACATCCAATGGAACTTGGATCTGTTGATTTCATAGCAGTAGGTGGTGAAACTTTCTCTGTAAATGGCTCAGCACCTGTGATGTTGGTATTTATATCAGCGATATCAGGAGCGTTCAGCAACACCGTTACACCTGTAATAATAGTAATAATAGTAACGACAATAGTACTATCATAATGATAGTAATGATAATAATCATCATTATCATAATAGTAACAATGATAATGATGATAATAATAATGATAATGATAATGATAATGATAATAATAATAATGATAATAATAATAGTAATATCAATAATGATAATGATAATAATAAAAATAATAATAATGATAATGATAATGTTGCGGTTGGGATGTTAAATCCACTCAAAAAAAGGCGTATCCTCGATGCAATAATGAGACGAGCTTAAAAGATTTGTAAAAGCATTATGTGACGCATTGTAGTTTCCTCAGAGTTAATATTTTACTATACCTTTCTGTTCATTGTAGACAGTTTCTAAGCCTGCACCATTTCTACATTTGACAGAAACATAGTAGGTAGAATTATCTTCCAATATTCCTAACAGATTTCTGTTGGTTCCTGAAGGATTTATACCAGTTGATACATACTCTTGAATATCCAGTCCTCCTGGTGTAGTTCCTATAGCCCATTGATACTCCTAAAAGAACCAAGTAAGCTTATTAAGCCCTTTCATACAAATCATATAATAACACGCAACATGAGCACACATTATGTCTTGAAAATTTGTTTCAATTTTCAGCTAAAATTTGTGACATTTTGGGGTGAAAATTCTAGGAGAGAAATGTGTTTCTTATCGATGTAATCTCACAAAAAAAGTATATTTTTATCAAAGCAAATACATTCAAAGCAACTTTATTATTGAAATTGTCAGAGCAATATATAGAGATAAGTATTATCATTACAAAACATACCACTATCAAACTTTCTGTATCTTCACAGAGGAAAATGGATCTGATGGTGTCATTAGAAGCTTGGTAGGACACGGGAGTAAAATTACCCTGGTATACATCAATATATAGGAAGGTTTCTTCAAAGACCTCTGGTGGAGTAACATCAACATAGAAACCATTAGATGAAGATATTACACTCATTCCTGAGCCAAGAACAGCTTTCACTGAAATAAGACCAATGTATCCACATAAACAAATTATCAGTATGGATATTTCCATGAGCCCCCACCTGAGCATCTGAAAATTCACAAGAGAACCATTGAAAAATAGAATTAATTTGGTGTCTTCTTACACATACTTTGGGTTAAAAACGTATTAAAGTAAAATTTCTGAATTTGGTAGAAATGAAGTGGGGGTGCAATTGGAGGGTACAAACTATTTCCTGGGGCAAATGCCAGATACCCTTCCCCCTCTCCGCCTAGCGCCTCATCGGGTCTGTCTGGCGCCAAATCATACGCAATGAAAACCTCTATTCTACTATGTTCTTGACTAATGCAGATATTGGTCATTTAACCAACTGTAAGAGTTGGCAATATTGACCACTGTGGTTTTGATGTTGTATTTTCCTCTAATCTTACCTGTGAAATGGTAATGTATAGCTTTTTCAGTTCCATTCACTATTTCTGTGGCATTTAGCTCCAAATTGTTCAGTTTAAGATTATGTTGAGTCACTTTTTGACTGTTACATGGTGGTAGACATTCAAATCTATCACACGGTGTCTGACATGGAATACATGGTCTTGTTACCTACAACAAGAATTTGAACATAACTTTGATGGGTTGTTTTACATACAGTTGCTTTTGCTTTGAAGGCAAAAGAAGTCTTTGTGAATATTGCAGATATCTGCATGAGGATAATCAAATTGGGTCTTAGTGTACATGTACTGAATCCAATACATCAAACATCTGTAGCTATTTAACCTTCTGATAGCTATTTTCACAGACGACAACTCTCAAAATAGCCATTAATTTAATACAAGGGATTAAATTGTTTTGATTTCAAAAAGTCACTAAAGGCAAGGGTCCTCAGATATTAATAGCAGCTTTTGCGATAGTGATGTTATAAAAAGCTTATTTCTGGTGTCTGGTGTCAACAATTTGCACCATCCCAATTTTGAGTGTCCCCGATACACATAAAAAGTTTTGAAAATCTCTTTACAATCTCTTCATGATTCTTAATACTTCCACTAACCTCTCTGAAGGGCACCACATTATCACTGTTAACTCTCGTACCAATTCCTGCTTCAAATTTCACAACGGCATTCTTACCACCACGGAATGGTCGACCAAGGCGACATATGGCATTACTTTCTGGTGGCATAATGAGGTCTGTAAATATGGCCTTAGTTGACCACAGTTCAAACATGTCTTCAACTTTAGTTGGTAATGGAGGCAGATAGTTCTTCCAGTTCCAGACGTGAAGGAAGAGTTTCGTTTCAACTGAAAGTTCTGGTATTCCACAAAGTTCGGATATTTCGTCATCATTAACATAAACATTCAGACACCAAGTACCCTGAAAAGGAACATCAAAATATTAAAATGGCAGCAAAAAGGGCTGATCTCACTAAATGTAGTTATGTTAAAATGCAATTTTAAACACGGTATCCTGTGATATAAGTAATCGAGCCTTAAGAAAAAAAGAAGAAAAGAAACAACCATTTTTTACAATAAAAACAAATTATATTCACGAGAATCCTTCCTATAACCAGCTGGTCTTTGCCAAATCTCTTAAAATGGATCTTTTCTAACAATAAACACCAAGAAGGTTAGATCACTTATTCACGGTCAGCAGACTTTCACACACCGACTGAAATTAGAGCCCATGACTACGTTCGACGTAATCAAACAAACACTTCATCATCGAATTGACAATAACTATACTATTCATATATTTAAAAGATCTACCCCGGTTGCCTCTTCCTGCAGGATGTTGAATTCTAATCTGTAATTATTGACAGATGCTGATGGGTCAAAGGTCAACTTTCTCTCTGCTTTCATTGGTTGGTTGAGATTGTCTTTGAAGCGACACCATGTTATCAACTTCTGGGCATCACCTGTAAAAACGAAACACAAACTTGTAACCTGAAGTAAATGATGTTTTGAACAGCTCATCAGGACTGACCAAAACAAGCCAGGGTTCTGTCCGCTCAAGATATGTATATATATATATCGGGTCATCCAGATGACAATAATTTCCATTCCTGGTTATTCATAAAGTATCAAAGCTAAGATCATAATATTTGGACCGTGTAATTAAAACGATATTAGACACCTATACACAGAATCACAGCTTTATGACTGTGTTAAATCACTAATGAATGATCTGGAAATGAAAAGTATGACAGTTTTTTAAGCAACCAGATACACCAAACAACCAACCTGCCAAGATCTGGATTCCACAAGATCTATAAGATGGAATTTGAACAGCCTGTACATCGCCAGTGTCTCCTGCTGTTTCTTCCAGCATCAGTTCTGCTCTCTGTTCTTCTGTGAGATCCTTGACATAGTCTGGTTTGTTAGTATCATTGGCTCCTGTTGAACGCTTCACAATGTTTCTTGCTTCAAGGAAATCCTTACAGTTACATACTTTAAGACATTCCTACAAAGAAATCATATATCACCATACTGAACCAGACAAATTGGTATATCTTAAAGCGTTTCAAAAATGGCCTCTGAAATACCCTGTGATACACCGAATTGCCTGATTCACAGAGGTTGAATTAACTGTGACTTTATAATTGACAAAATAATAAATAAAACCAACCATAGCAACTTACATTATCATTTGGATCAACTTTACAACAAGAACAGACGCCCAAAGTCCAATCAACTTCCTTGGTATAGTCATATTCTACAATAACAGATTCTGGTCCATCCCATAATACTATAGAGGTAACGGCTTTGCCTTTACCATCTGCTGCTTGGAGATTTACCTGAAAGATAAAAAAAATTGCAGATGTAATATTTTTCATTGCAAGATGTAATTGGATTTTGCAGCTGAAGGGCCATTTAAGTCTTTCAACAGATCAAATCATGGTCACGTTTTTGATTACCAAAAAAAAATCAGCCCAGTGGATCTAGCATTCCTCCTCCAATTTCAAATTTTTCCCATCCATTCCAAGCTTGATATTTGTGATACTCAAACCCTCTATATTCGCAGAAATCTTATATTTACCTCATAAGTTCCGCCATTGACCATATCAGCATCTCTATAATAACCACCAGTAAACATAGTGTCAGTTTTAACATCTCTGGCTAGTTTGATCTCTAATTCATTGTCTCTATCAGGATTGGTCAATACATTTCCATCGCGATATTCCAGTTGGAGTCTGTTGCCTTTGCTATCATAGTTTTGTTCAGCCTTGAAGCGTTTCCAGCTTGAATCTGTAAATTTGATGTTTCTACTTGGACACGATGGTCCATCTGGTGACGGTAGGTACAGAACAGATCCTACAAAAAAGGACGAAGAAGATATAGAACAGTTTAAGAAAAACCAAAGGAGATTCGGACACAATGGATTCAATCGACATGATCGACATAAGGGTTCATTATACCAATGTACTGATTAGTTACCCAATGTGACCTTATTATCTATTATTTGGATCTTTAATGAGTACTTTACCTGTAACAGTAGATAGTGAATTTATCCACACAACATCTTGTCTGAAGTTCGTACCATCAACAACATGACCACCAGTTGGTTTAGTGGTATCATAAATTACAGGGGCTGTCTCTGCTTTAATTTTCAACCCTGCATTATTTTCAACTTCAAGATGCACTATATAGGGTCTTGAAGGCTGAAACAAACATAACATAACAATGCCAATCTGACCTTCATATGTACTTGGTCTTGTTTGAACCAGTTGCGTTTGAAAATGGTTTGCACTCCCAATTGCACCCCAGGTTTATTTTTGACAAATTTGAAAATAGAGTTTTTCTGCATTTTGGCACCAAAATATATGTCATTTTTTAGCTAATTTTCTTGAAGAACTCTCTCACACGCTTGCGACTATGACACCTCTACATGATTGCCGCATTTTGAATTCAGCCTCGACAGTTGTATCCCCATGTCTCGGGAAGCTGGCGCCGCCACTGTTAATCAGTACAAATGGCATGCATTTACTGTCACTTCGGGAAGCACATCTAATGCAGTTTCAGGGTCACTTACTTGTAGATAAAGCCCCAAGAATTCATAAGCTGTATAATTTCCATTGATTTCTATTGGTTTGACGATGGTGGTTCTTGTAGCACCAGTTTCACATGTTGATTGTTCAATTAAACTGACTCGGAAACATTTGATACCAGATTCATCATCTATATAATCTTTCCAATCAACCGTTACAGATTCTGAGGAGGCAGCATACGACATTTTCTGAAATATAATAAGAAAAAAAACATAGAAGTCAATAGAAACAGATCGGACTGAGAAGCTTGCTCCTCGGACCAAGAGCCTAAATTCCCTACCTAAATTTAATTTTTTCATCGGATTAAGGCCATCATATTTTTCAATGAATTTGAAGCGACAAAAAATATATTGATTATACATTCAAAATAGACATCGTGCAGCCGAGAAAAAGATTGTTTGGATTGGTAAACCTAATACATACCATGCCGTAATATGGTCCGACCTTGATCAGACCTTTAACTGGTGGAGTGATGTCCACGTGGAAGGCGAATGTCGTTAAATTACAATCACCAGCTTTATCAACACCTAGAAGAAAATATTCCCAGTTTTTTTACTGACACAAGACCAATGTTCAAGATAGTATAGTAATGTATAGTAATGCACACGAAAGTAATTATACTTCATTATACTTTATTTATAGACGAATAAGTTTGACTCTTCACGATGAATTTGTGCATTAATAGCTTATTAAAAAAATAAGGAAGCTTTTGAGACAGGAAAATAGAAGAATCATATGCACAATTCTGTTGCCCCTGCTCGCCCCCCTCGGCTCATGTTTCTAAGAAACGCCACTGAGCACATCCGCCCATGGGCTTGTGTCAATTTGATTCCGAATTTCCCAAATTGTAATTCGATAGATCGTCGGAATTTCAGTTAGTGGGCTTGTAATATAGGTTTCTAGTACATGCTCAGCCACTTGTGGATACATTGGGGGAATCTGCCTTAGCAACCTAACTATCCATATTGTGAGCAAAACACTTACCTATAACTGTGGCGTAGTATCCATGATCCTGTTCTAGAATTCTATCTGTTAGTTGTTTAAAGGTATCCTTTCCTACATTTTCTACATCTCTAATATCAAATACCTTCTTTCTGCCTTCTTCAGTCATATCACCTCCCTCGATCTATAAATATATATATATCATAATTTCAAATCAAATATCATTTAGTATATCGGTTTGGGTTAGAAAAAATGCAAGTTTTTTTTTAAATACCAATGTAGTCTCTGAAGCCCAGACTATTCCTATCTACGACGAAGCCGTACGTTGACAAAGAGAGATTGGATGATAGAGGCTAGTACCAATACTAAGAACCTAATATTTTGACTTCAGTGATTTATACCATTATTTTACGTTCGAAACACGATGAAAGTTAACATGTTTTACACAGCTATGCTAAAAGCCTATTATCATAAACAAAACTTACAAATTGGCGACATTGGTCCTCAGTAACTGTATTATTAGACGATATGGCAATATAGTACATCATCATACCAACTTTAGATTGAAATTCATTCCATTGGATATCTATAACTGTGTTATTCTTGATGTATTCTGGCATAACTATGGAGGCAGCTAGAAAAAGACAAGGAATATTCCATAATCATCATTTGCATGCAAAAAAGACGTCTAAAATTTAGCTGTTTAAACGAACAGAGTCAATTCTATATTGTCCGGAATTGGATGCAAAATTGTAAAAAGAGGAATCAAAGCTCCTGTGATAACTGAATTCTACAAGAAATGGAATAAAGCGAATGAAGATTTACGTCCTACATTTCTGGGCTGATGAAGACGGGCAACGTGAAAGTGTGAAATGAGGGGTATTTTGTATTATCCTACGCTTTTTCAAATTCCTACTGCTGAGCTGTCTTTCATGTGTATAGTCTGTAGCACATGCGGCCTGCGTTTATTGTCTCATATGCTCGAGTAGAGGTCTTTCCATGTAAACACCACCGACCTGCATCACCGACAAAGGGAAACCGGTTTGAAAAATGCTAAAGTATTTGAATGCCAATAGAATAATTTCTGTTTCAATGTAATTTTCTTCAGAAAGTAGCCAAGGGATGCCATTTTAATGTCCAAGAAATTATGACCTACCTAATACACCATGATTATAACCAGCTTGGAAACCATTGGAAGTAACTTCAGCAACAGCTAGTGATTTACTGGTAGCTCGGACAGTGAAGTAATATGTAGCTGTCAAGGGCAATAACTTAAGATCGAAGAAGGTCACCGATGTATTCAGACCGACGTTAGTAAATGGTACCACATTGTCCCGAGTTTTGGGGAATCGTCGATCTTTTCCTAAAGCAACTTCATAATACAAGATCTCTTGGTTTTTATTTTCACCCGTGACACCAACTCCTGGGTTACCTGCCAAAAGAAAGCATCTTCCTGTTATTGGCGAAACAAGGCGTCAGCATTTATGTAAACCTTTTAGAAAGTAATGGCGTTTTACAAAATAACCGTAAAACTGTCATATAAGTTATGGGCGCATGTCTCTAGATTTTGGTCAATAGTTTTCATTAATTCGAGCATCTGACTTTCCAATCCTATTTATAAATCAGACTCTTAGATATTTGCAGAATGGATAAGCAAAATAAGTTAACACTTTGATAGTGCCCAATTCCGGATAGAGTGTCCTTTTCATAAAATGAGGTTTGATACATTTCATAGCTGGTGTGACGTCTTCATGAACATCACAAATTCGCCACTTGCTAGATATAGACAAGAAAACCATCGTTGAAACGTTGCATTGTTAACAAAACAGTAATTGCCATCCATAAATCTTATTGTTTACTTTAGTCCATTACTAAAAGACAAATTCCCAAAAAAAGCAAAAGCCTCACCTGATTCAATCTCAACTGGAGCAGAGTCACCGTTGAGTGGAATACCAAATCCACCCCAATTAGCAGACGCTTTGTTTTGAGTGTAGATCTTGTTCAAATCGAATCCAACCACATCACCATCATTGACTTGTCCTGGTATTAATGGTTCTTGTTCAATAGTCACACCATTAGAACGTAGGATATAGCTATAACCGGATGATGTTGTTACACGTAGTAAAACGTAATATCTCTCTCCATTCTTCATTGAGAGTTTATCATTTACTGCAACTTGTGATCCTGAACAAAACACGAAAACAACCACATTACAATAAGATATAAGTACAAGTTTGAGGTGGAGATTATACAAGATTCATCTAATTCCTTTTCACTATTAATTGTAAAATAAGTTATAAAATATTGTTTTTAGATAGTTCTATTTCATCACCAATCGTAAAATAAGTAAGTAAATAGCAGATATAAGGATAAACAATAAAAAGGTTTTCTGCTTGCTATTGGCGATGTCGTTGTTTCTTTTTCCCAGAAGCTCAACTACCATAGGGACTGGTTGAACCACGTTCACGGGCCCCCAAGCCTAAATGGACCGCCATCTCCAGAAAAAAAGCAGAAGAGCAAAAAAAAAAAAAAAAAATCCTGAGGGAAGAGCCCAAAATCCGCTTAAGTACACCCCCACGCATCTACTTGAGCTACTGTCTTTGCCCTCTTTGACTTTGAGCCATTCAAATTGATAACTATATGCACTTAAAATGAGAGAAGAAAGGATTACCTAGAATTTCTGTGAAGTTTTGGACAACCAAACCATCTATTCTGACTATAGACCATTCCAATTTCATGGCAGGGCAAGGATCACCAGTCACGTCCCATCTTGCTGTTATTGTATCAAGACTTGTTTGGAAATTACTGAAATAAAAGAAACTTTAATCAAAAACTCAAATACAAAAATAGGAATTTCAATGGATACATTTTTAGAAATAGTATCGCTCTAAGAATTGTAAACAAAATAAAAAAAAAAAACAAGGTCAAATTCATCTTACGGTGGTAATTTGTATAGCTGTTAGTCAAAGCCTATACTTACATGTCTCCATCAAGCGTATCTCCATCCCAAACACCAATAGGTTTCAGAGGTTCCTTCCCTTGACTGACGTAGGATATGTATACACCATTAGAGGTCGCAACTGTACTCAACCCTGCAGCGTTAGTGGCTTTAACAGTTACATATACCTGGAAATTAGTTGTTGATATATTAATAGAATGACTTATACCCTTAATTAGGGCTGGAACAATTCACCCATGAATTGATGAACCGTGATTCTTTCCTTCTTATCGATGCATCGCGTTGGATAAAAATAATCGTGATGTATCGGCACGATTAATTCCCAGACCCCTTTAATATTTTTCTCTTTCCTTCTAAAATAATTGAATCGCGACAATTATCGCAATAAATCTATCGTTGGATGAGTATCGTATATTATTGCATTGAATCGAATCGCAAATTCAAGAATCGTTGCAGCCCTATCTTTTATAGTTGTCAGTTATTATATGGATATTTACAAGTAAAAGGCTCTAAGGAAAATCCGATCATTCATCAAGTATCAAAATAACGAAGACCAGTATGGTTGCATCCGGTTATGCAAGAAGCTGTTGAGCAACTAGATAATACAAGCAAATTAACTCATCTGGAAGCTGGAAACAGGAAACACAGAGGGATGGACAAATGGATGATCAAATAGAGCCTCTAGGTACAAGATACAAACACAAAAAGACTGGACAATCTTTTAAGGATTGCAATCACTTTTCTAGTTTAAAAATACCAAATACCTGTTTCAATCCATTGAGAGCCAGATTTTTGATGGTCATGTATCGTTTATCTAAAGATGCTGTGAAGAACTGTTTAACTTGACCTCCACCTGGAGTTGTTCCTACTGCAATTTCATACCTACAAAGACAATAGAATATCAAGTAAATATGGATATATTACAATGGAGCAATGACAGCAACAAAAAGTCAATTTCAAAGTGTTAATTGGTACTTAGATTCTTGCATCCAATAGGTGAAGTAACTGCAATTACAGATAAAATCTTCTACATATACCTGACAATCTTAGTTTCAGGGTCAGTAAATTGAGACCAGGCGACGTTGATGGAAGTAAGAGATTCTTGACAGACTGCATCTATCTTATCACAATCTGAAAATATGCAGGAGATAAAAGTATAGCAAAAGTATCAACTATTATTGGAACTCCAATGAACATAATCTCTGCATCAAACCATGCACCAACTACCGCGACTACTAACAGCTACCTAGTCTGCGATATAGCTTCTACTGGTAGCTGATGTTAACTTGCCATCCACCAACCTTCATCTTTACACAACTTGTGGTTTCTGTATGATATAGTTATATAGTCGACACATATAACATACTTAGAAACAGCTCCAAGAATTATTTTTTTGTTTTTGCAAGTTTAATGAATATCGCATTTATTTCCAGAACACTAAATCATGGATTTCTGGAGATGTGCATCAATGATCTAACTTACCGTCCTTTGAGTTACAGCTATGAGTATTGAGTTCTGATGTAGATCTATCACTAGTAACGTTAATAATATATTCTGTTCTCAACTCGACAACTTGACCAACAACTGGTGGTGTAACATCTACACTGATACTGTCCGATACAGCTGATATTGTTTTACCCACTGCATTTTTCGCTGTCACAATAGCGAAATATTTCTTTCCATGGGTTACGCCTCCAAGCAGATCTGTAAGAAAAATAGTTATTTGGAAGATCATAGTGAGACGATATTATACTGTTAAGTTATATAACATATCGATGTATTATCAATACGTTGCTTTGGATTTCGCGTTTCGTTTTGAGGTTTGGAACCTAGGTATTTGGGTTTATGTTTTTATACAATACTTTCTCAAGCAATTTGTTTGATACTGAAGCAACATTTACTTATGAGCGAGATCGTGCTACTTACTGTCCACTAGATGCAAGGTAGTATATCCTGGAAGAGATACTGGAGCGATGACATCAGTAGTTCCTTCTCTTGATCCCAAACCAAAAGTAAATTCAACAATTGGACTTTCATTATCTATGAAACCATCCCAGGAACACTTCATTGATGTATGAGGCTGTAATGAAGATGGTATTTTAAAATCTTCAAAAAGGTAAACCATAGAAAATATAACTTCAACTCCAAAAGGTGCGCCATTTTTTGACTAATCGTACCATTATCTCAGAAACGTGCTTAGCTTTAGCTAAGCCAATCAGTTATATTGTTCACAGCTCACCGTCGAAATTTGAGCCTTCAAATCCATCTGTGACTAGAATTATTCGCGTTTGAAAGTTAAAAAGACGATTCATCTTGAGGCACTGCCATATATAGGAAAGACATCTATGGAAATAGGATACGAAATTCCAAATTTGAGATATTTTTGAAGGAATTATGCGATTTTTGTACATTTCTAGTACTTCTGAAGACTATTTACATATATTCAAGACTAAAATCAACTCCAGAAAATGGAGTCCCTTTAATATATCATGAAGCGCTTATTGCCTAAAATATTTAAGAAGAATAGATCCTGAGCAGATAAATTAACAGGGCATTATTAAAGACGTTATAAGTTACCTGAATGAATGACGGACAGGTGACTACGCCTTCACTTGGTGGAGTGGTATCAACAATCAGAGTGGCTGACGATACCTTTCCTGTTAGACCGACATTGTTAACAGCCCAGAAATTAATAATATTTGGTTTACCTGAAAAATCGAACATGAAGTGAAGATGTTAGTAAGCCTTCTCATATTCTGAAATTATCCAGTAGAATAGAACCATGATTCAAGGGAATATGTGAGAATCAAAACTGTCTATGAACTAAACACCACATTTCATTGAATAAAATATCTGAAAACATCACATACCATCAGCTGTGGGTTTAGCATCTCCAACAGGAAGTGAGCCTTCTCCGTTCAGGAAAACGGAAACTTCAGCAGCAGATTTGATATCAGCACCATCAGGATAGGTTCCAACAGAATAGAACATCTTGGTCACGTTACTTTCCAGATCCTGGACCAACCAATCAGCTGAGATGGAATCCACTTCTGCTTGGTAGATCTTCATACCAGGTTCTAATTTCATTTTCTCTGATACTTCAGACAAGCTGGAGGAGATGAACAAGATGATCAAATGAGGGCCTTCTAGTCAGGTCCGTAGTCAGACTTGATTGTTTGGAGGGGCAAATAATATATAAGGAGGGGCAAGGGTATATGATAATAATATTTAGTTAACGGAAATGGTCAGACGTCAGTATTTTGTTAAGGGTTAATCTAATGTTTTTTTTGGGGGGCGGGGGGGGGGGGGGAGCATTGTCCCCCTTGTCCCCTGTAACTACGGGTCTGCTTCTAGTAGTAACATCATACTGCCCCCATGTCTTTTTTAACATTTAGAAGCTAGCTAGAAATCCATCAAATCAAAATAGATTTTGCAACCTTCACAGCATGTATACCAGACTTACCTTTGTACAGTAATACTCGGTGGTGAAATATCAACTGTAAAACCATCAGAAGTAGATTCGAGAACATTTCCAATGTTACTGATACCTCGTACAGTGGCATAGTACTTTACACCAGACTCTTGTGGTAGAATGGCTTGACCATATCCAGAACTGGCAATACCTTAAAGAAAACAAGACGAATATTGCACGATAATCTTCATTAGTGTTCTTCACAAAATAAACACACTATTACACCTACTATTTGAAATTAAAAGCAGAATAAGGGACACCTACCATTACCAGGAAGATCAGCTTCCTCTTTATGTATCAAACTAGCTTCCATAAAGGGCTGTACCTCTTCTCCACCAGCTGTGGTACCAACTGCCCAATCGAATCTTGAGATGCCATGGAGAGCACTTTCATATCCAGAGAACTGAACAGTCACAGTTCCTGTTTCTAACTGGTAGTCAATATCTACACTGGGACTTCCTTCTGTTCCTTCAGCTCCATCAAGAACAATTCCTGAATGAGACAACACCAACAATGTCACAATTTTTATAAAACGATATACATACATTCTAAAGATAACAGTGGCTCAACTAGTGACTGGTTGAAGAAGGTCCATGGGTCCCCACCCCATGTTTAAATCTAAAAAGGTTTACACACAATATAAAATGGTTCACAACTTATCCTACCAGACAATATTACGTCCTGATTTAAGACCCTTTACCAGCTATGACTGTCTACGGGGGCCCTAATACACGAAAACGTCCAGGGGAGAAGAGACCTCAGTCCAAGGGCCCCGAATCATTTAGTTGAAAAGTAAACTACAGAGTATCAAAATCAGTCATCTCAAAGATGATTTAACTGGGTGATGTCACCGACAAGAAAATCCACAAGATCTACCTGCTTTATCTTCATCAACCACTTTAATAGGAGTAGATGTTATCACCCCACTTTCCAGTCCTGCGCCATTCTCAGCCTTCACAGAGACATAATAGTATGGAGAACTGGCAGTTTTGATTTGCAGATTGAGTCCATCTATGTAGCCATCACGTTTATTACTAAAACTCTTCCAAGCTAGAATGTCTTGTCCGCCTGAAAAAAGATAATATGAAATATGTTAAACCGATTTGTTAAGTACCACATATAGTCCCTATTCAAAGTCGAGTTCGCTCCAACTAAATTCGCATGTTCCTTGACCAATGAAATGATTTGTTGTCATATTTGACTATACAATGATTCGGGTACTCTGTATGAGGGGAACTAGTCTTACCTGGTGTGGTACCAACTGCCACGGAGTAATCTTTAATACCACTGACATCATCAGTAGCAAACCACGAGGCTTTGATACCAGTTTTATCAGCTTGTAATACTTCTCCATCAATATCTTCTTCTATTTCACCATTAAATACTCCAACATGTAACCAACGCATCTGAAGAGTTTGAAAATAATAATAGTCGACTTTTTGTTTGAATGGTTGACGTAAAAGTATCCAATTTTGGTCTCTAAAGCTGTTCAGAACTATTTAAGGACTAACTAACATTCAGTGGCAGTGGAATGGCTCAGTCGATAGTAGGTAGGAATATCGTTTGCTAGTCGATGCGGTTCCGTGGAAATGAATCCACCTCAAAGTAAGAAAAATCCTGATTCCATTACCAGTGCTATCGAAAATTGGATCGGTGTCAGCTTGCATCTCCTATCACGTGTCATGTCTTTCATTGAAATGAAGAAAGAATTTGAAGGAATTTAACCGTACCTCAGGCGGTGTATCGTCTAAAAGGAACCCATTTGTATCAAACGTAGCCACAGCATTGGCTTTATTTACAGCACTCATTCGAACACTGTATCTAGCTCCATTTTTCAAGGCTATGGAAGTAACCTTCACATTATCTGTTGTTGCGTCCTTAACATCAATCCATTCTCCATCAGCTGAAAAACCAGTGTAGAAACACATTAAAGGCTAGTTTAACTTCATTTGAGTAACGCTTAGGACTTATAAATTGGTGAAGCTTGCAATTTGCAAAGACACAGTACATTTGATGAACGACTTGATGTAGGAAAATTTGTGGGACTTAATGAGACACAACTGTTAAAATGAAAATTTGGTGGAAAAAAACTTTCAAAACCTTATCTCATTGATCAAGTTCATGATTTTGATGCAAATTGTCTTGGTATTCTGAATAAAGACACTAATAAATTACCTGGATATATTTGGTGCTTTGATCCTTGGAAAAGCTGGTAAACTTGATATTTATAATGATCTATTCCAGATTCTTCATCAATAAATTTATAGTTGACTGATATACTGTCTTTAGATGACTAGAAAAAAATATTGTAAAAACGTTTAATGTGCTCTGTAAGAACCATCTTCACAATGTCAGACCATTACTTACTGTGCGTAATACCTTAACAGAATTCCTGCAATAGCCACCTTTCTTGTATCAGTTTGTAATTTTGTTAATGAATTTTGATTGGATTGTGCGCTAGAGAACACATTCATTCAGAGCTCCCGACAGAAAGTGTGTAAACCAAAAGCCGTTTCAAATCTCTATTCCGGGAGTTCTGATTGGATGTATTCTCTAAAGTACAATCCAATCAAATCGCTGTATTTACAAACTTACATAATACAAAAAAGGTTGCTATTGCAGTCAAGGTATTTGACACAGTTCGTAATAGCCTGATATTGTGAAGAACGTACTGAGACATTTATTTGTTTGTAACGGGATCATATAAATCCATAATTTGAAACAGTAAAACCCATCCAAATCGGCATCACACTCGACTGATGGGAATGCCAGTGAAGAGGGATGTCGGTTTAGAGAGGAATAGGCTGCTCAAGCAATTTTACATTCCTAATCATAGAACGACGAATTATATTTGTCCGAAAATTCTATACTAGACTACAAAGAGTCTCATTTGCATCCAAAATTTCAAAATGACCCTAGGTTGAAAACTCCTGAAAAACACAAGTAATCATCTTTATACAAACCTGGTAATCAATATCCTTGGTTTGTTGACCTCCATCATTTAAATAAATTAAAGAAGGTGGGGTCAAATCTACAACATATCCATCAGTCTCCTCGACAATTCTACCCAGAGCTCCATTAGTAGTCCTTAGCTTAAGTTTAACATTATCACGATGATGAAGATGGAAGTTGTGCCATTCAATTGACTGAGTGTCGTTATCTAATTCATGCCAATCCCGAAGAACTTCAAAATCTTGAGATATGTTCCTATAAGCAATACAAAAATGAGCTTAATGTTTAATGTTTTCCATGGATTAATAAACATATTTCATGTTGGACAAATGATACAAAGGGCCACTAGAAAGCTTCAATATAGGAGCAAAGTGATTTTTAATAATGCACAATTCAACTGAGAATTTGAAAATTATACATTTTACTACTAGATCAAAGCTTTATTTTGAGCTTGTTACTTAGTTTCAATACTTACTTTGCCCTCAAAATTTGAATTTCATATGATTTGATACTTGACTCGGGATCATATTGACCTTTCCATTGTCCTGAGATTGTGGCGGTTGCAGCACTAAATTCGATATCCTCCATATTCGGTTTTATACCATCAACAACCTCACCTGTGACTGGTATGGTCAGATCAACCGTTACTATAATGGAAAGTGTGAATATTTAATGTTTGGAGATTCTGGGTTTCGTTTTGCGGTTTATTCATACATGATCCATTAAAATTTCCCATTGTCTTTCGTTATTACTTTGTCCCAAATCAAATTTGATCAAAATCAAATTAAATTGACAAATGAGAACAAATATTCTTAAGAAAAACTCAAGTATATTTTCATAACAAAGTATATGCCAATAACCGGCTTTGAAATCTAAAATGAGAATTATATGTAACAGCTCCCAGGTAATGCATTCAAATTGAACGGTTTTATGAATTTTGTTTAACTTCGGAGAAATTACACACATTAATAATTGTATAAATCTATATAAAACTTATCTTTCTTGTCATGTTGTGCGGTAAGAATGATTGCAGTACCATATGGAAAGTATCGTTACATGCTACTTGAATTGTAAATATACCTACCTCCATCAGATCGTCCAGATACATTGAGTTGTTTATGACCAGCATTATAAGCCCATAATTCGATATAGTATTTCTTGCCATGTTCTAGTACACCATCATCTAAATCAATACAGGCTTGATGTGTTCGATGGTCAAAATCTGTTCCATTGGTTAGATACATATCATTAGCAGAAGCTCGAACATAAGCCGAGAAATATGATAAGCCGGATTCTGGATCATAAAAATCTACCCAGTTGGCACAAATCTGTAATAAACATTTTATTAGTATATCATATCATCATACTGCTATCAGAGATTTTACAAAAAAATGCATTTGACATTAGAAATTCATTAAGTATTGTGCACTTCATGTATTCTGAAAAAAGTCTTCAAACAACAATAAAATCAATTTTGGTTACCTTGTTGCTGTCCTTGGTATACATTAAATCGTGTTTATAAAGAGGACCATCATAGACTTTTCCAGCTATTGGTGGCGTTATATCCAAAATAAGAGGATGGTCGGCTGATCTGAGAGCTGAGATGTTCACTGAAAAGGAAAGGAACTATGGAGTAGTTGTACCTAATAAATATTCTAAAATTACCATATTATAGTGTTTTTTTGATACATATGTATTATATACAGTGTTTATTGTCTTTAGTCTCTGACGCCCAGACTATTACTTTCTGTGATCAGGATATCTTTTCGTCGAAGCTGTACGTAGACTATAAATGTAGACAAGGATGGACTGGGTGATAGAGACAATTTGCCTTTGGATAACAGACTTTCTATTGTAACCACTTTTACCATAAACATCAAATAAACGATGTATTGAGCGGACATTAAATCTATACTTAGTTTTTTTTACACAGTAAGAATAGACCTACCATTATTCCAAGCCTTGATTTTAACCCAGACTGGGATACCTCCTGGTAATTCTGTATTGTGGATAACTTCTCCAGAATGTGGATATCGTTCCCAGTCTTTAATGGAGCAATCTTTAGTTGTTCTTCCCAGACAGATATCAACTTCCCTTACATCAGATTCAGGATCACTGAAAATAAATCATCATTGTCAAGATTAAACTATTCAACAATTTTTGGTGAAATTGAAATAAGCACAGTTCATGTGAAATAAAATTTGATGCATTTTTTTTAACCAATCAAAGCGTGTCTTTCCTTGATAAAATAAGGAATTGTGGGAAAGCGAAAACCAAAGAGGCTTATAATCATCAAAAAAATATCAGAAAACGAAAAAGATACGAAATTGTAGTTTAGGTCTATTTAGATTGTGTTTGAAAAATTCGAATCTTACGTAGCATTATATTCAGCAGACAAATCTTCCGATTCTTCATCATAACGAACGTTGAATACTTCATGTACGAACGGAACTGAGTTGTCAATAACATAAGGTGTAGAATGGCAGAATGATGTTACCAATGGTCCACCGTATTCTACTTTATTTAAAGCTCTTACAGTTAGGTAATATTTACCATCTGAAACGAAACACATAAGTATTAGTATTGAAATGTTTTGCTGTATTACACATAGCCTATGTCTTTATGTTATTGAAAGCTATGAAGGGAAAGCCAGCCATTGTGGTGCACATTATTTCAAAGATAAATCAATTATTTGCGGTTGATCCACACAGTATCTGTGGAGGAGGGCCAAAAATTCATCTCAGGCCATCTAAAATCTAATGGCTTCTGGTGGGTCTCCGACAGCCTCGAGAACCATGACCTCAAGGGTCTATATGACACCTCACATGTTTTGTCCGCTCTTCAGGAATTCGCAAGGTACGCATTAGTTCGACACCAACGCCTATGTATATAATATAATATTACATAAACGAACCTGGAATAGGGTCGTTTTCATCACGTTTAATAATTCCAGTATGAGTCCATTCAGATTCATCATAAAGATGAGCATGAGGATCTTTATGTTCATCAAGTGTCTCTTCACATATTGAATGACCAGCAGCAAATGAATAACCATGGATTCCTGTCTCTTTATCATGAATACCATCCCAGTTACCTGTAGTAATAAAAAACAAACAGATTATATATATAATATGTTTTTATTTAAATTAAATTAAATGAATGGAGTTTACGTCCTACTAATCTGCATCTGGTAGGATTATTGAACAATGTGCAACGTCATGCAGTTGTGTAGGAAGAAACATATTGTCTATATCCATCTGCCGAGAGATCTTTAACGTGTACAGTGCGTAGTTTATTATCCTTTCCGAACGACTTTGCACTTTTTCCATGGCAGCCTCTCCGACCTGCTTCACTGACATAAAATTCTCCAGCCATGTCAGAGATGAACCCAGAACCTTCAAGTTAGCGAGCAAGAGTCTAATTACAGAGCCACTGAGACTACGAAATATTATTGAAACTAACAAACCTGACATGTATCTATTAGCTCTGAAATATTTCTTATCTAACAATGGAGTGTGACCATTAAAGACAGTGTTAGATCCTTCACCATCTATCATAGTTCTAAAATAAAATATAACTTGAGCTAGAATTTCAATCTTCCAATAGTAAACTAAGCTAATCAAACCTAACGTAAAGTGGAGATTTCAAAGTTGTTTTATTTATGATTAAGAATGCATCAGGTAACTCCAATTTCATTTGCTGGAATGTTCAATTATTACTCATTTGTATTCTTGTGATGTGTAAATTAATGTATTCATTAAAGATGAGATTCCTTATTTTTTTAGTGTCAAATTAAGCAAACTATTTGATTAATTGGTGTCTGTAGTGAATTATCATGTATTCTTAATCATATCATTATGTTCTTATTGCATATAATTAAGGATTTCAACCAATCATAAATGTCCATGTATGTACAGTCTGGATAAACTAAAAAAGACTTTTTGACATTTCTTGATTGGTCACTGATTGGAATTCTGCTGGTAATTCTTAAATGAAAATAAGGGAACCCATCTTTAAATAATATTATAATGTCTAATGTATTCGTTCCATCCTAGACCCAGTTGGTAAAATCAATCTCTGCCGTTCCAGGGTGTAAACTTTATTAAGATTATGCAATTACGAGGATATGTAAACCAATAGATGGTTCTATACCTATTTAGGTACAAGACACTTACCTATGATTTTTAACAAGAGTCGATTGATCTATACAGCGGGCTGCCCAATCTGTTCTATCTTTTGGTATTACTTTTCTGCAAGTAACCAATTCTAATTCATCTGTAGTGGCATTAAATAATCCTAGAAACAGAAGTTAAACTAAACATACTTTCAAAACAACGGACTGATAGATGACAAGTTAAACCCGTAACTACATCAATGCAAATGAGGCAAATACCTGGCCGAATTTGACAAAGGAATAAAGTAAAATGAAAACAAGTTTTTGTTTGAAAATATGAAACAAATAAATAAGATATCCGCTAATATATATCTTTTTTGATATCTAAAGGAAAGATTTTTACTGTTTTAAGTCTAACGGAAGCGTTGCGATAAAAGACACTTAAAAGACAACAGCTTTGTCTCATAGGAAAAAGATCCCAGTTACGTAACTGCAAGTAAAATGTGTCGGTATTATAGCTAAATTGTTTTCGTAATGATGATCGATATGAACTGACCTTCTCCGGGAGTTGGTGTTGTGGTATCAATCAAGATACCCTTAGTAGAGATGATGTTTCTAAATCCAAGATGATTCTTGAGGTCAAAGTTGAAGTAGTAGAGTTTATTGTGTTGTAATTGTTTATCAGAATAGGCAAATTCATACGCCAACCCAACACCAAGTCTTTCCATGTGCAAATATTTCCCTGACTGCAAGAAATAGTGTTATTATTAATTTTCTATCTAAGCTTATAATAATTGTCATCCTGAATCATGAAATATAGCTTCAAGCTATTTGACGAGAAAGGATCTCTCCTACTCTCTTCGAGACGCCTGATTCAACCCTGCGATGGAGTTTGTCAAATCGGCAAATCATTTTTGAGTCCACTATTGTTTATCTGGTATTCAGTTTTACTCGAACTAATGAAAAGGATTCTTGGCCTGTAAAACTCAGCCCCGTCGCCAGGAATGAATTGGTGCCGGGGCTCAGATTTTGTATTCAGAAAATCTGAAAAATTAAAGGCCCAGAGAGCTCATTTCTGACAATTTTGAGTTGCCAAAAACGCATTAAAACCTATATAACGACGGGGCTGGTGATACTACCAGCCTCTGTTTGTTTGGTCATTCAGCAATGTATAAAACTGGATACTTACTGTAGATATTTTATAATCATGACCTTCAATAGCCTCGAGTAGTTCACAATGACCAGTTAATTCATAATTCACAGACAAACATTTTGATTCTGGTAATTCCAAACATTTCTTTAAACATGCCTGGTAATAATTGATGCCATTAAATTCCTGAGCGACAGGTGCTATGAGACGTCCTAACTTTGATGTGGTGAAATGTGCTTCAGCTTCATATCCATGTGTATCAGCAGCAGCTAGAAGATAAAGTAACGTTGTAAAAGGTTTTCTAATATCCAATTTTCAATATGTAGTTCCCGCAATTCCACTAAAACTAAGTGATGACTACACTAAACGCTAAATGTGTTTTATCACATAAGGCACTTCGAGAAACCACAGACGTCTGTTTGGAAATTGGAATGATGCAAGTTGTTGCTATCAGTGTCTCCGATACACATACAAAATCCCTTTAAGATCTTTCAAATTTTTACGACATACTTTCGTACATATGGAACAAATTCAGGTTCAAAAGTGCCTTCCAGTGAAGTCACGTGTCATGTTCGTCTTAAAAACCGACATAAATTTGTAATATCATGGATTAAATTCTAATTGAAATCATACCGTCATATGCCTTGTTATTCTGAACCTTCAAGTCAATAGGGTTCCAGTGTTCCATTTCATCACCATAGATCCCGCGACCTAGACCAACACCAACAGAAGAATATTCCAAATCAGAGTCCTCAAATACAACAACGGAAGCTTTCAGTACTCGTGGGTTACTTGATGTGACAAATTCAGTTGTAAATCGTCCACCAGGTAGTGATACATCATATGTCGGTAGAGAACATGTTACAGTCGCTGACCCGCCACCACTATTTCGACCCACCACGGTGAAGTATATTGGTCGACCATGTTGCTTTAGTTTCTGGAAACAAAAAAATAAACGTAGGAGGAAGGTTATTAAAAAGATGAACGTAGAAATATAACTAAATCGTAAGACTGCCATTAAACAGATACACGATAAAGTAGGTTGATGGAACTTACCGTGGTGATAATGGACGATGGACCACCAAGTTGTGTTTCTGAAAGTGCATCTGCAAGACCAGGTTTTGAACCAGCAGTTAAAAATAGTTTTACTTGACTTTTGTCATCTTCAGCACGAATTGAAATCTCTATAGCTGGTTCTGTATGGTCCCGACCTTTCAGTTGTCGAACTGAACAGTGTCTGGTGGCTGTGTTGATTGGTAAACCGGCAGCTCGCTTTCGTCTTCCGGACTGAATCAAAAACGAAAACATACAGTTCAAAGAAAATTCACAAAGATTCTTTCAGTGACAAGAACTTTGGACTACGCAGTTTATTTGTTCATAAATAACAGTATAAGTGAAATCATAAATCCACTAAATAAGGCCATTAAACCATGGTGCCTCTGTAAAATTCAACTCTGTCCGAGAAAGATTACTATATAACTAAATTAAGGTTACCTTTGTATCTGTATATTCAGCGAACAAGGGTGGCGAGGTATCTTCTTCAACTTTTCCAAAATCAATCAGTCGTTTTCTGATAGTTGGTGTTGAATATTTCCATAATGTTGCTTTAAACAAAGTCTTCGTGAACTTAATGAAGCCTATCTTGACTCTCAAAGTGACTATAGCCAATAGTCGTAATCTCAGTGGAACTAATTCCAAATCCATGGTTAATCTGTAAATAAAGGTGGTTGATTATGTACCACATATACCTAATTCGGCATGAGCTTGAACAAAAGAGGGGACTTTTCACCGAGCTTTATGGAAATAGATTAACGGCAAGTTGCACCGATTTCAAAAATGTTATTTCTTCTAGATTAAATACCTACATAATAATCTTCATTGCGGTCATTTGAAACAATAGCAATTTCAATGTTTGAAGTCAAGGGCATAGTCTTAGTCTTGGAATTTTCACAGTATCAAAATTGGTACTTATCTTCATTTTTAGAGATGATAGCTACACCAAGTTTTATAAAAATTAAGTTGAAACCTACAGCATTTAAAAATATTTATAGACTCGGAAAATAGAATCCATTTCGTTCCAATATGGCGCTAGTTTATTTTATATCATAGACAGTGTATGTAATGATGTACCAATGGAAATTTATCCCAAAGAATTGACTCCATGAATACAAAATTATCTCGCACAATGATATACTTACCCAATATCGAGAGGGAATTTAGAGAATCCAATTTCAGCACGTGTAGGGAAGGACGTTGTCATAATGTAACCTTCCAAACGTAATCCACCATATAGTATAAAACCAACATTCAGTTCACCAAATGTTAGGACCGCTCCATAAGGAGTTGCACCACCAAATGCTACCATCTTCATGATCTTGCCACCAACTATAATCTGCATTCCGTAAGTACAACCTGCTCCGAATCCTATGAATAGGAATATCATTATCAAATAACACGTTGCTTTCAGAGTATTTCAAAAAAGAAAGGACTGGTGTTTTGGTATGTTGGGGTAAACTGGGTTTCAAACTTTCAAACTTACATTAAGTAACCGCACAGAGTTTTACAGGGATCGTAAAGAGGTTTTCTTAACTTTTTATGTAAATTGGGGATACTGATACCATCAATTTGCACCATTTCACTTTACGATCGGATGTCAGTGGTTCCTACAATTCTACTAAAACTACGCGTTTATGACGTCACTATCGCAAATGTTCTTAATATTCTATTGTTCATAACAATAGGAGCTTTTGCGATAGTGACGTCACCAAACGCTAAGATTTGGTGAAATTTCAAGAACTCCAGACATCTGACTGAAAATCACAGCGGTGCAAATCGATGCAATCAGTGTTTCCGATATACTTGAACAATTTAGAACACCTCTTTACAATCAGTTTGCGTCAAAAGTTTAGTTACTAAAGATCTGATTTCATAATCTTGATTCAAAAATATGACGAACTTACTGAAGTTCATGGGAACAATACCAGCCAACAAGAAATAGATACTATATTCAAACAATACCACATTCTGTTTTGGGAAACTGAAATCGCCTTGAAGAGTAAAATCTAAAGATTTGAAGGTATCAGCAGCTTGTCCTGATAGCACAGCATCTAATACTTCAGAATACTGAAAATACAAAATCACGATATTAATATAATATCAGAACATTAAATGAATCAATATACAGGAGCAAAACTGAATTGTCACAAGAGAGTTCTACACTAGGCACAAACGTTCCTAATTACCAGTCACAGGCACTGGTACTGTGTGTTCTCTTTCAGAAGAAGGTACGTGTTAAACCAGTGTTTTACATGCTTATTCAACCTGGTTTTCCCCTGTTAGTGATGTAGGTAAGATGGACTAACATAGAAAAGGCGTCTAGTCGTTTGGATGTAACAACAAACCGAGGCCTCCTGTGCTACAGGCTGTGCACGTTAATCATCCCTCAACAATTGGAAATTGAAAAAGAGCAGGCTAATGCTGCTGTCCTGGCAAAATTTTCCTCATTGCATACTACATGGCGTTACCCGTCTTCATTAGCCCACAGGGTGCAGGAAGTAAAACTACATTTCATTTTTCTAAATGCTAAGTATCTTATTTCATAGATGAATGCTAAAATATCTAAATTAGCCGTACTATTTTAGATTATACAATGTAAATCATGGTTGCTACAAATAATATCAAAACAGAATCTTACCAAGGCAGAGGCCAAATTTCGGATCTGTTTCACAAGTTCTAATGCCTTCTCTGGATCTATATTTTTAGTGTCTACCAAGGTCATGATTTCACCAATGGTCATGTTGGCTAATTTGGCTCCGAGAAGTTTAAGACCAGCTCCTGTCAATCCTTTACCAACAACAAAGGCTTGTTCAACATCATCTATTACTCCTGACATTGTATTTAATATCTTAAACACCTCTTCACCTATTAGAAGAAATAGAAAGAGTAATGTCTAGAATCTCATGCCATGTGCAATTGTCATATTTCGTTTTGCTTTCAGAAAGTATTTTCTGAGTAAGAAAGGGGCAGCTGCACATAAAACCTAAAGTTTTGAACAACATCTGTAGTACATGCCTTCATTATTCCCGTTCCTTGATATCGGAAAATAGCAGTAGCTGCACATAAAACCTTAGTTTTCAGATGCACATAAAACCTTAGTTTTCAGATTCACATAAAACCTTAGTTTTCAGCTACACGTAAAACCTTAGCTTTCAGATACACATAAAACCTTAGTTTTCAGATGCACATAAAACCTTACTTTTCAGCTACACATAAAACCTTAGTTTTCAGCTACACATGAAACCCTAGTTTTCAGCTACACATAAAACCTTAGTTTTCAGCTACACAAAAAACCTTAGTTTTCAGATGCACATCAAACCTTAGTTTTCAGCTACACATAAAACCTTAGTTTTCAGCTACACATAAAACCTTAGTTTTCAGCTACACATAAAACCTTAGTTCCACCTACACATAAAACCTTAGTTTTCAGATGCACATAAAACCTTAGTTTTCATCTACACATGAAACCTTAGTTTTCAGGTGCACATAAAACCTTAGTTTTCAGGTGCACATAAAACCTTAGTTTTCAGCTACACATAAAACCTTAGTTTTCAGCTACACATAAAACCTTAGTTTTCAGATGCACATTAAACCTTAGTTTTCAGCTACCCATAAAACCTTAGTTTTCAGCTACACATAAAACCTTAGTTTTCAGCTACACATAAAACCTTAGTTCCAGCTACACATAAAACCTTAGTTTTCAGCTACACATAAAACCTTAGTTCCAGCTTTTTTGCAGGCATTTACCCCATTGCCAACTACTTTTATGTAGCAGTACTTACTTCCTTCCATTCCAACAGTTACTTTGCCATTGTCCGAGCGATATAAGATGGTAGATGGATTGGTTGATCCCATGGATTTTAAGGCTGATCTGATGGTATTAGCTTGTCCGCCATCTTCCCAATCTGGGAATAAGTTTGTTTCAATTTTGGTATCCTAAAAAACAATAAAGATAAAAATCCGTTCAAGCAAGATTCTGCAAATCAAATATATCGTCCAAAGAATGGCAAAATTTGGATCATCAGGTGCTTCGAAAAGATAAAGCATGATCTGCTTCGCGCGCAACGCCCGCCACTACTACAATTGTTGAAATCATGAGATACAACCATGCCAGATTTATTGTATTTATCAAGTGCTTCTCCATAGCAACCATAAACGTAAACAACGTTAATCAGGATGTACCTAATTCTACTTCAAAAGACTTTGTATATTTGTGGTCTGCAATGCAAAATAGAAATATTTTCAAATCTGTATAAAAGTTTTAACTTACAGCATCATTTTTGACTTCATTCATGAAATCTTGAATTTCTTTATTGGTTGCATCTCGACCAATCAAATCTTTCAATGTAGCTTCGTATTGATCTTCAGTGGTTCTAAGAAAATAAAATTACGATAAATTCTAAAGATCCTAGTGGCACAGAATAGATGTCTCCCCCTTTGCAAGTCAGTGGCTCAACTAGATGAGTAGGGGAATTAAGTTTGTTGGGAGCCGTTCCCTTGGGGATTTTTTGAACATACTCTACTGCATTTTTCCTGAGGGAGTGGTTTCCATAGAGATGGGAGCCCATGGACTTGGTTCAACCAGTCCCTGTGGTAAGTCACCAAGTTCTGGTTTAATCAACATTCAGCTGGGAAGACTGATGCTCGTTATAAGGTGTACATAAGTGAAGTAGCGCCGACTTCCATGTTATAATTTTTGTTTTTAGAGGTTGTCTTACAACAAAAGTTAAAAAGTGTAGCGTGGTTGTTTCTGAGAGACATTTTGTTTCATTGTAAACTTACACTTTAATGACACTTCTTCTCTTTCTACGTTTAGTACATCCTGGTTTAACAAACGATTCTTCATCGAGCAGAGACCAGAATTTACAGTACGGTATATTCTGATAGGTATTGAGGGCACATAATTTTATATCCACAGATACAACATATGCACTACCAACGTCTTTGATAACATAGCTTATATCTATTGCCTCTCCGATTTTTTCTGTGATGTTTGTATCTATAATGACAATCAATATAGTGTCAGTGTTGAACACAGTTGTCTAATACATCAGCACTACGCTGTGTTCTGTTAAGGCCATGGTTCATCATTTTGGGCGGTTGTTTTAGAGTTTAAATTTAATGTAAATAGTCCTCAGAGGTACTAGAACTGCAGGAAATAATCCCTTCAGTCCAAAATAAATGTTTGATGACGGCAGTATTACAGGATTACAGGAATAACAGACGTCAGATTGAGCATTGGAATGGTACAAATTGATGGTATCAGTATACACGTAAAAAATTAACAAAAATCTCTTTACAATCCCTTAAAATATAAACCACTACACTGTTGCAGGATTCTGTAGGAATCACCCAAACATCTAGAGCGTCTATATGACGTTTTCTTTTAATGCCTAAAAATCCCCTGATTCCAATCGCTAAGCATGTATTAATATAATATATTAAACGATTGTCTGGAAAATGTATTGTGGTTAGTCAAATGGAATTATTTTGTTATAAAAATAACTTACCAGTTGCAATAGGCAGTAGAGTTTTCTCCCATTGCTTGTTTTCTAATGAATAGGTCAATTTATTTTGACAATGATCCAATTTAAATGAAGCCGCAAGTGAATACTGTCCAAGATATTTTAGATCTACACCCATGCAGCATGATATACCCTGACAGTTATCAGCTAGGTGACAGATGTTAGAAATCGCGGCTGGAAGAGTCACTGGACAACCTGAAAAATAATTCATTAGCATAAAAATATGTATATATAATAAATACAGAAATATTTCTATATCGCTCTACACTTGATGTATTGAGCACTATTTTAACAGTGATATTTCTATATCGCCGTAGAACTGATGTATTGAGCACTATTTGAACAGTGGTATTTCTATATCACTCTACAATAGATGTATTGAGCACTATTTTAACAGTGGTATTTCTATATCATTCTACAATTGATGTATTGAGCACTATTTTAACAGTGGTATTTCTATATCATTCTACCATTGATGTATTGAGCACTATTTTAACAGTGGTATTTCTATATCATTCTACAATTGATGTATTGGACAATATTTTAACAGTGATATTTCTATATCGCTCTACAATTGATGTATTGGACAATATTTTAACAGTGATATTTCAATATCACTCTACAATTGATGTTTTGGACAATATTTTAACAGTGAAAATATATTGTTATTGTATAAAATGGATTAATTAAGTAGTATAATTATTGAATACATACTGCTTCAAGAGTCATGTTCAATAATTTCTGCTATGCACACTTACAATCCGTGGAAAAACAGCAAATATTACAAAAATAAAGAACGAAAATACTCACTTGAAGGTGGTGTTTTCAACTGACACGACTTGAAGGACCAGAAATCAAACGTCAGACCTATGAAGAAAAGGAAATAGAAGTAAATTAAGAGCAATTGGAAATAGTAATTTTAGAAGGTTAGGTGATAGCCGACACCGGCCTGACTCTCGGAGACATTGATCGTGGTATCAGAATCTTTATTTCTTGAGGATGATTCGAACCCAAGGTCCCTTATCGCCTGGACATTGATCAATATCAATATGTCCAATATACAAGTATACTGACCTTTAAATGCTTGTGGTTTAGTTATATCACACGGAGAATATGAAATATCAACTTGTTGTAAAATTGGTACGTCTAATAAACAGGAATCATCTTCGAAACAAACTTTAATGTTTAAGTCTGTCTTTATCTTATTTTCTGCTGGTAAATTAACTAACTTATAGCTGAAAATACATTTATATATTTCATTTTACGATTAGAAAGCCTTCTGTCCTTATTTCAGGTCTTATCTATTGTGATTCATGTTTGCAATTGTGGTTATACTTTTATGACAGAAGAATATGACATATTATTGCAATAAGGTATTCTGTTATCCAGGCCTTGAAGAATTTCAAAAACATTTCGGGGTATGGTTACTCTTCGAGACACCTGATACCACTCATTATGATATAATTCTTCTTTATGATTAATAATACTCAATAATCTGAAAATATCACTGGCTGCACTACATTTTCAAACTGCTGTTTTTGGATTTCGAGTTTCGTTTTGCAGTTCTGGTTTTTTATGTTTAATATATATAAGGATATGTAACACCTACTATAGTCTAACTCTTCCAGAGATATGGAAAACATCTTCTTTATCTGAAAGACAAAAACATAATATTAATTCAGAGGTATGCACGCCTCAAAAAATATGTCTCACAATCACTTCAATAGAAATGCCATAGATTTACAGCCAAAAACATTTCCAAACATCATTGCCCTCAAGCGTGAAAATACAACAAGGTTTTGTGTAGATTATTGAATTCAACTACATCATTGTTGTGAAGATAGTTACATTGAGATACTACTACTAGTTTCCTTTTTTAAACAAATAACTGCATTTATCTTGAATAAATTTACAAACAGGTTAATGGCAAATGGACCATTCCACTAAACAGAAAAAAGCTTACCCCATTCATAATCAAACAATGATATCACATATTCCATTTTTCCCAATTTTAATGTCAGTTCTAGGTTGCATACATCAACTTCAACTTTTAGATTTACAGTGCGTTTTATCAAACCAACGTAAATACAGCAATCTATGGTGGAGCAGTCAGCTGACCAATGACATCTTGTTGAATCTGGCAAACTTGGAAGAGTGATTGATTTGGTGCATTCTATAAATTAGAAAATATATTTGTGTAAGATAACGGGAGGCTCGGGAAAACATCAAAGTTATCATGTTGTCAATATAAAGCATCTGAGGAATTATTTGAATCTAATGCTGTTGACTATCAATTAATGGCGGCAATTTCCGGACAAATAGGTCCAAAGGATTTAAAGTGAATGTGTGATTTCTCTTCTTTAGTGGTTATGTAGCATTACCATGTAAATTCGTGATGAAACTATCCAACATTGATGTTTTAAATGAAACAATGAGCCCAGTGGTATATAAGTTTACACCTAGCTCCAGACTGCGTGTTAGCTTACCTTTTCGCCAATTTTTAGAATCTGCTGGGATGTAGGGAGCCGATTCTCGATCACACCCTGGTTGTTGAAGATAATCAGCTAAACCAGTTTCCTCTAGTAATTTAGTCAGGAAGATGTCAGCTATTTGTGCAGCACTTGGTAGTTGTTCTCTGAGTTTGAAATGTTTCAAGGAGAAACCTAAAATGACATAAAATTAAATGAATGGAGTTTTATGTCCTATTGTGCTGTACCTATTTGGTTTAGTGAAGACGTTAAATGACACGAATGGGATGATAAAAAGAAAACAAAAAGGTACACTTTACTTACTGCTGAGTTCCAAAGATTCTTTATAATTGCATAAAGGTTGTGGGATTCGTTTCTTATCTAAAATCTGTTGTTCAAACAAACAATCATTTTCAGCCAAACAAACTGAAATCTTTACACTGACTTCAATAGATTTCTCGGCATCTATCTTGGATAGGACATAGCTGAAAAGGATAACATAATAGTAATGGTCTATTCTTCAAACTATCAACATTAAAAACCAAAAAACACAAGGGATTATATTATGGCATCAAGCTTCTAAATGTCGTTCAAATCTATTTGTCTAATCCAATTGCATTAGGGTATAGATAAAAAGGCTACCGCAATAATAAATCACCCTTATTGGTCATACCTTGTTCATCGACGATAATTAGGATAGAGAAACTGTCACTGCGTGATAAATTTGTGAAGTCATCATCTCTTTCGAATAGAGCAACGTAGGCAAAAACGTTATTTAGATATATATAAATATATTTTCAATGCACACTGTTATCGCAAAAACATCAAACATCTCTGATAATTGCAACTGTGTTAAGCAGTAAATAACAATATTGAAATCTCACTTACTCTACTCTCACAACTCCTTTCAGATAGAAATGACTTGGTTGACCTGAAACAAAGGATAAAGAAATAAATATAGGCGTTAATAAAGGTCCGACTTTACCGTTCCTTTTGAAATATATGAGAATGTGAACGTATAACAACCCAGCAAATAACAATACACATAAACTTAAGCAACAAGCAGAACAGGAAGTAGGGTTTATTTTTTTTAACTAATTCGCCATCAGGCTTCTGCTTCATTTGCCTATATTACGTAGTCATGGTCCTGAAAAGGCTCACAACAGAAAAGTACTGTAATGTAACTTACCCCATGTGTAATCAAATAGCTTATGTTCGTACGACAGGTTCTCAATAGTCAGAGTTAACGTATAGTCACACATATTAACATCTACTAGAGTATAGATTGATGTATCTAGAAATCCTACATCAATACAACAATCTATATTGGTACATCTCGATCCAACATGACATCTAAAATTATCTGGTAACTGGGGTAGAAGACTGTCCACTTCTGATATGGGGCATTCTGAAAAATAATAAAACAGATTTTAGTTAAATAATAGGGATGTTCGCAATCCGTTTGACCAATCATGGGGAATTTCAGCTAAGGTAATCACAACTAGTGTTCATAGTTCACCATTGAGCCTTCAAACACTGATAAGAATTATCCGCGTTTGAAAATTAAAATAACGACTCGCCATGTCATGTTGAAATGGAAAGTGAAATTTCTTGTACTTATGAAGACTGTTTACATATATTCCATGCACAAATCGACCTACGAGAATAGCGAACCACGGTTTCTAATGAAAGATATAGATGAATCTGAGGGTCATTCATTTTCCAACAGATCTCGTCATTGCAGCCTTCCGAACTATTGTAAATATTTGAAGATTAACATTTGACAATCTTATCGAAAACAATATTTAAAAAGACACCGCCATGATATGTGTCTCCTGAAATTTATCATAACATCATACCATTTTTCCATCCTTTGCTGGTGGCTGGAGAAAAGACACTGGACGATTTCAGACATGGTGGAGATTTGATGTACATAGCTATTCCCAATTCTTCATATAATTTGGCTCTCAATGCAGATGTTAAACTTTGAATACCAGCTGCTTGTTGGTTCTCAAGCCAATCACTTAGTGAAAAATCTGGAAAAAAATGTTAACCTTAGTGAAAAATCTGGACGAAAATGTGGAACTAAGTGAAAAAATCTGCACAAAATATAGCACTTAGTGGAAAATCCAGAAAAAAAACAGAGCTGGGTGAAAAATCGTGAAAAAAATATGGTATTTAGTGAAAATTCTGGAAAAGATAAAGAACTTGGTAAAAAATAGAAACAAATGTAGAACTTCGTACAAAATTTCGTACAACGGTACAACTCAAGAATGGATTCGATTCGAGACCGAACTTTCCTATGAGGTAACTCACCTTTAAGAGCCAGGGTGCTGTCCCAATCACAGACCAATTTGGGTATTTTGGTGTTGGTTAAAACGGGAACCGACAAGAAACATGGTTTATCTTTCTCCAAACAAATACTGATGTTCAGATTTACAAGAAATTTCTTCTCAGAATTCAAATCATCTATGGTAAATCTGAAAAATATCAACGTAACTTGAAGTAATGACAACTTTTTGTTGTTATATTGTAGGAAAACTAAACGTCGTATACTAATTGTGAATTCATCGTTAAATTGTGGGAGAACTGAACATCGTATACTCATTGCGAAAGGCGTTATGAACACGTGAATTCAATCTCTAGTAAAGCAAATATCTTGATATTGATTTAAATTTTCACTTGTAGCAAAGGATTGAATGCTAAAATGTGCATTATGAAATCCCATTTTCATTAGTGAATTGGAAAGTGTACTTACTGAGCTGTTACCAATTTCTGCATGGACAAACTCTCTTTGGTTCCCCATTCATAATTGATCAGATTTCTACTAAATTCATATTTTTCTACACCAACACGGAATTTGAAATTGCAAGAGTCTAGGTATATGAAGGCTTCAAATGATCTTTTGAGTATAGGAACTGGAGCACAACACTGGATACCAGTACATGTATCAGGGATATAACATGTTAAACCATTGGATAGAGGTGGTAGATTGGTTATAAGAGGACACTCTGTAAAGAATAAAGGTTCAATGTCTGTATGATGATGTTGCAAATTTCTATGAAATCCTTGACACTTCCTGTTCTTCGGATATACGGATGTGATATCGGCATTTCGGGCTTTGTATCGATACCAAAAATATGCCAATTTTGGCTTGTGTCATGATGAAAATTCTCAACAACAAATCATTGAAAACTACACGTGCCGATATCCCATGCATATATCATTGGTAAGGAATGAAACAGGAACAAGATTTTCTCGGGCAACAAGTTTTTGATCAATTGGTAAAAGTCAATAATCAATAATCATAATGAATATTTTGCGACATGGTGAATAAGAATCTTGAATTTCATCAAGTCTTATATACTCAATCATGAAGATCCACCTTGTTATCGCCGTAGCGTTTGTTACTCATTAAACAATTTAACTGTAAAAGGGGTTTTTGCTTCACTCCGACACCGCTGTCAATCATTACGTGGGCGTGTCATAAAGTTTTCAGCGTCATTGTTATTGGAACATAATGAAATAAGGTTTGGTTGATAAAATTGAAGCACAATCATTGGTTCTGTAAATATTAGAAAAGATCTTACTAACCGTTCTTCCATCCACCAACAGCTCCAGTGTAAACACCGGTAGTAGTATCACACTGTGGATCTTTAAGATACTGGGCAATATTCAATTCATTAAATAATCTAGCTAATACAATAGATGATAGTTCATTAGCTGCTGCCATGCCTTGTTCTTCTAACCATGTAGACAGAGAGAAATCTATAAATAAATCATGCAAAAAGGTGAATAATATGTTTTTCATAAAAAAAACACTTAATTCTGACCAAGGACATTTCATTTTACTTCTGCAGTTGTCCCTGGCTCTATGTCATTAAAACAGGCGTAACAGTTACGTAGTTTAGTTATGGCATAATATATAACTATATTATCCATTTTCGTTAATTAATCATGCGATACGATGATTAGTTTTGGCCATATCTAGTAAAATAATAGTAGAAATGATGTCAATCTTGCTCTGGTTATCTACTCTTGCTGGACTCATGGTCTTAACTTGTCCACAAAAGAACTAATTTTTTCGAGTCGAGATATACAATCATGTTTATATTAAAATTCAATTCAAAAAAAGGAATTAAATCTCAAGCACCAAACGTAAATGTTCAGACTAACCTTTAAGACTGTAATCGCTTTCCCAGTCACAGAGTATTTTAGGTACTCTGGCATTGTTTAATATTGGTACTGTTAAACATGCGGTAGTGGAATCAAAACAGAATGTAGCAGATACACTGATTAAATATTGTCTGGCACCTTCTAAATTATCAATAACGAACCTGCAATTAAAAATTGATTTATGCTTGGATTCTAAAAAGAAAATTTCAGTTAATTTGGAATTTCCTTTTCATGCCTATCCCTAAGTCAATTCAAAAACCAGTTTCAGTTACAAATCTGCTTCAAAAAATTACATTTTGTAACATCAGACTCTAAAATATAATTTGTTTTATATTGAAATCTCCTTTTCAAACTATGATATTGATCAGTTATAGAACCAAGTGGATAAAAACATCTAAGAAAATATTTGGCGTTAGAATCAAACAGGATGAATATATGAATAAATAATTCTAGAAAGCAAAGCTTACTCTATTCCCACAACACCATTAATATTGAACTGTTCTCGTGTACCTAAAACATAAATGTAGGCAATAAACTACCTAAAAACCTGCAGTTGATCTATTGAACATTATTTTAAAGAGGAACAGTCGGCATTTTCGGGGATTGATTGGGTCTTTATTGTGCTTTAATAGTCTTAAGAAAAGTAAAATGCACGAAAATCTCATAATCGCTTCAAATATACCTCAAAATAGAAATTTCACTGTATATTTCTATATATGTGTTTTCTATATATGGCATAGTCTCTCTCAAATTCGGGTCGAATTTTTAACTTTCAAATATGAATAATTATGGATACACATGGATATGAAGGCTCAAATTTCAACATGCGCTGTGAACACTATTACTGATTATGTAAGCTAAACAAATTCCTGTTTCTGAAACTAAGGTATTATTGGTCGAACAAATAGTGAAGGAGCTCCTTAACAATGGAAATATTTCTGATATCTGGTTTTCTATTGTACATAATCACTTAAACCACGACAAAATATCATTTAAAGTTTGATTAAACAAAAGCAAAATATCCTTACCCCATTGATAATTCAGTAAAGTTTTCTTGAAGACGAGGTTTTCCAGTGAAACAGTAAGAGTATAATCACAGGCATTGAGATAGACTTTAACGTTAAATGATCGACCAATCACTGGAACTGTTACACAACAGTCAATACCAGTACAAAAATCTGGAATTCGACACGTGGCATAGTCTGGTAGTTTACCAAAATCCAGAGTTTGAATTGGGCAATCTGAAAACGAAAGCAAAAACATATAATGGTGATGTGAGTGATCAAGGTTATCTACTACCGTCGTAGAAAACAAATAATTATACAAACATGGATTTCTGCTCGCTCACAAATGGTTTTTAAAAAGCATTGAGCAAGTTAATTGTTTATATGTTTCGGTTTTAAACTATTTTTGGCTTTCTGTTTGTCGTGTTTCTTGTGTATGTTGGGTGGCGGGGCGCCATACAGGGTATACTTACTCTTCTAGACACCTGATACTACTTTTCTTTTTGATATACGTGCTCACTTGTTACAAATGTACCATGTTTTCTTTTTTTTCTTTTGTTTTTCATTTTGCGTTTTGGATCGTAAATGCTTGGTTTACTTATACAAAGACTACTTACCATATTTCCATCCTTTAGCGTTAGCAGGAGAATAAACATCGCCAGCACGGTTACATTGTGGTCTGATCAAATATTGAGAAATATTCAGAGCTTCAAATAATCGTGAAAAGGTCAGTTCGGATAAAGCATCCCCTAGATTCTGTTTCTGTTCTTCTAAAAACTTCTGCAGCGAAAAGTCTAAAAATAATAATAGATTTTAGAACATCAAATTCCTAATAAGTAGTTAGAGCACGGTTCACAGTTGAAAAAAAAAACAGCCCAAAATGGTTATTGTTGAAGGGTAGGGTTTCACCTTTTGGGCTTACAAGGAACTTCCAAGCTGGGAAACTCACCCTCTATATAGTCAATCTGTCCCCTATTGTTACGCTCATTCCCAGAGGCTGGGCCGCCACAAGTTAAATACCAAAATCTAGTGTAATATTGTTAAGTTTAGAACTCAAAAATTACTCTACCTTTTAAGTCAGTTGTAGCATCCCAATCACAGAAGAGTTTTGGTATTCTAACATTATTGAGTACAGTAACAGTAGGTTGACAAGGTTTATCAGAGCTTAGACAAACACTCATATTTAAACCTAATAAATACTGTTTATCCCCAGCTAAATCATAGATAACATAACTGAAAAAATAACATATAGTATGTAAATATTGAATGGAGTTTTACATCCTTCGCTTCTTGTGAACCTAATTGAGGCTCTTCCTAATGACAATACACTTTTTTCATATCAGCTGCTCCGAACTGCATCAATGACAGGGGGAAACCGGGTTGGAAAATTATTATCTATGTTTGGATTAAACCTTGGTATCAGGGCAGCAAACAAATGAATGACTCACCGAGCCACATTAGTAGTGATTTACACTATGGATTCATGCGAGATTTGATATTCAACAAAAAGGAAGTCCAAGCCTTCTTCTTACAATAAAAAAACATTTGCAAGGTTAAGATATAAACTTACTCTACTCTTATGACGCCTCGTAAATTGAAACTATCTGGTTGTCCTGAAATTTATGAACATGAGCAAATATTTTAAATTTCTCGAAGTCTTAAATTTTGGAACATAATGATGTAAATCAAACTAAACTCTCATGACCACATATACGTCCGTTTCCCTCAGAAGGTGATATCGCAGACAAAAACCATAGGCATGCTCACGGCGCCAGTTTGTACGGTTGAAAATTTGAGCTACCTCTTTACTCTGTCTTATTGCAGCCATTAAGATCCTTAAACTGATATTTTCACTCACCCCAATTGTAATTTATAAGAGATTTCTGTAGTTTTATTTTCTCAATGGACAGAGTTAGAACATTGGTACACATATTGATACTAGCAACAGCTCGGAAAGATCGTTTTAAGAATGGTACTTGAAGACAGCAGTCTATTCCAGTACAGAAATCAGGTACTTGACAAGACAGATCACTAGGTAGAGCTGGTAGGTTCATGTTCAGCTGGCAATCTACAACATAGATATTAATTGCTCAAGTCTGGAATGCTTCGCTTAATTGTCATCAATCTTATTTGATTTCGATTTTTTTCTTTTTTTTTAACTTATATTTTCTTCTTCTTTGTAATCTCATCAATTTTTCTCCATAGTCGCATGCCAACGACGGTATTTTTAACCAATCACAGCTTGTCATGTAGAACCCGTTTCTTAACGAATTGTTGGCCTATGAAACCAAAGTGCAGCGATATGACAGTCTCGTTGGTTTTGCCACCCCACAATTTGTTATGTAAGACTGACATCGTTTGTCACTGTTATCCCCTTGAAATCTGATCAAAATTGAAACCGAATGTAGAAATAAAGTGCCGTACCCTTTTTCCATCCTTGAACAGCTGGTGCATAAATGGAACCATCTCTGTCACACATTGGTGATGTAAGGTAAGCAGAAATACCAAATTTCTCCAGTAATTTATCAATGATTGTATCTGTTAGCTGTCCTCCCTGTTCAGCTAGCCATTCATCCAGTTTAAAATCTGATAACAGAAATATGAAATTGATATTATTATGGACGAGATACTGTTTTTTTTTTGTATTTTTGGGCCTTTGATGGGTCATGGCCTTTTGACTTTTAGGTGATGACAGCAACTAAGCAATCTATTTTATCGTGCACTGAATAGAGGTTCACCTACAGATATTTAAAAGAATTTGAACAAAGGAACCTTTTACACGTCTGTATTTCTGAACAAAAACATCGTTATCGTTTTCCAATTAATACAGATTTCCCTCTAATTCTATCTACTACCGAAGTAAATATATTATTCTTCGTTACCTTTTAAAGCAAGAGTAGCATCCCAGTCACATAGCAATTTAGGAACTCTCATATCAGTAAAAACTGGTATTTCCAAGTCACATTTCTCTCCAGCAGTAAAACAGGCACTCATCTTCAAATTGACCAGATATTGTTTCTCTCCTGGTAGATCTTCAATTCTAAACCTACAGAACATGAAAATCTATTAACATCTTGATTATTTTTACATAATATTTAATGTTTCTACTCTGATCGTATTCCTCAGCAATGTTGGAAATATTTTCACATCGAGAGTTGCATTTGTTTATTTTGTTATGACGGAAGCCTCATGGATCCGATCATGCCCCTAGTGTCATGTAACAGATTCATCAAGGTTATAATCAAGTTGCATCTGTGGAATAGTACAAGGTATTTGATAAAACTTACTTGAGTTGAAAAATTCCACCAATATCAATAGACTCTTCAGTTCCTGAAAAAGCACGATGAAATATTATAAAATAATAATACTCGACGTTTTGTCGTCAAAAATGTTTTGATTCATCGTGTTATACCAAACAACTTACCATAAACATAATAAACAAATATACTATAAACAATACTTACCCTACACATAATTAACCGATTTTATATCATAATAAATACTTACTCCGACATAAGCAACCAAAGTTATTTTGTAAACAATACTTACCCCAAACATAAACAACCAATGTTATATCATAAACAATACTTACCCCAAACATAAACAACCAATGTTATATCATAAACAACACTTACCCCAAACATAATCAACCAATGTTATATCATAAACAACACTTACCCCAAACACAAACAACCAATGTTATATCATAAACAACACTTACCCCAAACATAAATAACCCATGTTATATTATAAACAACACTTTACCCCAAACATAATCAACCACTGTTATATCATAAACAATAATTACCCAAATCATAATCAACCTATATTATATTATAAACTAAGCTTACCCCAAACATAGTCGACAAATGTCATTTTATGAAAAATTTTTACCCCAAACATAATAAACCAATGTTATTTTATAAACAATTCTTACACTAAACATAATTAATACATGTTATATCAAAAATAACACTTACCCCAAACATAATCGACCAATGTTACATTGTAAACGATCTTCTCGATTCCCACACTGAATATATAATTACAGGTATCAATAAAGAGATGAGCCTGGAAAGTTCTCCGTATTTCTCTTACATCAACACAGCATGTTATACCAGTACAATATTCAGGTATATAACAGGCCATACGATCATTTAGAGCTGGTAACGTCATGTTCAGTGGACAAGCTGCAATATCAACGAGTACATCTTAAGAGCATGTAAAAAATAATTCAACACATATGAAATAGCCACTAATGTGTCGCCAATATGTTGTTTGGCTTTCGGGTTTCGTTTTGCCTGTCAGTACTTTGTTTATTTACAATCTGGCTGTATACAATCAATGTAGAGATCTTTTTATCCGGCAAGATACAATAACTGTGGCATATCATCAACCATCAAATCTCGGAATAACTAAAATATAATGGATTATTTACAGAGGTTTCTAAAAACGATTCAACTTTCTTACCCTTGTTCCAGCCATCATTTACTGAAGCTGTTTTAAATGGTTCTTGAACAAAACTACAAGGTGTATCTTTAAGATATTTGGTAATTCCAAGTTGGTCCATTAATTGATTAGCTAAGATAGCAGTTAGATCTCCACCTCTCTCTTCAAGCCAATTCTTCAAGGAGAAATCTGAAACAATGGAAAATATTTACTCTTAATAATGAATACAACCATCCAAACTAAAAGTTAGGAGTCTCTGTTCGTATCATTGCTATGCACTTGTCGCTTATCTTTAATTAATCCATTTTTCGCGATAACCAGGCAATTTGTGTCAAGATTAAACCTTAATAAACTTGTTAACTTTTGCTTTAGTTTTCCCATAGTAATGATTCCAAAAAAACGATAGTATCTTTTGGCGCTGTATAAACTGTCTCGGATTAATTTCGAACCTCGTGATTAGAGGTCTGTACTGAAAAGTTGGAAGAGCACCGTATATTTTAGTAATTGATCTACAAAGGCGATGACAGCCCTTTATAATTGAACAATGGTGTAATATTACATTAAAAGTGTAACAATTTTTTTATCGTTGCGTTTATCTTTAATTCAATAGATTTTTATTTTGTCTAGGAGAGAGGTCTTTCGCATTTCCCTCTTACCTTTGATTTTGAAACCCATCTCCATATTACACAATGGCATAGGGATACGAGATTGTTGAAGTACTGGTAGATCTATTTCACAGCTATCTGCTCCCTTGAAACACATCTTGATAGACAAATCAACTATAAACATCTTCTGTTCTAACAGACGATCAATCTTAAATCTGAAAATGAACATAATAAAATCAGTCGAAAATGGAAAATGTGACATTATTTGCATCATTTGATAATAGAAGCTACATTGGTTTAGACGGCTATCTGTGACTTTATAAAATCCATATAAACTGTAAGATAGAAGAGATGGGTGTTTCTATCCGAGATTTTGAACTGTACACTGTGTCCTGGTGATAGATGATATTTTGATGGGTTATCACTTACTTGATAAATACAAATTCGCTCAGCTTTTCTTCCTCTTCAGTTCCTAAAAAGCAGAATAATTTCTTATGATTCATCTATTTTATACTTATAAAATCATAAATACTTTCCTGTGTTCAATTTCTTAAATTTGATCATAATAAAACACCAGAATAAATTCTTATGATGCTAATTATCAATGATGAAACAACAGTCAGTGGAAAAAATAAAATGGTCAGTGGAAAAAATAATATAGTCATTGGAAAAATAATGGTCAGTGGAAAAAATAAAATGGTCAGTGGAAAAAATAAAATAGTCAGTGGAAAAAATAAAATGGTCGGAAGAAAAATGATGATAAAATGGTTGGACAAAATGGTTAGCCAAAATGGTAAACGTTAGCGATACACATAGCCGCTTTTAACATATAAATAAACTTGCAAGGCTTACCCCAGTCATACTCCAAAATAACGATCTTGAATCCAATTTTTTCAATAGCTCCTTCAATAACATAGTTACAAGTATCAATATTGAGATGAGCGTTCAGTGAAATTCCCAGTAAGTCACTTTCTAGACAGCAGTCAATACCAGTACAATAGTCAGGTATATAACAATTAGCTGGTGCCTTCAGTTCTGGTAGCGTTGTTATCTTGGGACAATCTGAAATCAGAGTAAAGATCTGTTACAGATTAACAGTTTAAGTAAGTGATCTGAGAGAAATGTAAAATTATAGTGTGTACTTCAGCAACTGCTAGAAACAAGCCCAATTTATACTTTATATTTTATACTGGCAACGCAAATTATTTCCATTGAACGTAAACGCTTTCCATAGTAAATGCCCCTAAGCATAGGTCTTTAAACAAACGTCAAGAACTTGTACGAAATAACAACATGTTTCCAGTTCTGTTTTGATATTTCTATATAACTCTTCAATTGATGTATTGAGCACTTTTTTACAATGAAAATACTTTATCATTCTAACTACTAAAACTACAAAAGTTTCCCTTCCCCTCCTATTGATCCTTGATCAATTGAAAACCTCTGTCCTAAAGATATTGATAACGGTATGTATACGTTACCATTTTTCCAGTTGGAAGGAAGAGCAGGTTGATATTGTAAACTGTCACGTTTACAAGGTGGATCTAACATCTTCTCAGCTATACCAGTTTGTTCTAAAAATACTTGAACTGCCTTTTTAGCTAGACCATCTGCTATATCCATACCTTTCTCTTTTGCCCAATCAGCAATAGAGAAGTCTAGAAAGAGAAATGTGACATCATTGATTAAAATAGATGTACGTCTACTTTATGCTCCTTTTGCGATTACGTTATCAAGGTAACCTTCAGCTACTCGCTGAAACAAATCTGTTTAATTTAATCCTCCTGCTGATTCCACCCAATTTGCACTGTAATTTTACATCGCACAATGGGTACTTACATATTTTTTTCAATATATATTAGCTTATATATTAACTCACTTTTGAGATTAAAATCTAACTTGGCGTTCAGATCACAGATAAACTGTGGGACTTCAGTACCAGTTAATATTGGGTAATTTTCTTGACATTTATCTTTCTCAAAACAAACTTTGATAGATAGATCTAACAAAAACTTCTTATCCACTTTACGAACACCAAAACTGAAAAATTTAACAAACATTAACGTAACTCATTCTAAAAAATCTAGATAAAACTATGTATAATGACAGTTTCACAAAAACCTTTTCGCTTTAACCTTTTAAGTCCATGAATTTGAATTCGAGCAAATTAAGAAATGTTGTTGGCATCGGCATCGCTATCAAAGCACCTGATGCCATTCAACAACTGAGTTTGTCTACTCGGCATCCCTTTCGGATTGAACAAATAGCCACTCTGATTCTTTTTTTTATATTTATTGTTTTATGTGCTGATGTTAATTTAATATGCATACAAAAGACGAATACTTACGTCACAACAAAGAAATCTGAAATTTTGACTTCACCAGTAATTCCTGAAATATTCAATTGAGAGTTTACTGTTTTAATAATGGTGTTTCGTTGATCCAGAAAATGATATTTTTAGAATCTAAGCTAAATCGGAATGAGTTCATTTCGGTGTGAAGTGGAGAAATTGTTACCTGTATCAAGATTATATTCATCATTAAACAGAGAATATTTGATGTGTTTCTTCTCGATTGACGCCTCCAGGAAGTAATCACACATATCAAGATTAAGGAAGGCGTGGAAAGACATGTCTAGGAAAGCAACATCAAAACAGCAATCAATCTTAGTACAAGTATCACCGATATGACAAATCAATCCTTTTGGTAATTTGGGCAGCTTTTTGATTGGTTTGGGACAATCTGAAAAATAAAATTTAAACATTAACACAAGGTATAACTCAAGTCTTAAGAACAAATGCATTTGCCGTGCCAGCTATCCAATACGGTGGGGACGCGTTTAACAATTTGGCGATAATTAACCCGTTAATCCGATGATTCGGTTGCCGTTTTCTCGCGGCTGTGATTGGCAATTACTATGCTAATCTTGTTTGAGACTGCTTAAAAGCGTAAGGTAAATTACATTTACAACAGAAAGTGTAAAGACTGAAATTTCTTTCATAAACTGAAATAAAAGTTAAATAAACCACTATTTACCATTTCTCCAACCATCAATACTAGATGAATAAGGCTCGCGTTTGACATCACATCTCTCGTCCAATAAAAATGGAGTAATTCCAAATTTATCCAATAGAAATTGAGCAGCAGATTTAGCTAGTTTCTGACCAGCTTGATCTCCGATTTCCTTGAAGTAACCTTCCAGACTAAAATCTAAAACAAAAAGACAGCGATTAGACAACGAATTTTGTATACGACATTGGTAACTTTATTGTAATATATTCGACTTCATCACACATTAAGATTTTATGCTTAATTACAAGATCCAAGAGGGCTACTTACGAAGTAATCGTCTAGTGACGGACATACAAAACCACAGAGAAATATATTATAAAATATGTTATCTTTTAATAAGTAGTAGTTTGTCTCATAAGACATTCCTTTGTGCTATTGTTATAATATGTGCTCTCTGGTTCTAATTGTCTTCAATCTTATAAGGACCTGCAATCTTAACATTATAAATACTGTATTCCATAAATCAGCTGAACCATAAGACCATAATCGAGAATAGTGTCAAATTCATGCACCTTAAAGTACCACTATTTATCATAATAAGTTACCTATATCAGTTAGGTTAGCGAGAGCTCTAGCATCACAGGCTGGTATACGAACATCTTTCATCAGATCTAGACCTTCTTCTGGGAAACAGAACATTGAGCCATCTATTGGTATACAGGCCAGAACACTTAGATCTAATATAAAACCTTGGGTATATTTGTTTATTGTCAGACTGAAATGAAAAGTTATATTCAAAATATCAACCGAGAGTCATTATTAAAAAAAGTTAGACTATAGCTATACTTGTTTTTTTTTTATATTTCACCTGATGATGACAAATGTAAATTGATGAAACGTTCTGTATAATAAAACCCAGGAGTAGTTTGCCATAATTTTGCTGTCCATTATTTAATCGATATCATGAGTCACTTCTGGCAGAATGTCGAAAATAATTGTTCATGAAATTTGGGAATTAGCGAGACTAACATTTTCTAATAAAAACTTTATATCTATATAAACAGTTAATATTCCACTTACGTTAATGTAATTGGCGCAGGATCTCCACTTCCTATTTTTAACTTGGTTGGTGTACCTGGATACATAAATATAATAATATACCCTATTCATGGTGACCAATAGTGGGAGGGGGGGGGGGGGGCAAATGGGGGATGGATTGCTGCCTGAAAAATTCAACCGACAACCGTCCAATCGCATGACTTTAACTAAAGACCATACCCCATAGCCCATCCGATATATTGCCCGCTATTTAATGTGATCTTTACCCCTAAATGCCGTTCTAAGATTATCTATGGTAAGAAACTTTACTAGAATTTAAACTGATATATATGTAAAAGTTTACCCCATTGATAGGTCAGTAACTTTTCAGAATGCTTATATTTTCCAAAACCAACATCCAGTCTGAAATCACACGGGTCAAATTTAGCGTAGATGAATACACTTTTAACTACTGGATCATCAATAAATGGTATTTTAAACTGGAAATCAACGCAACAATTTACACCAAAACAATCATCAGGCATTCCACAAGTTACTTTATCTTTTACTTTAGCTGGTAGATATTTCTCTACATCAATATTCCATGGACAATCTGAAAATGCAAAGGAATTCATTAGAGATTCTATGAAATTGGATGCATCGAATGAAGGGTATTATCTATTCCAATTGATCAGATCTGGTGACATTGTTAAGTGTAATATACAGGTCGCTTCAATAATTTCCCTTACCGGCTGGCAGAGTTACATTTAATTTATCTGAATTACCTTTTGAGAATTAATATCCCAGCCATTCTGATGTAATTCAAAGTCAAGACAAGTTATTTACATTTTTAAATGCAATTATGAAAGATAAATTCATGATGGGGAGCGAAATATCTTAGATTGCCCGAATTTCTAACCTAGTTATGAGATTTTTGCCCGAAAAAACTTGCTTTCGGGGCTACCACGGACAAATTCTACTAGAAAAAGGAATACAAGTACTTCAAAACCAAAGCCGAAATCTAAAATAACAGTTCGGCAAGACAAAAGATGAAACAATAAACAATGTTAAGCAAGTATAAATAAGGAATGATTTCATAATGAAAAGAAATGATAACCGGCCTTACCTGTTGGTGATGGTGGAACATTACATGTACCTTCATCAAAGATTTTCTGAAAATAAACCAAAATCATTTCAGAGCATATTCTATTGATCTCACAACATACTTCAAAGACTTGAATATTTCAGACACTAATACGTTGTAAAAAAAAAACAAAGTGGTAAGAGCTAATCTCACGATACAGAAAAGCCGATTTCGGGCAAAAAGTCAGGATAGATTGTATTTAGCTAACTTTTTGATTTCACAGTTTCAGCGAAGTAAAAATACAAAAATACATCTGCTATATATGATGTACTGTAAATTGACTTACATTTAATCCAAGTTTTTGGAAGATAACTTCAACAGCTGCCTCGGACAATTTTCCTCCCATTTCTTTAGCAAAGTCAGCGATTGAACCGCCTCCTAAAATATGCATTGGTTAATAAGAAATGATTGACACGTTATGCAAATACTCATATGCGACAAAATACATTCGATTGAATATCAAGCAAATTTAGTACTAATATAAATTAATATAACTGACTACGGGTGAACGTATTTATTAATCCGTACTTAAGTTATGTTTCCAAAACTTTCTTAAATAACAAAAATATAACTACCAAGTAATTTTGGCACTATACGGTCAATATGGACATTTTCACCAAAGAATAGTACCACTGTACCAATCAAAATCTGTTACCTAGTTACCATCTTCATAATGTCAAGCTAATACGAACTTCGTCTTCATAATAGCTTTACATCGCGAAGATGACTAGAACCCAATAGCTTCGTATGTAAATTGTACCAACCTGGTAGTGTGAAATTTTCATTACAGATTGGTATAGGTATTTCCATTCCTTCCAACATTTTACTATCAATTGACGACTCTTCATCACCCAGGTTAATCAGCACACCAAAATCAACAATAAATACTTTCTTATTGCTGTCTTTATCTATTTTAAATCTATAAAACAAAAAGAAGTTGTGTGTTAGTTCTCTTCACTGGCTCAGTATTCAAAGAGAGCAGTATTAAGTGCATACCAGTTCAAAATGCTTTTGGTGAAGTGAAATTTGAAATTTTTTTATGAATCACAGACTTAAATCTTATAATATACTTACTTGAGGTTAATTGCTTTACCCAGTGGAAGTTCTTCTTCTTTTCCTGAAATGAAATTGAATTTATTTAAAAAAATTTGTATATTAAGAAAATTGCAAATTGTAAAAATGAGATAAAAGAAGAAATATCCAGAATAGCACTTCTCGAAGATCCTTGTCTTCTAGCTAGCCCTTGGCCAAATATCTTAGCAATGATCTTTTCTAGACCCGTTTAGAAATGGTTGTACTGGTATAGCGAGACATATTCAACATCACCATAATTTTCGCGCCGACCTGTTAGAGGAAACCCGAAATTTAAAACTCTGACTCAATGAGCTACGGCAAGTCCTAAGAACATTCAAGACTGTGCCTAGATTTAACCTTGAAGGTCAGTTGTTACGACCATGCAGTGGTCAAATAATCCGATGGAATAAATTCAAAAAAAGATTTAAATTCACTTACCCCATTCATAACCGATCAGGACAATAGAATGTTTGTATGTTTCAAATCCAACATGGAGTAAGAAGTTACAAGCATCAAGTTCTATATAAGCATTAAATGCTTTGGTAAAGTTGAATAATTTAGATCGTATTTTAACGTCTATACACGCCTGTAGATGAAGACAGTTCTGACTAATTCGAAGGTATATCAATTTCTTCAGTTTCTCGTTCTTAATAGTTGGTAGTGTCAAAGTTTTATCCAGGATGGTGCAGGCTGTAAGGAAGAGAAATCAACGGATGTAAATTACAATTTGTGATCCATATTAACAGTAAAGGTACATTTACAAAGAGATCCGAAACGCAATGTTGCAACATTGAAACACCTAAAGTGTGAAAACCAGGGATAGATAGTGACAGGGCATATCCAACAGAGAATCACCCATGGTATGACACCTAGAATCTTCACACTGTCAAGCTATTACGAACTTCGTCTAATACCTTTACTGCAATGGCTACTTTTCAAGTTTTACCGAAGTTGACGAGATCAAGATTTGCTTTTGATTTAGCTTAATATTCAGCAAAATGCAACTTACTCTTATGAGAATTACTGAGTCTATCTCGCAGTTGTTGAAGAGTTCCAGTAGTAACTAAACCAAGCTCTGATAGTTGGTTCTTTAACAGAGTATCTGTTAAAATTTCTGGACGTTGACAGGGTGGGGTCTCCTCTAGTAGTTCCTAAAACATAAAAACACAACAATAAAACCAGGGCTACATAATTCACTATTACAGGTTTAATAAACAAGAACAACTGTAGAAGTTTACTTCGCGAAATCGAGCTTCATGTAGGATATCGTTGATATTAGCTCCGTTAAGTAAATTTCCGTACCTCTGGAATACCAAGTTCCTTCAGACCCTCTTTTATACCATACTCAATACCTTCTTCAGCTAGTTTCTTGGCTGATTCTTTAAGGCGTTTTTTGATTGCGTCTCTACTGTAGTATTCCTTCCAATTAACTGTAATCAAGACAGTTAAAATCTAAACAAAGTTTATCACATGTGTAAAATGATATATTCATTCAATTACCAACTGAAAGAGCTCAATTTCAGCTATCCTCCTATCCGACCCCTTCTCGAAATACAAGAACTACAAGACGTGCTGAATTATGAATAGAATTTAGGGTTTTTCCTATCTTGTATGTGTATTGAGGACACTGAAAGCATCGATTTCAACTGAAGACAATTTCACTAAAAGTTTTATGACGTCACTATCGCAAAGACACCTGCTAAAAATATCTCAGGACTTTTTTCTAAGGACAAAATTTGAAGAACCACAGAGATCTGATTCAAATTTGGAATGATGCAAATGGATGTCATCAGTGTCCCCGATACCAATATAAAGTTTAGAAAACCTCTTTACAATCCTAAAGAAGGTTTTGTCTTCAAAATGGAAAACAGGAATTCTTACCATCAGGCCAAGTGAAGCTTCCATCAGGTGCACAGACTGGTAAGGGAAGAATGGTTTCATCCAATATATTCAAGGAAGGGAGACAATTATCTTCATCTTCAATAGAACAAAAAGTTACACCCAATGTTCCCAGTGCTACAGAATCTGTCTTCTCGATGATTACACTGAAAAAGTTATAAATTACAAATAATATAATTACTAAAAATTAACCAAAGTCATCAAACCGGTTTATTTTTATACCTTGCAAGCCATCAGTGAAGACTGTGCCAATCGAACTATCTACTATAGTGAGGTCATGAACTTGTGCTGTTTTTTGGAAGTTAAAGCAACCACAGAGATTGGACCGAAAACTGGAATGATGCAAGTGAGATGGCCACAATGGACATACAAAGGCTTACAAATCACTTTTAACTCCATATAAGAATTCTTTTCTTATTGGCACATATTTACTAATTATACGTACGTGATGACAAGTTCCATTCCACCAAGTAAATCAATCTTAACTCCAGGTTTAACCACTAGTTCTTGATCTAAATAAAGGCGAACATTAAACATTATATTATATTCCAAATGAGATGTGATTGAAATCACAAATCATGTCAATCCGTGACGATATCACATGTGTATATCACGTCAGAAGAACTGTGCCAGATTTGCAGGGTTATATTCTTTCTAGTAGTCTAGAAACTATGTACAAGTGTAGCTATATGATAGACGTGATCGTTTTGACTTTACCCAAATTCATTTGAAACGTGACGATATCACATCTGTATATCACGTCTAATGAACTGTGTATAGAGCCAGATTTATAGGGCTATATTATTTTAAGTAGTCCAGCAGGCGATGTACATGTGTAGCTATGATAAACTTGGATCGTTTAACCTATATTTCGTAACCCAAAAAATTATCAAATTCATTGTATCATTGCATAATTTTTTTTTATCAAAACTGCTTTACTAAGGTACATTTTCGCATACTAACTAATACTCATACACAATAATAGACTTTAATACACCGTATTTCAATAACGCATGAAACGCCACTGGCATGAGATCTTTGCGGATGAAGAAGCATACTTACTTCCATACAAGCCTCCAAAAGGTCCAATCTTTTTCTCAAACACGTCTTTAATTCCAAATACAAACATAAGGTCACAGGGGTCAAATCTAGCGAAGATCTTGTATGTTTTCAGGAACATGAAGACCTTCAGATGAGCACAGCATTCTATGCCCAGACAGTGTTGATCAAACGTACAAAACATTCTATCTGTAGGCATATTCAGACTCATAGCAGCACATTCTACAACACAAAATCGAGTATAATGAAACCGAGCCTTAAAGTCAATTTCACGATTATTCTTATTAAGCGACTACGGTTAATGAGGTTCCATCGAAAAAACTTGAACCCAACACAAATTAGGTTTTATTGAAAATATATTAATCAGTATGCACATAATACTTGCAAAGACACGGATATCTCTTTAAATTGACAGACCAATTGCTCATAAACAACTAAAGACCTCGGCGGAGACCAATTTCCAATTTCAGGAGGAGGTACATATGGTTAATTGGTTAAAATTTGTCAATTCACAGTCTTCTGAGAAGGGACGAAACTACAGTGGAGGCTACTTTTCAGTCTAATGGAAGTTACATTGGTTGAAATTTGTCGAGAAGCTACATGTAATATACTTAATTCTTGAATTAACTAAAGATGGCTTACTTTTGTTAGGAGCAGTCAGTTTTTGTATCATGGTTTTTGTGGAACCTTCAGCAGATAAACCTCTCTCAGTTAATTCTGTCCGTAGCTGATCATCAGTCATTTGGTAGGGATTAAAACAGGGTTTGTTATCGATGATTTCCTGAAAGTGAAATCGAAATCAGAATTTAGGAGTTGTTTAATCTGGCTAAGGAGATCTCATCGGTTTTGACGATTGAAATTATGAAATTTACGTTTTGTAATTTTCTGTTGCCCTAGACGAGAGTCTTAAAGATATACAACATTTTAGGTTGACAAACAAATTTTAAACTTGGTTAAAATGAGTCTTTGCACATCAGTTGACTTACCTGGTGTCAAAACTATACGACAGAATCCCTTTATAATCCATAAAACTAAGTAATAATTCATTAAACTAAGTAATTTGGAAAGATGCTTTTAGTTAGTTTAATGGATATATCGTCTTATATAGAGATTCTTTAGTCATGGCATCTGGTAAGTTCAACTGATGAATATATACACTTATTGACCAAGTTTAAGGCTTCAATTTTTATGTCCATCTATAGGAGGAAATCTTTACGTAAGAGTAAGTTTCTGTACAATATTATATCATACTGACCTTTATTTTGAGGATGACCTCCGCCATGGCTGCTTTACTTTCATCCAAACCCAGAATATCTAATAAATCCAAGATGGCCCCCATTTTAAGTTTACGAATTGAAAACTTCTGAAGAAACGCGGCAGGTCTCTTAAAAAGATTTGCCAAACCTAAAATACATAATTATATTGTTAAAATTCAGAAGTATACTGCAAAGACTTCTATTAATGTTTTGGTTAATAAACGCAAATGAAAATAACGCAGCAATGGCCTAAAGCGTAGTATAGAAACACAGTAGACGATTAGGGGCCCATGGACTTCACATATGCACTCCCGCACTATCCGTTGATTTGTAATAATTAAAATAAAAAAAAAACATTCCTACCCTTATCTTTGGTCTTTGCAGTTTTCTCGTCAATTTCACTCTTTTTAGCTGGAGATGAGGCCTTTCCAAACATTGTATCATCACCAACTGTAAAAAGGAAATTGTTTAGTTGTGCTCGACAATTCAAGGCCAAACTGAACCTGGATTCGAAAGTACATGATCAAAGCAAATGCCTCATGCTGAATTTGACAAAAATTTTGTTTAAGAAATTATATAGAATATTATGTGATATTTGCTTACTAAATCAGTTATTTAAAGGTGGTTACCACTTGAAAGCTACCGAATGTATTGCGATGAAAGATATAACTGACCTCCAAGGCAACAGGAGTTACAGCCCTTGTGACAAACTCACAGCCTTCTAAGGTGTCACATTATGATTACAAATTATTCATTACTTGATATTAAGCCCTAATGTACAATCCTTACTTATCAAAATATAACTTACATAAACCACCATCTAGGACTTTAGCAGGATCATCCTGGTCGTCTAGGTTAATAGGTTGATTAATTGTTGGACCTGATCGCTCTGGTGTTTCAGTTACATTTTCCTTACCATTAGGTCCCAGTATACTTCCCTCGGCGATTAAATCAAACTACAAAATGATATGATACTGAAAGTCATATTGTCCAGATGTACAGGATGATCATGACTCATAAAAATGCCGATGATTTCTCTGATTTCTCTTTTGTTGTTGATGATGACGCTCTTTCTGACGTTTCTCTGCTGCTTTGGCGGATGATGATGTGGCTGATGATGTCCCGACGATAATGATGACGAACATTAAAAAAAAACTATTTTTACCTTCCATATAAGTCTGTAATCATCACACTCTTGGACCCATTTTGGTAAATTTGGTACACGAGCTTCAAGATATCTGGTTGGGTCGATGATTCCGCCATCTGTGGTTTTCCTCATAGCAAAATGAATAAAATCCACCGCACTACAAGGCGTTGAGGTGACTTTACCAATAATTTGGCCAGCATGAACCTAAAAACATTCAATCGATGAACTAACATTAACAATCTGTTCAGCTATTTCTTAAGCTGTAAGGTCTCCATTTCGTAGCAAAGGGAAATATTTCTTCCTCTGTATCAATCACAAATATAAAAAGGATCGCTTTGTCAAAATTACTAGTCAGGATATTTGTATGTGTGCATTGGAATTCAATAGATTTTGTCGCTACTTTGAGAGCCCTTAAGTTAGTTTCTAAACAAGGTGCCCTTTTAACCAACAGTCATAGTGACCACACAACAAATAGCTAGTGGCGTGTCAACCGGGTGGGGGACGAGAAGAAGGCATTTAGTTATTAAGGCCTGGTGTTGTTTGTCCCCCTTGCTTGCCCATGCTTGATTTCTCCCCCGAATAATTCAAAGATTAGCCACTGACGTCAGCAATAGAAAGGAAGTTGACTAACTGACCTGCAATGGAACATCATTCTCAGATGGTATGGTAGAATTAGGTTCAACATTAGTGATGATTATTTCTGTGTCTTTCAATGATCCACCAGTTGTTGCGATAATGACTTCATTAGATCTGGTTGAACGACGAATATTTCCCGGAAATGGTGCCACAAGCTAATAAGACAAAATACAACATTTAAATTAATGGCCATGCATGAAGTGTAGAAATGGTGAATTTAATCATCATGCCCACATCTGTACTAATCTATTTACATTTACTTCGGTCGTTTTAAACATGTTCCCAAATAGTACCAGCATGATAGATAACATTATGGTATTATAACGAAAATCAATCCATGAACTAACCTTAGATCCTCTGGAAGCTACAACATCAACACCATCAATTGGATATTCAGCAACTCCACCTTTCTTTAGTTCAGATACATAGAAACCCGAGCCGTCACATCCACCGCCTTTAATTCGATACTTCCTTGGGAAATCTTTATGACATTTGGGTCCGAATACCCGATCAATCAACGATCTAGCTGTACGATATCTAGAAAGGTACAATGGCGTGGTGAATGGCATGAAAATGCTCATCATCTGTCAATCCCACCAAAATATTCAAGTATCGATCACATCCTACACCCTGAGATCTATATTTCAACTTTTTGAAATTTGGCTCCGAATTCAAAGATCTAGCTGAAGATAGTTGGAATGTACAATGACATGAGAAATGGGAAAAAACTTGATCTCGGGCATGTTTGTAGTGGGTCGATTTTGCAGATGATATCAGAGATGGCAAAGACTCGTGAATACAATCATGGGTACATCCATGAATATATTCAAATAGATTTAAGTCCCTTAGCAAGCTAACTTTGGGCTTGATGTTCTTGTGGCTTATGTCATAAAAAATTAATCATGATGCAAATTGCACACATTGACAAACAATATGACGAATATTCACTCACCCCTCTTTCAATGTATTATACGATGTTTTAATAGTATCTACCAATTTGAAAACACCCATGAATCTTTCAAAGAATTCACCACCAAGGTTTCTAATACCATCAAATGGTTCCAGAAGATCGTCCAGGATAGATTTTAGTTCATCAATCACCTCCTGTCTCAGCTCGGCCTGCAGATAGAAATAAATCATTTAAATTGACAAAAACTTGTTGACATTAAGATGTTTGAATTTGGTTACGAGGACTTTAAGCTTCTTGAAGGAAAATTATTTAATCGACTAATCAACATTTTTCTATTATCTGTAGTTACTGCTAAAAATTATAAAAATATGTTATGTTGAAGATAGATACTCGTAATCAACCTAAGGGAGCACAAACTTCACGTTCGGTTTCGTATTTTCGGTGATGTCTAATGGTATTTAAAGATTTCATGAAATTTTCTAAGACAAAATTTTCATATTGAACATCATAACAAACTTTCGAAGACCAACTTGAATGGTCAAATAATACAGATAGCGGTGATAGAATTGATCCACGTATTTGTTTACGATGTAGAAAGGATTTCTATCTTGGCATCAATCTGTCAACGCTTCAGTACCTACCATTGAGTATTTCCCATTGGTTAATTCAGCCACTGGATCCTTGCCGACGAATTTTTGTTGTATCCAGTTTCTACTTCCGGAGGTCATATCAATTTTAACTTGTTTAGTCAAATCCTTTATTTCCTGGTATTGTTTCTTTAAGTTAAACCAATATGGTTTCTCTTCTGCAAAATGAGAAAGGTTAAGTATTAGTAAATCCTTATTTTAATTATTATACTCGAATACAGGATGTATATGGGAGTGTCTTAATTGATGCAGAAATACGGCTTCTGGCAGTACACTTCGATTCCACTTTGTGCTAACTGTTTTAGCTCTTCTCAGCTAAATTAAATAAAACTCATATTATCTGGAACCGCATCAGGCCCGTAGCCAGACTTGATTGTTTGGAGGGTCAAGTAATATATCCCGAGATCTAATGGCGTATGGTGTTGCCGCAATGGATTTTGTCGGTTGTTAGGGGAACAATCCATTTTTCGGCGGGGCATTACCCCCCACCCCCTCTAGCCACGGGCCTGAACCGCATCTTACTCCAGGATTTGCGGACTAAGTGACGAATGTGTTCATGTGGCCATTACTTACTTTTCAGAAAGAAACAGGCATCTTTTGTTTTGTTGACGGCATCAATCAGGTTCTTTACTTCTAGTCCAACACTGAAAATAATAAGTACAAATTTCAACAAACCAAATCCTTCACCTTCACGTAGAGACAACTTTTCAGTTTAGGATTTAATGAAACGCGACAACAACATTTTCGGTTTAGCTCATCCTTAACAAAAGGAGAATATCCATTTACAACCAATATTCAATGGCCTTTCAAGTCTAAATTCACCATAAAAACTTACTTGAGAACATTTCCACCGACAGTTGAAATTGCCTTCTTCGGATCATTTTTAAAATCTTTAAAAGCCTCAATAATAGCCTTGATCGCGGCATATATCTGTTTTCCTGCTCTCGGTATAACAATCGTGATAGTTTCCAGTAGTTTCTGTAAATAAGTTTATATGAATAAATATGAGATGAATGTTTGTGTAAATTGACAAACATACATGTGTCCAGGAAAATATACTGACGTTTTGTATAATTGCGTCCAAATCTGTTCCGTTTTCTATCAGCTTTTATTTTTAATAAAGCCATTTCTGTTAGGATCTAAAGACTGGCCTCTTAAACATTGGTCAAAATAACCTTTTGATCTAACCCTGCTTTAACCAATCAAATTCCCTCACTCTCTGCAAAATGCCAGCGCTAGAGAGTGCAGAAAGTTGATTGGTTAAAGCAGATGTCATCAGATTAAGTCACAAGGTTATTTTGACGAATGTTTAAGAGGCCAGTTTTATGTCTCTATTGGTTGGTAATGGATAGAAAATTTATGATAATATTGTTCAAACTTAAAAACTTACATTATAAAACCCCATTACGTCTTTTCTAACGTCGTTATAAATTGTAACGACTTTCGTCACCAGCTTGCGGATTGATCTGATAAAGGGCGGTAACTCGCTTTCATCTATTTCTCCTAATCTCTTCATAATTTCTATAGCTCTCTTTCCAAGCTTCACAACCTAGTAAAGGAAGAAACATGTATATGCTATAAATTCATTGAAGTCGGGGCAGTAATATGGTCTCATGACCACATTCTACCTTTCTATATATGACAGTGTCTCAAGAAATGACGAGTCGTCATTTTAACATTCAATTTAGATTTGAAAGCTAAAATTTCGGCGGTGGGCTGTGAACATCATTACTAATTAGTTTAGTTTAAAAAAATTCCCATTTCTGAGATTCAAGTACAATTGGTCAATTGGTCAATTGGATGGCGATTCTGTCGTTTAAGGTTTAATTGTATACATTATCTCCGTAGTTACAGACAAAATATCTCTCTAAAAGTAAAATTCAGAAAGCATAATTGAATAAAAAATCAGCAGAGATTGTCTTGATTGAAAATGCAATTGCGAATGTATCAGTATAAATATTGGGAAGTATTACCTTCTCAGGTAGTTGTTCTAAGGCTTGCTTAAATTCCTCCAAGATTTGGCCGATTGAGATATCACCCCGGATAATCTTTTTAAATAAATCTATTCCTTTCTTGATCTCGCCAACAACCTCATTTTTTATTTTATCATAAAGTTTGACCAAGTCTTTTAGATTATCTATACCAAATTCCTGGAAAGAGAATAGTTTGATGTTTTATGAATAGTTTGGTGGATCTAACATAGCGGGGTGTATGACTGGATTTGGTATAACCTAGATTGTTTTTAACGATATACTAGCAATCGGAGATTCATCAGAAGCAATGGTTGGTTTAACTTTACTGTGCTGAACTATTATTCCAAACCTGACGGTATCCTTGCCAAAATGGTGGACACATTTAAAATTCAAATTCAAAATCTACTGCACACGACATAACTGGCTAATGTTAATCCATCTGTTGCGAACAGATTCAAAAGTTTGAGCCATACGATAATCTGTGGTTGAAAATCTAAGATACCTGTAGTAAATTCAGATTGTACTCAGCGTTTCCCTTAAAACAAACTCGAGCAAGAAAGAAATCCAAATTGACTCCAACAACTCCTAGATGGACTCTAGCATAAGCTTCATCATGAACGTCTACGATAGCATGACCACTCAGAGCAGCTAAAAATAGAAACATAACAGAAAGGTCAAACATTTCATCGACATCAAATGCTGGTTTGAGATTAAAATTTCCACGATGACGATGGATTACAACACACGAACCAGATCTTCCATCACAGCTGCAACCTGTACAATTGTCAAAGTTCCATGTCATGTCATTCTGTAACCGGTATTTACATTAATTGCAAATTCGAGTCTCTAAGACATGCTAGTACTTACAAATTTTCAAATCCAGTAAATTCTTCATCAACACTCCAAAAGATGCACCAATTTTGGTCGAACCTAACATCTTCTTAAAATCAACAGATGGCGATTGCAGAATGAAGGTAAAACCTTCGTCAATAAAACTACGTCTGTGTCGGGAATGGATAGAAGCTTCTTGTGAGTCCAGATCCCAAGGATTGAAATAGATTGATGATTCATTATAAGAACTGTAAGAAAAACAAAATGGAAGTCACCTTAAGAAAATTTAATACAATGATTTTGCCAGAAATATCGTGATAACGAGCGGTTTTGATTCTTCTATAGCTTTGAACTGTTTAGAATGAGCCTGGTAATATTGATGGTGATGGTAGATAGGTCAGTTTTAGAACAGAATTGGTAAGGCCTTTTCCAAGAGGCTAAAGCTCTAAAACTTGAAGACTTGTGTTAAGTATTTGATTCTCAAAAACCAATATCTTACCTATTCCTTGCTACAGGTGGAATGTATGGAGTCAGCTTTTTAGCTCTAGGATGAGCCTGGTATTGAAGCAAAGCCTCGTATCTTACTGTATCATCACCATCATACTTAGCTGTATTCAACATTAAATTAGCAGCCTGAAAACAAATCGAAAGTAGATGACGAAGGCTTTAAATTTCATTTTGTCCAATACTGTTTTCAATTTTAACGTTTATCATCAATATTTTCAAGATTCTGCAGTAGGGGAACAATCTTCTAATTCTTAATAAAATTGGATTGCAATCTAAAGTTTCTGTTTTTTTTTTAATATTCATTGTTTCAATTGTAATCTGTCAAGTTCATTACGGCAGTCTTGTTGTAATAACGTTATTTTAAACCAATCAGAGTACGTCATGTTGGACCACTTGATAGCAGTGACGAATTGTGGGATAGTGAAATCCAAAGTAAAGCAATATGACTTTTTAAGTCATTATGACATTTTAATATTTAGTCATACGACCTGACCAGATCTTACAAATTATCAACTACCAAACAGAACCATCAAATTTGAACCAATCCAATTACAAACGACTACGACTACCAACATCTACCTAGTTTGCGATATCAGCATCCACTGGAAGCGAAAGTTAAATCATCTACCAACCATCCATGGTGCTTCAGAAATTCACATGCGAACGAATAGAAAAAAAATCTTACATGATCATGATGGTAGCCTCTCAGAGCTGTGATACCAGCACGTTTTACCCATTGACAGTTGGTAGTGTTGATATGGGATACGATATATTCATAAGATTGATCTAATCTGGCGTTACCAAGAGCTCCAAGTAAATTAACTTTTAATGAATCTTCAGCTAGGATCTGTTCCTCTTTCATAATGGATCTTTTCTTACGATACATGTAAGGATCTGAAATTTAGCTACAGTTTATGTAAACAGTAAAAATATCATGATCAAAGTGCTACCGTTTTGTTAAAATGAACAGTTAGTTGATTGTAACTGCTGCTCATGTGTGTTATCCACCACAACGTATCAGGCTTTTCTTTTGAAAGCATCATTTCAAACTATGCCTTTTTAAGTAAAATGGTGCAGAAAATTAGGAAGTAAAACTCCATTCATTTCATTTCATTGTAAGAAAAATGTTGAAGTCATTTAGCCCAGGTACGAATATGAGAGACGCAACGATATAGCTACGAACTAAAAAATCCGTAACCTTTTGCGTTTTCAAAAAACAAGAGCAAAACCACATAAAATTTCTGGCTAAAAACGGAAATAAGGTGAACATCAAGATTTTTGGATTTACTTAAGACCTAGTGTCAACTGAAATCGACTTCGTGAAAAAGAATATCTTGCATTTATTGAGCTAAATTTGTGATTTGACTAACACCTACCATGGTATCCAATCATTTTCTCTATTTTAGAAATGGCATCAGCTGCTTCTTGTGATCGACCAGATTGATGGAGTTTTCGGGAAACAGAACCAACCGTCAGCAGAATTCTATGGTAAACATCACCTTTATGTAGAACAGCTTGTGATTTATTTTTTTCAAAAGCCAGCTCAAATAATCGGGTTAAAAGTTTCTGAAAAATATATAATATGATGCTTTATCTATCTATCACTTGTGATTTCTTTGGACTCTACTCGGCACCTCCGCCTAATGAAATCCTGTGATCCTTTTTTGCCGTTAAGCTGACCCATTCCAGTTAGGCTTTCTGAAATGTAATTTGGAATTACATGTAATTGTCTTCTGTCTAATTAAACATAGACCAAAAGACGTTCTGTTTTTTTTAATTAGCTTTTATTTCCAATATGGTCACTTCAGTTAGGGTCTAACGACAGCCCTCTTGAACGTTCGTCAAATAAACCTTTTGACCTCACTCTATATAACATCTGCTTTAACCAATCAAATTTCTACCCTCTCCAGCATTTTGTTATGCGGTGTTTATCACCTTAGGTCAAAAGGTTAATTTGAGGAAAGTTCAAGAGGGCTGTCGTTAGACCCTAACTGAAATGGCTACATTGAAAGGAAAAGAAAGAAACTAAAGAATTGTCTTAAGCCTACCTGACTGGGAACCTCGTCGCTTGATATAATGTGTACCATCAATCTCATGATCAATTTAACATCTGGTTTGTTTGTATCTAAAACTTTCTCTGTAATAATATCATGAGCCCGTTCTGTATCTGTTCCCATGGCAGCATCTAGAATGTGGTTTCTGTCTTTTTCGTTTCTTCTGGATCTGTAGAAAAGTTATAAAAATGCAAATGAAGCGCAAGACTCGAAATCGAAAATGGGTACAAGGGTAGCAGCAATGAACTAACGATAAAATTGACCATTGTTGGACACAGTAGTGCTATCAGGCTTGTAAATGCCAAAGACCTGAAACATTTCTAATGAAAGGCCAATGACACAGTTCTAAACCTTCGATTAAAAAAAAATTACATCTGGTAGCAGTTTTAGCCCTTCTTTTTAGTTTACTAACTCTAAGACTATGGAACAATTGGTATATAATGAAATAAACTTACAGAGGATTTAAAGCCAGATAATGTGATAGAAGCTTCTCAAAATTATCATCATCCAATAGATTCAGACATGTCATTAAATGATGGAAACAGTTGGTCATCTCCTGGGTGGCTGAAACAGTAAAATACGAAATCATATTTTCAGTAATTTCCAAAATCCATTCCAGGAAAACAACCAAAAATCTTGTCCAAAGCATGACAGACCAGAAGAACAATCAGACTTTTCGAAAAGAGGATGAGCGGTCTGCTTCGCCCACGACAACTGTCAGCTCTCTTTAGGTCAAAATTATGAGAAGCAGTCGACTTGGTCATGGTTCGTTTTTCAGCTTTACTTGGAGATAGTTATGGCCCCTTATACCTTTACCATGCTTATGCAGGCCAAGCAATTAAAACAGAAACAGTTGATGAAGATATATTTCTCAATAAACACGAACAAAAGTGAACTTCATAACTAACGTAACGTATACATAAGCGACAATTACAGACAGATGTTTATCTTTCAGCAATATTATATAGATTTGTGCTTTAACATGATCGAGGTTGTAAAGAGGTGATATGTATTACTAGCTACACCCATTCATTCTAAATTGCATCCCATCCTTCTTAATTTAAATAACTCTCACCAGACTCATCAGGTTGATTTCTCATGATGGTTAAATTGGCACGAATTTGTTCCAAGATCTTTTCTGGTTCGTGGCTTCGTATTGGCTTGGCTTTAACCTGGAACAAACAAACATGTTTCAACCAATAGTTTCAGAATACATCGGGATTGGATTAAAGATACTATATTTACTCGCTGTTGATCGATGCGCTAATATCAGTGGCCGTTCAAAAAATGTTTGACTGTAATCATAGAATTAAATTTCGTTTCTTAATACAGAATCTTGTAAGATGTGTGCTCAATATGTTCACATCCATTGGAAATGCCAACAGTCGAAATTCTCGATTTCAATGTCAGGAAATTGGTATTTCATCTGATATCAGAATGTCTCAAATGAAAATGACAACGTTACAAAAATGGGCTTACTGTTTTAATATGAATACTATCTTGTACTGTTTGTAGTGAACTTCGTGATGGTTTATCAGAAATCTTATGTTGTGATAGAAATTCTAATTTTCCTTTACCCATAGCTTTCATCTCGGGATATTCTGCAAAAAATACAAATATCATTCATATCATAAGATGGCTATCACAAAGCCAAATATTATATTTATTGCCAAAAATCTTTGGTTTTGGTTCCGCAAATTATATGACAAGCCTCCTAGTATCAGTGTACATCGAAAATGTTAGGATAATTCTACAGTTTCTTTAAAAGGCAATATACAATTCATCAAATTAAAAGTGTAAGGTACAGTAAAGTAAAGCAAAGGCTAGTTTAATACCTACCTATATCAGAGAAATCATTTGAGGGCTTGGTGGGTCGTTGGCCTTCAAAAGGTTCATAGCCTGGTACAGTTTGTTTCATAGCTGAGAATTTCTCATCAACATGCACAGTATGTATAGTACCCAGTTCAGAGTTAAAATATAGGGTCTGAAAATAGAAAATACGGTTTTAAAATGTAAGGTATCCAAGGGTGATAATTTGAGGTTTTCAAAAAGAAAAAAAGAATTAAAATTCACTCGAGTTTAAATGAAATAATATTGTTATAACTTTAATGCAGCAGAAGAATCTTATTTATATGGAGGTTGGTCAACACAACGTCCTCACAAGAGCTGATATCCAAACTATGGTAGTTGGATCAATTGGATTGGTTTAGAACTGTTGGTTTGTAGTTGAGAAATCTGATAATATTTGCTGTTTTGGAATCACACAACGTAGACCTACCTTGGTGTACTGAGCTTTAGCATGAGCCAATGGATGTTCGTTTTTTGTCTTGGTGAATTTCTTTCCATCGGAATGGGGCTCTACGTTATATGTGGCATTGTGCTGACCTACAAGATAACATAGATAACATATGGATAACAATAAACCAACGGAGTGAAAATTTAAACAAAATATACACCAAACATTCTCTGCTTCTATGAGTTGTGATTTAGAATACGCCTAATGATTGTATCAGTTGTTTTCCAATATCACCAAGGTCAATTTCAGCGATTAAAAAACAACAGGTGACTGTTTTCTATGAAATATGATTAGGCTAAGAAGTCAATTGGTCATCTACATTTCTCCGAAATGACTATGCAAAGCTAAAAACAAAGCTGAATCCAATGGACTCAAAATTATTGCTTTTATGCTCTATTATAGTACCAAATAAAGCTTGTTTATTAACGATACAAGCCAAATTTGGACAAAAACACCTGAGACAAAAAAAAAGGAAATGGCGTACCTTCATGACCAACTTCCTGTACATGATACCTCCAACCTTCGGGAGTCTTCTCCATCAAATTCTGTTTAAAAAGTAATAAAAAGGGATATGAACATGTACATTACCATGTCCTATTTACAGGGTGTTTCGACCTTGAACAGTATTTGCCTGGAAGGGTGTCAAAGGGAATTTGCCATTTTCGTGTAAGACAGTGGTGCAGAACTTCTCAGGTATTTTTGGAGCAATACTCCCGAAATCCCATATATTCGCAAACTTGAGATGGCTATCCATTGATACCAATCTTGCCTTTGGATGTAATATCCTAATCTTAAGATCGACCTTTACCTCATCTTCGTCATGTAGTTTTCCAGCAAACATGGCCGCCATTCCTTTCTTGATAGCAACAATTTCATCTTCTTCATTTTTATCATAAAAAACATCTTGGATTTCTCCATGTTCATTGATAACGAACGAAAACCTGAAAATTTGAGCATAGTTGTGCTTTATAGAAAATGAGAAAGAGAACGCGCAGAAAAAAGCTTATGACAAGGTTTGGTCAAGGACAATTTCCGAAGCCATATTAGATTATGACTTTATGTTTATGTCTAGGGCTAGATTTTCACAATTTTCGATCTGGCAACTCCACTTTATATAAACCGAAAAAGACATATAGTCGTCTAATTATATGTTACTTTTTGAAATACCCTTTCGATGCCCTGCTTCAAACAGTGGAAGTTCCGAAAGTCTAAGTAAAATTTAACCGATGATAAAGCATAATTAAATGCATACTGATTATAGTACAAATTCATCACCTTAATCTCATATCTGTATTCGTTATAGCTGATAAAGCGACAATTGAAACGACTATATTATATTGATTAATGGTACTGAGATGCTGTATATTTGCTTATATCAAAAGTATAAGAAGGGTTCTTTCAAGATTCAATGTCTATCAGGAAAAGAGGATTGACAATGACCCTTAACCCACACCAAATAGAGCAGATTACAGAGAAAATATATGTCACGTTCACAGAGACGAATAACTTTAACAATTTTTATTTAATCTACAGTCACGTTTACGAAATGTTTGTATGATATATAAAATCATCCGAGTGTGAAACACTTCAAGTATATAAATAAAACAGGAGAGTATATGATAAACTTGACGGTTATGGTTGTTGGTGCAACCACCAAGCCGAGAGGTTCAACATTTACAGTTCTGTTTAGCATTTAACAAAGCATGCAGTTTTATATCTATAACTTGCTTAAAATACCCACAAATTACGAGTAATATTAAATGAAAAGATCAGATTAAGCAACTTAAAGTTTAGGGGTTCGGCAACAAGATAAAGAGCCTACTCGTGTTGAGACTCGTGCGAGGATATATTCAATTGTTTTAATTCTTACCATTTGTTCAAATCTAGATCATGGCCGACCATATCTGAAAATAAAACATCAAGAATCACATACAAAGGAATAATTCAGTGTTATTCTTGTAATTGGATGATTTTCCTTGTTTCGATCTTTTTCTTCATAAAATCAGATTATACAAACCAAATTAAACAAAACAGTTTTGACTCTTTGGGGTGTTACAACAAGTGGCAGAATGGCTTGGGTGTTCCGTGATACAATGACAAATAACAGGTCAAAAGTCCTTTTGCGTTTAAGATTGTCGATGAGCTGTTACTTACGTGGACTGTTGGCACCACTAAAACTAAAAGTTCGAACTCGGAGGAAGATTTCTTGTCCATGAGCAGTTTCACCAACATTTATATACGATACCTGGAATAATAAAGAGATAAACCATATATGCCAAATATTACGAATCACCAGAAGTTCGCTTAACCAAGAATGAAATCAAACTTATCCACTGTGGTTCAACTACCACGGGGGCTGTTTGAAGCAAAAATTCCTCTGACGAAAATGCAGGAAAGCATATGTTATTAAAATAAATTCCCGAGGGGAGGGTCCCAACCCACAGGCCCCCACTCATCTAGTTGAGCCACCGTTTATTCAAATCGATGTGTTAAAGGTGTGGGTACACGAGAGGTCTCGGACGAGAGTCTTGTCTTCAGTTCAACGAGGAGACAAAAATCTCCAGTCGGTCGTTTCCACCTTGTCGATAATCACGTGCGGGGCATGCAATGGATTGGATGATGACGGTCTGTCATACAAACGATAAAACTATCGGGAGCAATCAATCAAACTTGTTGAATATTATAAATCCTGTCGGCGACTCAATAATCTTGTCGTGGAAGCACGGGCACAGGCGAGATTTTACTCAAGATTCTAGTCGGAGACGAAAATCTCCGATTAAGACCACTCGTGTGCCCACACCTTTAGATTCGAATACATTTTTTTGCAAATTGAGCTGAGATTTTACTCAAATTTGAAGAAGATATCACAGGTGCATAACTGAATATATCAATCCATTCCTTAAGTTTCTGACAGTATCAAAGTATTATTCAAATATTACATTTTCTTGATGCAAAGGGCATCGTGAATTCGATTAAAAACTTAGCGGAGCATGAGAATGAGAAATGTTTTTGAAGCCACGGGGCTAGGTTACTTGGGTACTTGAACATTAGAATGTACCAGAAAAACGTCTTTAAAATTTACTCTTATGTAATAATCAAATTGTGATTAAGGCAGCTCTGACGCCCGTACTAGCAAGTCGTTGCTTTTCGTCGAGGACCCTGCCCTATATACATTATACTCTGATAACTATTTCATTTGAAATTCAATTCACCAAAGATGAGCAAAAAGGTCACGTAAAGAGAGAGAGAAATTGGTTCAAATGGTTGTCAAACAAGGATGAAAATTATTAGTTATAGCCTATCATTTGGATAATATAACTTTCGATAGTAGTTTGAAAGTTCAAAGTAAACTAAGTTCGAGTTCGAGATTGAGGTCGTTCCAATACTAAACCGGAAACCAACCAAGTCTTTGTACGTTTATTTCTAATGGTAAAGAAAGACGGTAAAAAAAAGCATCGAAGAATTGAAAATTTAGAAATCACTATTAAATGTATTCAACTATTCAACATAAAAATGTTTTGTATGACAGTTAATATAATCAATTCCATTGCCTTACGAAAATTCATTGAAATATTCAAAAACAAAAAAAGGGAGTTTCGAGGAAAACTTTTCACTACAAGATTTAAAGAAAAGATTATCTACTTTAATGTTTGAGTTAAATATTAATGTTCTCAAGGGGTTTATTGTGAAAAAACAGTGTTCTTTCCTAGAAATAGGCCGGAGAAACCCGGATATAAAACCAATGAAGTGTATAAGGGATAGTCACTTTATAGTCTATTAGAGTAGTGTATAGATAATATAATTATAAAACATTCAGGATTTTGGTCGACATTTCACACTTCATTTCACATTAGTCATTGGTGTTATTCACTTGTTTATATTTCAACTTAAAGGACGATGGTCAAGAAGTCTTAGACGAACATATTTGCCTACAAAGCAAAATGAAACACCAATTATTAATGAGAAGTCAATGACCCTTTTGTTCATTTCTAAAACAACGTGTTTCCGTTTTAAAGGGACAGATGCGACATTTTTGGGGGTTGATTTTAGTCTTGAATATATGTAAATAGTCTTCAGAAGTACCAGAAATGTACGAAAATCGCATAATTCCTTTAAAAATACTTCAAACTAGGATATTTACTCACTATTTCTATATATGTCTTTTCAATATATTACATAGTATCTTAATATGACGAGTATACATAGATATACATATCTAACGAGTCGTCATTTTAAATTCAAATGCTGATAATTCACGACACGTGTGGATTTGGAGGCTCAAATTTTGACTGTGAGCTGTGAACACTATTACTGATTGGCTTGGCTAAAAAAAATCCCGTTTCTGAGACTAAAGTATGATTGGTCATAGAAAAATGGCGCATCTGTCCCTTTAATTCGATATAAAGAAGACTTTGCAACTGGAGCAGATAAACAACTGTATATTTGTTATATTATGACCCCATGTATTCGATATTGGGCTGTTGTCTTCAGACAGTTGATCATTATTGTCTGTGCATTAGACGTCCATGTCATTTTCTAAGTGAGGCATATTTAGGTCCAGGCTACCTTACAGCCCATTAACAGTAAATCTATTACTAATAAATCTAGAGTTCTAAGGTTATAAACATCCTCGAATATACGTAAGAGAATTAATAATCTTGATAATATCAAATGTTCGGAAATCTTTTTTAAGTCCGCATTTAAACACAAAGCACAAAAAAATCAAACTATTTATCAGCGGGGCTATATAATGTGTCGATGACAAAAATGTTGGATGGGGTAAAGCCTTAGGGGTAGTTAGGGGGGGGGGGGGGGATATAGTGATTTGAGTAGTTATGACTTCAGATCTTTAAAGGAAAACGTTCGCCATCCGTTCGACCATTCATACCTCGCGTCTCAGAAATTCGATTTTCGTGCAGCTCTAGTGCTTCTGGTGGCTATTTACATAATATTCAACACTCAAAACAACCCCAGAAATTGTCGGCATCCCCCTCCCTTCCCCCAAAGAAACGCCACTTCTGCATACATATATGTAACACAATGACGAGATCTGCCTTATAAAAAGATTTCAGGTGATACTTTGACAGTTAAATTACTTGTAAATGTGAGATGTATAATATATGACACCGATTGTACATCAATTTTGCTACTTAAAACTATCTTTTCTTTTTTTTCACATTGTATTAAATCTAGTGTGAATTGAAGTGAAAGAACTTAAGCGGGCTGATACCAAACACCGCCCGACCGCATCGACCTAACCACTATCATTTATCATCCTAGGAAAGTGTTAAGTGAAAAAAATAACATTACATAAACAGATGTTATCAAAACTTTCAGTAATAATGTATTATTAGCATGAGCGGTGCGCGTGTCCGTTACTAAAAAGTGGCGGTGGAAGCCTCTTGGAACTGGAGTACAAATAAGAGGCAAGACAAATGCAAAAGCACTGTGGAGGCGATATACTGCATAGGGCTCCTGTTGCGAATCTGATTGTGTACTCCCTCAGAAATAAAGTGTTATAAACTATTACTCATGGGAACAAAACAGAAATATTTTAACTGTTAAATGCTCAATACATCAATTATGAGAGAGGTAATATACCAGTCAAGTATAGTTCTAGGTGCCCTCATTATTTATTCAAAAGAGCATAAGGATTTTGGCATTTCAGGAGCAATTACATATGAAATCCAGCAAAATAAGACATATCGTACCATGACCATACCCTTGTACCGATTTACACCAACAGGTAATTCAGAAATTCAGTCCTTTATAATAAAATAAATTATAGGCTTGTGATTTCGTTGTTCCCCACTCTTAGTTATTTATTACAATTCTTTGTATATAGTCATAGGTATTATAGGTATATTATATAAATATGTGAATAGTATAAAGGCGTTAACGACTAAAAAATTTGGAAATTTTGTCCGTAGTTTCCCTTTTTGTTACTTTCATGTGTATTATAAGTAACAGACGTTGAATAGTAAAAAGACAACAATTTGTTATTTCAAAAAAAAAAGTAGTTGACACAATTTTATTCCTTGACATTTCCTACGATTTCTCATTTTAAGATTTCTCCTTAATTTGACATGATTCGTATCTATATTGTATTCTTATAAATGGAATTCATATCGTCATCATTTTATGAATTTGCCATAATTGTCACAATTCGTTTAGTTATATATAGATTTCATTCTTATAAATGGAATTCATACCGTCATTTGTCATAAGAAGAATTTGCCATAATTGTCACAATTCGTTTACTTATATATACATTTTATTCATAAATGGTATTCATACCGTCATCATTTTAAGAATTTGCCATAATTGTCACAATTCGTATACGTGTATATTACATTTTATTCTTATAAATGGTATTCATACCGTCATCATTTTAATAAGAATTTGCTAAAAATTGCCACACTTCGTTTACGTACATATAGATTTTATTCTTATAAATGGAATTCATACCGTCATAATTTTAAGTTATTGCCATACTTAGTCAATATTTGTTTGTTTATATCATATCATTATACATATCACTGGACTTCTCCTCACGGATGGATTTTCTTAATGTATTTTACCGTTAATAGGTCAGATATTCAGTAAAGCATGACAACTATTCTATGTTTCTAGTGTTTTCCTACTATCTTAGTGACTTGACCTGGTATATAGGTACGATCGATTTATTAGCTTGATTAGTTTTCAATAGCTCTGTTTTATATACAATAATAAATCCGTTGATATCTATATACACATTAAGAAACAGACCTAAGCGTCATTCCCCAATCTAAATAAAATTAGATTACTATTTTGTTTTCTGATATTTTAGTCTTCATTGTAGTCTAACAAGTTTTCCGTAAAATTCCCGTTCTATTGACTAAAGTAAGTATTTGATGACGTCAATAATCGTGAAGGGCCTTGTGTGATAAAGCATATTTTGTGATGAGTGGCGTCTTCAAACACTTAGTTTTTGTGGAAATACGAGAACCATAGACGTCTGATTGAAAATTGGAATGGTGAAGATTGATGCTATAAGTGTCCCCGATACACATACAAAATTTAGAAAACCCCTTTACAATCTCTTTAAGAGTAAATTTTTTTCGGTGCAAGTCGTGTTGTCGTAATAAGTTACTTAGTTATTATGTGCACAATATATTAGGATATCACAGACTGACACCAGTACAGCACGTGACAAAAGTGGTTTTAAGTATCTGAAATATTTGAATTGAAATACAAGCCACTTCAAATGCCAATGGTTACGATAATGATAATGAAGCAAAGAGATGTGTTAGGAAGGGCCAGGGTTACCATGCTTTCATCGCTCAGAGCAACTAATTGCTGATTCGAGAGGGGGGGGGGGGGGGCATTTGGCCCATTCACCCTTGTACACGCTTGCCCATCGTGTCCGAGCCACGCCACAATTCATCATATATACTTTCTCGAGATCGTGGTAATACAAGTGGTTGGTTGGTTGGTTGGTGGATGACAAGTTAACGTTCGCTTCCAGCGGATGCTGATATCGCAAACTAGGTAGTTGTTGGTAATACGAGTGAGAAAACTTACGTATTCACATCTAAATATTTTCCAATCAAAATTGGCCCTGCAATCAGCCAATCACTCGTTATGACGTAAACAAAACGAAAGAATCGTGTCATTAAATGTTGACGGTACAGAATTGGAGCCGAGAGAAAATCAAACCTTACTTTGGAATATTTAATTGAAATCAATGTGTTCTTATCTCTTCAAATGGGCGGCGGCAAAGAGATGTTGTGTTTTGTTTACATGACCTCATTTCTAAACTATGGATCTGATTGGTCA